GAAAGTTTTTTTTCATACAAATTTTGTTACGAGGGGGGGGGGGGGTCTAAGAAGTCATTTTTTCGCGTTACGTAATAAGTGAACAGCCCCTTATTGGTCATTGTATTATAGTTTGACATCTAGAGGTTTTTGGAGTGATCCTTAATAATTTGAATTTTTTTTTGACGTTTTAAATCCTTAATTTTTTATCAGTATGCTGACTGTTCTGTTTAGAGTTTCAGAAAAAATTTCAGTTTTTTTTGCAATCTGTTCTCTGGAAGCATCGATATATCCTCTATAAATAGGTCACTCGATAATTAGATCACTAGTTCACGATATTATTTATTGACAGTACCACTATCTACGGCATCTATACTATTCTGCTCCCTCCTAAATATTTGACGTCATTTTCGAAGAACCTGATTCTAAAATTGATTTATCTAATTTTTTTTTTTTTCTATTTTTTTATATTTTTCTTTTTCTATAGTTTTGATTGTTTTCTTTGTAGTAATTGAAGTTTTTGAATTATTGTTGCGATTCATTGTAATTGTTTAATAAAGGATCTGCTTTTCGAGCACATTATATTCCAATTTTTTCGAAATAGATGTACTTTCATGTGCTACATTCTTTATCCTTATCTCTCTATTCAATATACACTTTCTTCAGATTTTCATCTTCCGATCTTCTTAATAATGTTAAGTATTAATGTAAATAAATGAACAAATGTTACACAGAAATGCTAAAGACCAAAAATTTAAAAAAAAAATCTTTTTTTAAAGAATGAAAATTAGACAGATGCATTTCATAGTCGAATAAGCTGAATTGAATGAATGCCATTTGAAGGTAAATTGAGTCTTGAAGATATTTTTTTTTTGTATATTTAAGTGGCTCTACGCCGCCTCTATTTGTATTTACTTTTTATTTTTGTTTTTGCATCTTTCAAGTTGTAAAGTTCTTGGCACACTGCACCTAAAGATGTTATAAAGAGACACATGCATGAAAATTGTCAACAACAGAAGATTTTTTTTCCGTATGTCTACGATCGGAGCGAAAGCGATGACAATGAAAAAGATGAAGAAAAATTGGTTCCGATTTGCTACAGTTACGCATTTTTAGATTGAGATTTTTTGATATTACGATCAACATTTTTTTTCTTTCAATGAAAGAACATTGAACAACTTAATAAAGGTAGATGCCTAAACTAAAATAAAATAAAATAGAGAAATTTTTTTCTTCTTTTATTTTCTTGTCTTTTCAATTTTCAATTAAGTGAAATTTCTAATAAATTTTCATTATGTCTCAATTCATTGAGCATTCATAATAATGTGTGTAAGTTCTTTTCTATAGATATATTCATCTTTATTTCTTTTTAGCCTCCTATTTCTTTACTTGGAGTGAATCTAATTTATTTAAATTCAGCGTGAAAAAGTTTTCAACACAATTTTTCATGTACCATCTTTTTGTTTTGTTTTGTTGCAAATCACTTCCTCGAAAAACTAACTTTTTTTTGTTATTTTAATTTTTTTCAATCAATTGAGTTTTCAACTGCTCAATCAATTTGATACGGTGCATTGAAATGCAGTCGTTTTTTGTTCATTCATAATTGTTTACTCATCGATTACTTTTTCTCAGCCAGTTTAAACTACTTAACCACATTTCTTTTACTTCTTTTGCTCAATCGTTGTTGCTTCTCTTTTAAGTCATATATTGATTCTCTGATTGTCGGCATAAAACGACTTTTAAGTGTTTACACAAGCGTTTATGTCATCCTCATAGAAATACTAAGATATAATTAATTTGCACAAGTAATGAACGCTCTGTTTGATGAATAGTTGTTTGTACTTTAAAAACATACCAATAATCAGAACTACCTTTTAATATTGACACTTTAACAAATTGTAAAAATTTTCGTGACTCAAATTACGTTCGTAAAAGTGTGATTCTTAGATTTCTTGTCTAGAAAGTATTCAATGACAAACAAACTGTGTGTCTGTACCAGTCTGTGCAAAGTATGACCAATTGAATACACTTCGACAAGTACCAAGTTCTTTGCTTTTAAATAAGCTGTAGAAGTTAAGTGCTTTGCTGGTCGAATAGGTAAGGCGCTTGACTCAAATTTGGTATGGTAACTCGAAGGTCGTCGGTTCGAATCCAGTCATTTCCAAAATTATTCTTTTTCAGAAGTTTAGATATTTCGACTGCTTAATGTACCGAGATCAAGCATTAATTGGGCAACGTTGGATGAAGGAACGGATCAGGAACTTGAAGTGTAGCGGGAGAAATAGGAACGAGAGCTACAAGATTAGCCACGACTGGAATATTGTTAGAACGGACCTGAAAAGTATCACGTCACGCCCATAGAAAATTAAAACTAGAGCCTGAATTTAATCGAAACCTAGATTTGAAGATTGGAAGCTTGTTTCTATATCACCATAGTGATAAAATTTATTCAAATTAAACTAAATTCTCTCTTACATTCTGAACTACATATTTATGTCCGATTAATTAAACTGCAAAAGGAGAGTTCGTTTTCGTAAGTTTCGGACTTAAATATATCTTTCAAAAACCTTTTTTTTTTTAAAAAAAAATATTTTTATTTAATTACGCATAATTTTCCCACTTTCACAACGGTTGGTTTGTTTCTTGACATCTGACCTCCACAATTTTAAATGCATTGAGGCTTTTAAAAATTTGTTGCCTTCTTTTTTAGTCTTAAGTGTTTATAAACTTCTTTTATTTTAATCTATGAAGTAGTACCGTAGTAAGACACATGTAACTGTCAGCAATGTGAAATTTATCGCCAGATGCCTAAATAACATATCTTGACAAATTTAAACAATTTATGACATTTTCTCTCAATATATTGAACTTTCATACAACCACTTTATCATAAAAGACTCTTGGAACTGTATAAACATTTCTTTTAATTTCATTGAAGGGAAAAAATTAGAAAATTCAAGTGGAAAGTCTTTTTAAAAATTTCTTCCTGATTTCTATTTCATTTCAGTCGCAATACAAATGTCTACATTTCCTTATTCTCATGTACAATGTCAAGAAGAATATCAACATGTCACAACAGTTCAATCTCTAGTGCCTTTATGTTATGTTATTTTTAATGCTATATACAATAATTGATGACTATTGTCAATTAGAGAAATGAGATGAAAACAGCACCATAAAGAAATAAAAGAAATAATTCGAAACTGAGGAAAAAAATACTGCTTTAATCTTAATTAATTATTTAGATTGAGATGACTAATGCCAAATTTAAAACAAATAAAAAATGAGAGAAAATTAATACATATGAAAATTTTTCATCAGATTAATTGTGTGTGGTATCTTTTAATAGCTTCTCCACAAGACAGTGAAGAACTAGTTTAACTGTTGATTTGCAAAAATAAAAATACCTTAATAAAATATATAGAATTATAAAGAGGAATTTGGAAAATATAAAGCTTAAAAAAGCTCAAAAGGAAGAGAGCAAAAATTTCTTCGTGTGATGTTTTCGCATATTTTAATTTATGTTAATGACATGGATATCCATAAATGACTAATTTCCAAAATACTTAGCAGGTATCAAATTAATATACATCTTTTAAAATTTTGTTTGAGTTTGCGTCATCTCGGAATAAGCAAGACGTGAAATTTTTGGCAATTTGTTGCGGTTGTTATGTGTTGTGCCTTTTTCTGTGGAATTTAGCGAGGCAATTAAATCAAATAAATTTTATTCTTCTTAATATTCAACTTTTTGTCCCTATCATCATCATCATGATTGTTGCTGCTGTTTGTAATAAAGAATCTCTCTATCTGCTCAAAGTCCACAGTCACAAAGTAAAGGAGAAAAAAAAATTCAACTGTCGACGTCCATCGAAAAACGTAAAAGAGTAAAAAAAGCCAAGGAGATGAAAAAATTCTTTGGAATAAATTGATTTGGAGAAAAATGCTTTAAAGGAATTTGAAATGAAAAATAACAACATACAGAAAAAAATGTGTGCATTTTGCCGTGCTGCAAGCATTTCAGTCCCATTCTCACGGTTCCGAACAAATTTTTTTGTGCGCTCATTCTTGTGCTGTCTTATCTCATTTTTTTTTTTTATTTCAATGTGCTGTTTTTTGCTGTTTCGCTGTTTAAAAACGACACAACAACGACAAATTTTTTTTCTTTTAAATTCAATGATTAAATAAAGGCACAGTGCACAAAAAAAAATTTACTTAAAATACATGAAATTGTTTGATTTTTAATAACACACCAAATGAGGGGCGTGAATGGAAACAGATTGAGAACGTAACAGGTAAATTGGCTCACATTCTTTAAGCAATGCATGAACAAAAATGTTGTTGTTGAATTTACACACGATATACAATGAAGAAACTTTTTTAATTTAATTTATTGATGCTTTATATACAAAAAATATTCTCCTCCCTCTTGTTCACCAATATAATGCCTTCTTGAACACAATTGCAGTACCACACTATTGTCAATCAATAAACGAATGAGTAAATAAATAAATAAATATAAGAGAGTAAAAAAAAAGTTAAAAGCAAAGAAGAATTGACTTAGTTGTATGAGTGTTATATATTAGCAGTAATAAGCTCCACCTCGAGCATAATAAAGAGAAGTAAATTTTAAAATTTTGCAGTGGTATGAGTGAGAGAGAGAGGTCTTATGGTTAAAAAATATTCAACAATGTGATCTATTTCATGAAGCACAATATCTTAAGAATTTTTCTTTCTTTCACAAAAGGAAGAAAATAATTCTGTTGGTTATTGTGTAAGCAGAAGTAATAGCAAGCAAAAACTATACTCTTGTATACATAAAGGAATATCACACAGTAATACAAATGATCGGACAATGTAGTTGTAATATATTTCTTTATGACGGGCTCTCTTTTTCAATTTTTTCTTCATTCTTCTTCTTCTTCCTATTCGGGGTCTGAAGAGCTTATTTGTTGTTTAATAGCAACATTTCTCAGTTAAGCATTAACATCGAAACGGATAACAAACAGATTTTTTAAAGTTGCCAATAGATTATTTTTTATTTAAAAATTTATTTTAAAATTTCGCCTGTGTGTTAATTTCGGTTCTCTAGAAAATATGCAAAAAAGTTAAAGTTAATTAATGCAAAAAAAATAATAATAATTCAAGAAAAAAAAAGTTTATTATTAAGTGTCAAAATAATTTTCTAAAAGAACTTAAAGTGAAAAAAGTTCAATATATAATGTAAAAAGAAATGAGAGTGAAATCGTACACATTTTGTCAGTGAAATTGAATAAAAAATGAGTCAGATTGATCGACTGAATGTAAATTGTTCGTTTTTGCATGCAATTAATCAATTGTGTCATTACTTATGCAAAAATTAATTAATTTAAATCATTTATGATTAGTGAAGTAGAGTGAAAATTGAAATTTCTTCACTCGCACGCAACTTATTTGTGTTTTGTAAGATTTTAATCTTGCGGAAAGGAAAAGAACTTCAAATATTGTATTTGTGACATAAAAGTGAAAATTTTCTATTGAAATGGATATGCTTAAGTTACTTTATCTTTGCATCATGGTACTGTATGTCCATGCCGATGCCGAAAAGCAGTCAAAACAAAATCGTGGACGTGGATCAATATGGTGGTAAGCAGTGCAAAATAATTTATCATTTATAATACAAATATTTTGCTGTTACTTTAATATTGTGTTGAAATTTGTAATCTGAGAAAAGTTTAAATAGATAAAAATCATTCACAGATTTGTACTTCAGAAAAAATTAAAAAAATAATTTATTGAATTGCGAAATATTTTTAAGACAACAAGTACAAAAAGGCCCATAAAAAAATACTTGTCCGTCGATTAACTATAGTATAGAAAATAAGTTTTAGAGTTAGGATATTATTGCGAATAATAAAAGTGAAAGATATTAAATTTCATTAGTTGACATATATGTTAATTTATTCCTCACATCATTACTTCGTTACGCCGAACTGAAAATCAATTAGTCTTCGGATTTAACTGACTTGTTCACATGTTAATGAATGTTAATGATTATTTATTAAATAATAATCATGTTTACAAGTATGTTGAGCAAAAAGGAAAGAGAAAAAGAGACAATAATTAAATTGTTAATTGCACTTATTCATGCTCGCTATGATCATTCATTTACCTCTTGTTTAATGATCTTATAAAAATCCTTAATATTTCCAGTTTCTTGTTTCATTCACTTCTGTCTCTATGAATTAATAACATTATTAATAACTATTAACATTTTATGATGTATTAAATATGTCAAATCCATTTATTGCTTAGCAAATAAACCGTGAATTTATTTATTTTTTCTTTTTTGAAAAGCTATTTACAAATATATGGCATAATGCTGTTATACTATTTTTTGCGTTTAAATAAAGGCGCTGCTGTTTAAAACAACAGAACTTTTTAAATAATATATCAATAAAAATAATATTAGGTAATTTACATGGAAGAAAAGTATTTAAAAAAAAATTGAATAAGCATTAATTAGTATTACTCATTCGGTAATTGAAAAAGCATGTGCGGTGATAACTTGAATGCTAAATACATAGCATTTAACTGTTGATTTTTTTTTGCGCTCGCATAAAAAAATTAATATCGATCGGTTTTGATGTTTATCTGTTAAGTTTTGCTGTTCCCATAATTGAAGTAATTGAAGTGAATTTTAATGAATTAAGTGATTCGCGACGAATGAAAAAAAATCATCAAACAGATTCTTGTAAAAATAGTTCATGATCGTGTGCAGTAATTGGATTTGAAGTATTTAATACACTAAATTCAATTAAGTTTGAATCAATTGAGTTTTTTTTAAATGAATGAAACTTTAACAGACATTTGATGTTTTTATTATTTATTTTATTAATACCTATCAAATTAAAGAACAACTATATAGTAAAGAAGTTTCTTAATACCGTTGTATTGATCTTAAAATATTTTTCAAAAATATTCCGGCAAATTATAACTTTTTATATATAATGAACAAAAAATGCCAGACAGTAATTTATAAAAAAAGGTACATTTTTATTGCATGATCGATTAAAGCTTTAATTAAATTTAAGTATTTTCTTAACCTCAAGGTTGATGAAAATTAAGATTTCATGTAAAAATGCATGAATTAGTAACACATGTAGATCATGTACATCGCTTAATTCATGTCTGTTTTGCTGTGATGAGAAAATGTAGTTTATTTATGACTTTTATTGAAAAAATTCTGGAAAATTTAAAAATAGTGATTATTTCAAATTTAAAGAGCGAAAAATAAATAAAGAAGTAAAAGGAAAAAGGGAGGATTTTAGAAGCGCAACTAATTTGCAGAACAAAGAAAATATAAAAATCAGAAAGGAGCTGAAGAAATTCTCGGTGGGCTCTTTCACTAAACGGACCACACAGTATTATAACAATTGTATTTTACTATTGTCTGAGCTTCTTCATGTGTCATTTCTTATGTGCTAATAGACTTAATCTATCTGTCTTCCCTTCCTTCCCTTCTCAAAAAAAATATTATTATGTCACAATTGACAAAAAGATTGAACAAAAAAATAATTTCCTTAAAATGCGTGAAAAACATGATAATTTACTGTTTTGTGTGCCAAATGTGTAGATTTCATGTTTTTCTCTCAAGTCATTTTTGTATTCAGTGCACGTCAAACTGCAAAATGTTACAGACTTGTTGATTTCTTATCAATTAAGAAGATTTAATTTCTTTTTCTAAGTTTTTGTCATTTGAGATTTTTAAGAATGAGAAATAAATAATAATGAAATTTTGCACATAATGCGGTATGCTCCGCAGATATTAAATTGCACAATATCACCGATTGTGCTTATAAAAATCAAATCACGTTTCTCCTTCTTCAATATATTCGCACACAAAGCACTAATTGTTCTCTCGAAAGGAATTTTTATCTGTAAAGAAGCAAACAAGATACAAGGAGAGAGAAAATGATTAGAATTTGTTACATCCATCGCCAGGTTCATTCATAAATTCTTTTAAAAAAATTCAATCGATATTCTCTGCGGGTTGTCGATTATTGAACTCTATTAGCCAGCAGTGTCTACAAAACAACAACATTTTCACATACTTGTGTGTGTCCTTAATTAACAATCAATGTATCAATGCGAAAATATTTATGATGTGATGGCCTCTGGAGAATTTTTTTTCTGCTGTGTTCAGCTGCCATGCAATTCGAGAATGAATAAAATATTTTTTTTTTCAAATATTTGGTCTTCTGTTTGTATATTATTTTATTTATTTATTGCAACAATGAAGTATTGAGCTGTTGATTGGAATTTTCCTCGCTGTGTGCTTCGCGTGTCTCAATTTTATTTTATAATGATGAAATCATTAAAGTCGATTTTATTTTTCAATTAAAACTTTTGGTGGTCAACACTGTTCTTTCTCAAGTAGCATTAATAAAAGTTTTATAGTCAATATGTACTTTTCAAGCATTTTAATCACTAGCCTTAATCTAACGCATTAATAGAAACATTTTATAACATAAAAAAATGAAGATATATGTTTGGCATTACAATCATAAACCATCTCATCTTATATCATGCTCACATACTACAAACTTTTTCTGGATAGCGCCATCATTTCATTTTTATTGGTATAAAAAAAACAGAGTAAAATTACATTCAATATAGTTTCTTTCTTATAAACATTTTTTGTTGCTGTTAAAAACGACTTGCTGTGCATTATTTATTAAGTTTTTTCTGCATTACATATTCGTGTTTAATAAAAGCCTTTTGCCCCAGCAAACACACACATAGCCTAAATGTAAAGTAAAACTTGTATTCACACTCGATTTATTTTTTTTTTATGTTAAAGCAAAAAAATAAATATATAAGGTAGAATTACAAAGATAAGTAATACAAACGAAGAAGAGTCTTGACCACAAGAGAGATGGAATGAAAATTGCAATTGTGCACAAAACAATCAACAATCAGCAGTAGGTTCAAATGAACAAGACACATTGTGTGTTATGACGACGGCGCACTGTGGTTTGAGCTTTTAAATGGTCATAACAACTTTGTGTCATTGCGCTTTTTCGAATGCGGTAGATTGCTAATTTAATATTATATTTATTTTATTTAATTTTTTATTCGTTCATATCCATGTCTGTTTCAACTCGACCGATAGTCTAGCAAAGCTGTAATTTCTTTCATATTTTTTTTTGTACCTTTGCTGCTTCAGCTCTGAGACTTATTTACTCTTTGCTCATGCATTATTAATTTGATTTTAATGCTTTTTGCGTCGTAATATATGTCCACAGTGACTTTACGCGATTTTTTTTTTCATCAAATGTAACATCAATAATGGAAGAAAACAAAAAAAACCATGAGAGAATGATTCGGGGTGATACATAACAATCCTTCTGCCGCAAAGCTCATTGAGCATCATGTCTCATTTGAAATCAAGTGTGTATTTGTATGTACTGTAGCAGTAAGCTAACTGTTAATTAATTATAAATTAACATTTTTGCTTCTGTTTATTTTGCTCACCGAGAGATGATAAATCAACATACAATGATGAATAATGAGTTATGTGATATGACTTTCCATAACAAGAGGAACGATTGGACAAAATACATACAATAATATTGACGCGCTGTAAAAATTTTAATAAGTTTATGGGATTTTATATATATATATAAACTGCAAAAAAAAATAACAAGTAATAAAACTAGTTGGGACTTAAGATTATTACTAAGCTAGAGTCTATATCTGTTCGTGCGTGAAAATTTTCTATCTTGATACATTCATTCTTTCCACAACAACTCTCTTCCATTCATTGTATAGTTTAAATTTCACATTAAATTGTGTTTGACGATGATGAGAAATAAAATAACAGCAACACAGTAAGTGAGTGAGTGAGGGAAAGAGAACCGAACCGTTTGAAATACACGTAGCGATTCCTAATACGATTAAATGCGACATTGATGAATTAGCTTCCAATGTGAATGATCTACATTTACATATTTAATAATTATTTAAGAGATCAATTTTAAAACTAACATACTTGAAAACTGTGAGACTCACTTTCAATCTTATTTAAGTATATTAAAATGATATACTTGATTCAGTCAGAAAATTAGAACCATCTCAATAAAGAAATCTATTTTATTTTGTGAAGATCAAATATGCCACTAACTTATAATCATGTTCCGTCGTACAAACACACAAAACCTGTAAATTTATTTCATCAACAAATGAATATGTGCGCTTCTAATATTTGGCTTTGGCGACAGATTTAAAATTTTTAGCTTACAAATATTTGAAGTTTTGCCAAACAGCAGAGAGTATTTTGGGAATTAACTTTTAATTTCAATTTACTTTGCTTTGAAGTTTGCTACCAGATGAGCAAATCTTTTTGTTAAATTTACCAATTAGCATTATTATGTTACATTATTATGAGCGCCAAGATGAATAATTTCTTAAATTTTTTGAGGATTAGAAACTCATCAATGTTGACACTTTTACTCCATGCAGGATTTCATCAATGAAATTTGAAAGGTTCTTATTTATTCCCATTAAGTATCCCACCCTTGAGAGAAAATATTTGATGATTTAATAGAGATGTTAAATAGTTTATCATCATCATGATGTTGATGATGGCAAATTGTCCATATGCGTGATGTAGAGGAATACAATTCAATAAATCAAATAAGAAAAAAATGCTACATGTGCTCATATATGGTCAATTGAGATGCTAATTTTGTATCGAACCTTGGCATGTTTATTATTTGATTGATAAATGACAGTGTTAAAGATGACAGATTTTTCTCTTTTTCCTATTTATTTAAAGCTAGTTTTGTAAGCGCCAGAAAAATATGGAAATTTGAAATTAACTTATGATAATTTAAATTAACAAATAAAAAATCGACACATATATTAGTGCTGTCAACGAATGTCATTTGCAAATTATTATTTATTACTTTATTACTATTTATTTGTGAATGAATATTTTGCTTTTTTATCTCTTTTTGAAATATGATTTTTTTTATAGCAAGAAATAAAAAAAAATGTTGACTTTATTTTTTTATTGAATCTTCTTAATAAACTTAAATAAAAAGTGATGATTGGTTTACGTAAAACTGCCAATGATCCCAAAAAACTAAATTTTTAAAATAATTTAAGTAAAAACAAAAGACTTGTTAATGCGTTAAGTGACGAACTCGCTGTGTATGTTTTAGGAATTTACCTTCTTCCTGTGTAAAGTCTTTCCCTTTTCATTAACAAAAATATTTTCATGGATGAAATTTGTTTTTAATTTTTTTTGTTTCTCTTATCTTTAATATAAATATAAATATATTTTTTTGTTTATTTCTTTTGTCACTTTTAAAGCTGTTATTAAAAATAAATAAGAAGTTTCTATGGTGAAATTAATGTTATCAAATGTGTAAGGTATTTGAAAGTTCTTTAAAAATAACGTCGATAAGAAAATACACAGTCACACAGCTCTTAACTTTTATTCCTGTTTTAAAATGTAGACGTCATTTAAAACGCTAGAAACACTTTCTAATGCATGACTTCAATGATGGCGTTAAGACAAAATACTTTCCAGTAGAAATGTTTAAATCCAGTGAAACATTTTCGAAGGTTCTAAAAGAAAATATTTTGACATAGTCATCACCTTTTAACTTCCTTTAGTAAAGGAAGGAAAATAAAAAAATATCTTCAAGTGGCTGGAAGTTAGGATATCAGGATGGATGAGAACTGCATATTTTTTAATAATAATTTTACAAAGAAGTTTTTGCAGCACTTAAACTTCCTGAAAATGAGAAGTGGGTAAAAAGAAGAAAATAAAAATCAAATGATTTATGCTGATACTTTGTGAAGTTCTTTATTTTATCTTCATTTTTGGTGCCTCTTAAGATGCATTTCTTTCTGTACACACACTTGAGAGTATAAAAATGCATAAATTCTCAATTCCATTGCCCATATTTTATTAAGTTTTATGCTCTTTTTGTGTCTTTCTGTAATATATTGTTTACATGTTTGTTTATATTCTTTCTCTTAAGTCACCTTCTTTCATTCATCATCAAAGCGTCTCTTCTGTATGAGCACATGAAACACATTTATGTTTGCACAATGTATTAGGATTTTAATTTTCTCCCAGCTTTTCTTCTTGTTTTGTTTTCTTCCATTTCTTAATATTTAAACAAATAAATATCAGATCGTATAAATATGAATATCTGAAGGAATGTCCAGATTCAGAAAACAGAAATATTCTTTCTATTTACTCACCTTATATTTCTTCTTTTAATAAACCTTCATGCATTGTACAGCATACCTATGTGTAAGATGGGTCTTTTTTTATTATTGACGAATGATTTCAACATTTATTAAAGGAAGTCTTTGTTTAGCTTTTCATCATAATGCTCTTCCCGACAGCCTAAAAGTTTAAGAATCTAATTTAGTTTTTTTTTGTGTATTTTAACAGGGGAATAGCAAAAGCCGGTGAACCAAATAATATTTCTCCAGTAACACCTACACATATTTATATGGATCCTGCAATTCATGCAACATTAAGACGAAAACAACGAAGATTGGCACGAGAAAATCCAGGAGTACTGGCGGCAATTGCAAAGGGTGCAAATATGGCAATATCAGAATGTCAACATCAATTCCGTAACCGTCGATGGAATTGCACAACGCGAAATTTCCTACAGCGTGGCAAAAATCTCTTTGGCAAAATTGTCGATCGTGGTGAGTACTTAATCTCATTTAATATAAATAACAGCATGCACTTGTCATCATTGAACGATGAATTGTGCTTACGATTCCGCACGCTACTGATTAAGAAGACAAAAGAGATTCATTAAATTATTCAAAGCATGTGTTTTACTTGCTACTTCTCTCAACCTGCCCACCAAATTATAAAAGCTTTAAATTAAATAAAATTAAATTCAGTAATACTCCCACATGTTCTTTTAAGTCTTACAATATAATATTTTTGTCGTTGAACATGACACTCAACGATTTATCATCGCTAAGAGATCATCAGTGAATGAATGAAATAAATTACAAAAGTATGAAGAGATGTACGTTATTTGATTAATGAAATGTGTACAATAATAATGAAGAAGCTTTGTATTTTTCATTGAACTAACTTCTTGTATTATTAAGACATTCGTATTAATGCATTGTGTCATTTTTTTCAAATTCACTTTCAGTGATTTGTTGTGACGTCAGTGAGTGCCATAATTTGCATAAAAACAAGACAGGAACATCATTTTAAATTTCCTATTACATTTTTTTTACAAATTGGTGACATCTGTTTTTTGTGGCTCGAGTTGGCAGATGTTGCCGAAAAGAATTGTTACAGTTATTGTTATTGTTGTCCACAAATGTATGCGCGTGCATCATATGAAAATTTCTCATGACTAAAATTACTTCTTTCTGATTATCTTTCCTCTCGATTCTATTATTATACAATTGTATACTTAGGGTTCAAACGATTATCGATCTTCATGTACATCACCATATTATGTAATGTATTAAAGTTTTTTGTCACTGTGTCAATATATCTACCTAATAAGCCTCTTTCTCTTACCCTGTATCTAATTACAATATTCTATTTTCTACCGAATTGTAAAAAGGGGAAATGATATAAAAGAATTTGATGCTCTCTGTATCAAGTAAAATGACTAATTTTCGTGATTTTTGAAAAAACTTTTCTTTTCAAACTGCTATGCGAGAGGAAAAAAATTAAAGTTACAAACCCCCTCAAAAAGAGTATCGTTTTACATTATTTAGTCATGATGACATTTATTATATTTTATGCCTTCACAAATCTGTCTTTCATTTTCAATCATTTTATTCAAATTTACCGTAATATATCATCATAAAAAATATTCTATAAATACACGACCAAACATCAATCTGAGATTAATGAATGGTATATGTTAAAAAAAAAACATTTTCTTGTGAGACATACAAAAGACTTTCTCTCAATTCTTTTTCACTAACATAGTCAAGTGAAATATGCAACAGTTATATGAAGGTATCATTTAAAATTTATTTTAATTTTTTGTCAGCTTTCAAGTAGTTAATAAAAATGATTGCAAAAAGCCACAAAAAGTCAATCTTATATGACCGCAAAATAATTTTCGTATGTGAGAACCAAAAAGCAGCGCAAAAGACATAAGGGAAAAAAGAGAGACTTAACGAAAAGGCACATCGAATTATGTGGATGTTTACAAAAATAAATATCACTAGCTGCTGTCACAATACGTTTTTCACAAAATCGCATTCATTCTCTTTTCGTCTTGTAGTGCTTGACTTTGAGACATATTTTTCTTGTACTTTTTGGAATTAAAATGTGCATTCACTCACACACTCTTACACTCAAGATAAGAAATTCTTTTGTTTGCACATACTTATATCAATCGGGATCTTAAGCTACTGATGTTATTGCAAAATGATGTATAATAAATATAAATTCCTACCCTTTCTCATGAGCAATGTTCGTAAGTAAATTTTTGCCTATATTTTAAGTACAAAATGCCAAGATTGAAAGTATGCAGTAAACAAGCAGGCATCATCAACATCGTTCTGCAATCAGTGAATAAAAATCTTTTTATACGTCAAGGAATGTCTCATTTGTTGCGCGAATGAAAAACAAAACAAGGGAATTTTTTATTATATTTTATTAAACTCTTTATACGATTTACTTTTTGCTGGATGTCGATTTATTTATTTATATGCTTTTTGCTTACATTTATTTTATACCGCTCGGTAGAATCAAGCATAAGAAAGAGATGCATGTACCTAAATAGCTAGATGGGCAAAAAAAAATTATTGTAAGAAAGGAGGATAGAAAGAATAATCTTGTGACTGAAATTGTAGCATATCTTTGCTAAAAGCAGTTAAAAGTCAAGAGATGAAACAAGAAAAATGTAATAATAATATAACAGAGCTAGGCACACACATCGGATATATGAGAGAAGATTGAAATGAGAAACAATGAGTCCATTCAAATGTTCAATAAGAAATATACAAAAATCTTTTCTGCTGCCCTTTTTGTGTGCTGGATTTATATTTCGATGTCTTCTGGAAATAACTTCGAGTTGAAATGAAATATAAAAAAAATTGTATCAATTCTAAGTTGACTCTTTTTTCCTCCTTTCTTTCATTCCTCAACATGGGAAAAAGAAAAAAAAAAGTTGAAGAAGAATGAAATGAAATAAAAAAAAAAATTCTTTTCTTTCATCAAATTATCGACTTTTTCTTTTTATCTCTCCTCTTGATGTTATTGTTCTTGTTGCGATTAGAACATGATGATCAGTTTGTGTGTTGTTCTTTAATTCTTGTTGCTTCATAAGATTTGGAGATGTTCCTGCAAACTCAGTATTAGCAAACCTTTTATCGCGAGCACACCTTAAAGTGCGAGTTAAATTTAGTGAATGAATAAAACAGATTTAGAACAGGTGTGAAAAACTAGTCATCGAGTTTAGTCATTTCTTAGGAAAATTCCAGATCGTACAGATTTTTGTGGGTCACAAATGAACCACAGCACACAGTTTTTACAGCACTGCTATAACTGTATCTTGCGGATTTTTTTTTATAGTCTGAAAAAAAAATATTTTTGAGTTTTTAAAGAATCTTGAGTGAGTAATGTTGAGAAAAAAAAATGTTTGAAAGAATTAGTTTTATTTAAAAAAAATATCCGTTCTTACGAATCTAAAGTATGTTAAAAAACTTTAAAGGACTTTAATAACATTTTTTTCTCATCTCTCATAAAAACCAACAAAATTCAAAGCGGTTTCTCGGTTTATTTAATGAGAATTGTACATTTTAAGTGTTTTTATGATTATTATTGCAATTTATGACAAAACCCATAACCCATAACACCAATAATGACAACAACAGACAAAACAACAAATACACAAAAAAGAGAGGAGGAAGATATATCTCATGCAAGCGAGCAACATAAAAAATGATTATATTGCTATAGCAATGAGTTTACATGGTCAATTTAAAAAATACATATTCCTTTGCGGTTGTGTGTGCAATTCACATTTGTTCAAGGGTAATGAAATTTTATGAAAAATGCAGAGTGTTAATGTTGAGAGTAGCAAAACTTCTTCTTCCTTTAAAATATAACAAAACTTTTTTGGCCATACAGTTTCTACCAGGAAGGAACATTAAAGAATTATAGAATTTAAGCATAAAATATATGCACATCATCACCCATGATCATCTGATGAAAAAACAGTTGTGAACATCATGATGTATATTGCACTGTAATAAAACTATGTTAAAGCGTGTACAGGTCAAAAAAAGGAAAGCGTTAGCAATTGCATTCCCGAAAAAAATCTATATGTGTCATAAAAAAACAGTATAAGAAATAAATTTGCGCATGAATTATACTTTTTAACACATTTACTTGCTTGAACAAATACAAATGTAGATACAATGTGCATTTTAGTATTGCTTGATGGGGTGTCTTCTCACTTACTTAACTATGATACTCCACAACAATCCATCTACTCTAGAACTTGTCGACAGATTTTATGTTGTTTCACGCAGTGGGATGCCTACTCATAGTATATAATATCGAATATATACATGCATGTGTCCGACTCTCTATAGAGTTTTAAACGAAACAGGTAACGAAAAGTGTCTGTAAAATGCTCATAAGATACACTAAATGCCTCATTATAAATGTATTAATCATCAATTTTATGCATGTAAAACTTCATTCTTTTTCTCTTATTTTCATTATTTAATGCTTTCATTTTTTGTTGAAGCATGGCGATGATGATTGACGTTCATGAATTAATTATGATGTTACAATAATTGCTACTAATGGAAAACAATTAACATTCATTCATCATCTGATCGTATAAGTGTTAATAAAATATTTGTTATTTATAATTGCAATTGATTTTATACTCTGGTCTATGGAAGATACACGATTGTCATTAAACATCTTAAAATAATTTTGTGATCGAAATTGTTCTATGAAATCTTTACAAATGAGTTTAACGAACTTTGTTGCTCGTAGGACTAGATTTAATAAAATCTTTTGTAAAATTTTAAAGCTTAACTCATTTATAACATTATCTAAGGAGCATCGAGCATATTAATTATTTACTTCAATTTTTTTTACTTTTTTCAACAACATCTGTGTTTTTCAATTTTATAAAAAGTTCTGGTTTTCAAATCTTACGCTGAAAATTGTAAAACATCATAAAAGATTCTATATAATAATGAAGACATATTCAGTAAAAAAAAAATTCAATACTGAACTTCTAAACTTTATTATGAAGTAAGCAAAGCGACACAAAGGAATCAATAAAAATTTAGATGGGATTTATGACGCATTTTCATCTTGTTTTATAGCTTTAACAAAAATATTCCAACACAAAACACTTTTTGTGTTTAAAGCTATGGTTAAAAAAATTTACGATACACATTTTAATTGATAAACGTATCTTCTGCAATGATGATGGAAAGTGAACGTGCCTTCACAGTATTAATTTTTTCCTTGTGAATCCAGAACCAGAACTGATCGGAAATTATGAGCTTGTGGTTGGTTATTGCCTTTTGTTTTCATCTCTGTTCTGGTCGTCATAATCATCATCATTATTGCATGCATTGCTTCAACAACTTTTTTATGTAAATCCCACTGTGTGTTGCTTAAATTAACATCTTTTATTTTATGATATCATAATTTATTCAAAAACGCGATTCTTTTTAATTACAACATAATTAATCAAAATTGTTATTGAATTAATGCAATGCAATGCAATGCACGCTTATATTCAATACATTCATGCTTACACGCCACCCACATGAATTTGTAACACATAAATCATCAATAACTTTTTGTATCCAAAACACAGCAAAAGGTAATAATTTTAAATTTTTCATTCTTCATGTTCATCCTCTATATCTATAATTTCTTATTGATTTGATTGAATATTATTAAGGCATTTTTGTATTCTTCATGTGAACCTTTTGGGAATTTGTAGCAACTTTACTTTATGATGGATGAGCTCGTTTTTTTTGTGATGCATGGCGTGAGCTTTGCTTCTTGAAATATCCTCAATGGGTATTCATAACTTGCTATTTATCTAATTTTGTAAAACCTTTGCATTTTTGGGAGATCTTTTACATTTGAAAGAATCTATCATATTTGATTTTCTGCAACCTTTTAAGAATCTATTTTTTAGTTCTCATCCTCTTAGTGTCAGAAATTAAGTGAATGAAAGAAATATGAATGCCTCTCAATAGTTTTTTTTTGTAAGTAAGAGATGATTAAAGTGAAAGGTAAATGAAAATGAAAATAAAATGAATGATAATGAGGGAGACTGAGAATTCAATTGAAATTAATACTTCCGTGTCTAATTTCAGAATAATATGAAGTAGTTACTAACATATGGATTCTTCTTTTATAGAGAAAAATAATAAAAATATAAAGATATCTAAAGATTTCAATTAAACAATTAAGAAGAAAATTCAATAGAAGTGGTCAAGGCCTAAGGAACGTTCATAAATGATGTCAATAAGAAATGTAAATTCATCTGCAGAAAAATTATTTTTGAAATGCAATGATACACGGTTTTAGATCCGTTCCTACAACTAAATCCTGAACGTAACTTATTTACAACCCTTTGTAGAAACAGAAGAAGAAAAAGTTTCTCATAAAGATTCTCAGGTGCTCTTCTTAATGTCCAGTCCACTTAATTTTATTTTGGGCGCGATTTCTTTTTCTTTCCTTTCTTCATCATCTTCATTTCTATATATTGTGAAAGATAAATACCTAGTTTATTAAAAAAAATGAAATGAATTTATATTTTGAAAAAGATATAGAATTGAAAACCATCTTAACAGCTTTTAAGATGCTTCTTTGCTTCCCCACTCTATATATTTTTGAAAAATGTGATGATAATAATGATGATGATGACTTTTTATGTGTGGTAGCTGTTATGTCTAAATGAATAATGCCTTCATTTTATACACATGAAAATTTTATGGCTCTTTGACTACTGATTATAAAGTTGTGATGATTTTTTAATATTGTAATTTTTCTTCCTTTTATTTCAAGTGCTTTTATGATGTTAATGAAGTAATTTTGAAGAGTCGGCATCGTATTCTACAAAATTCAAAATATTATCAAAATAAAATCCAATCAGTTTATTAAAATATCTACTAAAAGTTTCATCATTTCTGACCTATTAACAGTTTTCATCAGAAATTCTATTCACATGTAGTTCTGTAGGAAATTAATACCACTTGCTTTATTTTCATTTGTTTGAGTATTTTTGTTACGCCCATTTCCAAAAAATTAGGAAATTGATGAAAAGAACTGAAAAATGAATGTTTGGGTTTTATTTTTCAGCACACAAAAAAAAATTTGCTCTCCCTCGCGTATAGTATTGCGATACAATTTAATCCAAATAAATTCAGATGAAAAGAATGAAAAACGAAAAAGAAAAAATTAATAATAATGCTAATAAACATTAAACTTTTTATTTTCTATGATACGGCCGGATTTCCTCTAATAAATTCTTTCTGTTGAATTTGAATTCGTACGTAATGTGGCATTTGATGGAAGACATTCGACTTTTTTTTAAACGAAATTTCTTCTCTCATTCTTTTTTATAAGTAGTAATTATAGCTGTTTTTGATGTTTTTTCTTGTCTATTTTTTATTTATTTTCATTCATCATAGAACGAACAAAAATCCTTTGAAAGGAATTTATCAGGCTATGCCAGGGAACGAAACGTAAAAGGGGAAGAATATTAATTTACATTTTTATTATTCACGTTCAAGAAACTGGATTGATATCAATTGATGAATCACTTGGCTATGGCTTTGTGAGTCATTTGAAAGGAACTTCGAATAGTTTTTTTTCTTTACATTTTTGTTAAACATTCTTTTTTAAGCTATCTATGAGCACACCTTTATGTTCATTTAAAATATTGATTCAATTTTTATCAGTAAGATTTGTCGTTGTTCAAAAAAGCATTTCTTAACATGTTAATTGTAATTAGTCATAAAAAGTTATTTTAAACAAAATTTGAACTGATTTTAAGAAAAATTAAACAAATTTTAAAACAAAAATGTATTATTTTGATTTTAAAATATTAAGCAACTTAGGCGAAAATATAATTTATTTCCATATATGCTAAAATATTCTCTTGATCTCTTATACAGATTACTGTCATTTGTCACTCATTTTAAATACATCTCTCTTTCTCTTACCTTTATTCCCCATTCTTCATTGATCGTCAACGAACAAAATAAAAAAAAAAAACTTCAGACAGATACAAAACAAATTACACAATTTAGTGAAAAGAATTGCGCCCAGATCCAGTCTTTATTCCTCATCTTTGTGGTTTCATTCTTTGATTGATTTGTTTTGTACTCAAATTAATTTGAATTGATTTAAATCTTTTGATTTATAAATTTACATTATCCGCAAACAGAAATGAAAGAATGAGACAGACTACTCATATACATATGATATGATATGATATGCTTTAGTCGATCTTTAATACTTTTAAAAGATGGAGCTTATGAAGTTTAATTCGAATCAGTGAGCATTATACTGGATGATGTCGATGAAAACTGTTGAAAATTATACGAAACTGTCAGTAAAAGGCATTATAAAAATAGGGATAAATTTAAAGTTCCGATCGTAATGATAATGATATTACATAATATGAGTTGACAAGTAATTAAATAAATAATTCTCAAACCAATTCATCAATAATAAATATTCATTGCTCCAAATCGGAATAAATGACTTTTAAAAAATATGTTTTATTAAAACAAGAGCCATAAAGATGTAGAGAATTGAAAGAAAAAAAGAAGTCTATAAGACTCAAAAAATTTCGTGACTAAGGCATTTAAAAGAAAATGAATAATAAATTCATCATCGTTATAATCTTATCGCATGCATATTCTTTTATAAATATACCTTCAAATAATATTAAAAAAATACATTTAATTAATATGAAATACTTTTCATTCAACAGCTATATAGCTTTTATAGATGAAACTTTTTTGGTTTAATTTAAATATTTGCATAATAAACTTAATTGAAGATATTTCATCAATTGATGTAAACATTTATAAATTTAATAAATTTTTACCAAAAGCTAATGGTTAAAGTCATATCGATGATTTGGTGAGGCATCAAACCTATTTCATAGCACTATCGCTTTGTGCATAAATGAATGGGGATAGAACCAACAATTAAGAGTGCAGAAAATAAGTTTGTAATTTTATTCACATATTTTCTGTTTATTTATTCATTACAATAAATTTAACTTGACCTTTTTGCTTAAAGTTTAGCATGAGAAAAATGAAAAGAAATTTATGAATATAAAATATATATCTACATATATCTTGACATCTTAATACGTGCATTTTAAGAAATTCTTTATTTCGTTTTGCACATAAAAATTAAGTGAGCAATGAAAAAACAGAAAGAAAAGGAAGCATCTACAAAAAATGTATTCAGCATGTTGTGTGCTGCAGCAGACATTGAGGCAAAAAGTTGAATGAAATGAACAATTTGAGAAGGAACTAAAAGAAAACACATGAGAAAAGGGATAAAGATGAAAGGAGTGAGTGAGAGATATTGTGAATAAAAGAGTATCATTCTAAAATGATAAATAAGCTCAACAAAAGGGAGAAACATTTATGGAAATTTATAGGCTTAGTGTTTAGGCGCACAGAGTTGAACTTTTTCTCTTTGAGGAACTAAAAAAATCTTCTTAATCGCTCCTGCATCTACATTATTTTATGAATGCATTAGAAACTTTTACCTGTCTATTTAAATGCCTCCTATTTTTCTCAAGTGCTTCAACAACCTGCACACAAGGTTTAAATTTTGTTTTAAGCCCCATCAATATACATTCATTGTTATTTTAAGATATTCTTTCCTTTCTTTTTCTTCATCTTCATTTCAATTTTTATTATTATATTTATACCATTCAGCTGAGACTTGTTAACGAAACTCTCAAGTGATTTTCAAGTTGACAGTAGAGATTGGCTCAAACACACAAAAAAAAATCAGTATATTTGCTCTTTAGATTATATGAAAATAAATATCGAGAAAATAAAAAATTTAAAGAATATTGGGGTAATTTATGAACTTCCACTGGCTTTTCTTGCTCCTGCTGTTGATTCAGATTTTTTTTTTGTACATTTGCTTACTTATTGGCATTCACAGCAAAAGAACTTATTATCAAAAAACGAATACGTGGAGCAAAAAGAAAAGAATGTAATAAGAAGTATTAGGCATTATTAATTTAATGAATCTCTCGGATTAATTTTTTTCCTCCTTTTCTGAAAGCATTCTATCTCAATTATTTATTTTTGTGATGATTTCTCTTCTTCATTTACTTTGCATTTAAAGCATTGTACCTGTTTTACAGAGCATCAAAATATGAAAGGGATTAAGGGATGATGTAAATTTAAATCTTTTTTCTCTGTCCTCTTTTTCATTCCTTTATGAGCGTGATTCGAAATTTGTTGCAAAACTCTCATATTTTATGTCTTTTTTTAAAACTAATGAGTATTGTTTATTATTATTTTTAAATGAACAGGTTGTCGAGAGACTGCATTCATTTATGCTATGACAAGTGCGGCAGTTACACATTCCATCGCACGAGCATGCAGTGAAGGATCTATTGAGTCATGCACTTGCGATTGGTCTCATCAGAATGAACCACCACAAGCCAGCAAATCTGAATCAGTTTCTGATGTTAGACAATGGGTAAGTTTGAATTGAATTTCACATATCAAAAAACTTTAAATGATTAAACTATGACATTCTCAATAGGAATGGGGTGGATGTTCTGACAACATTGTTTTTGGCTATAAACTCGCAAGAGAATTTGTCGACACAGGCGAACGAGGACGCTCATTGCGTGAGAAAATGAACTTACACAATAATGAAGCAGGCCGTGTGGTAAGTAAAAAATGAATATAAGAACAAATCGCGTACAAAGTGAAGAAGAAGGAACAAAAAAATTTAATCTTCAGGCGATTTTTTTTTCCTTCTTGTCTTCTTTTTTAATTTTATTTTATTGAAAATTCCTCTCTCGTTTATTTGCATATAAATATTGCAAATTAATAAAACCTTAAATTATTTAATTAGCGCACAACGATATCATTAATAAAGCACGACGTAATTAAGCGAAGAGAATGAAAACAGTTTTAATAAGTTTATGTCAATTTCGATTGAAAAATTAATAATTACGAGACTATTTTATAAATTTTGCAAAATCAGCGAAATAAATGTATTTGGTATAATGTTTCATGGATGAGCATTAATGGCACTGAAGAAATATAAATATATTGGTAAACAAGTATTTAATTTAAATGAAGAAGAAAGAAAATATTGAAATGCAATGCAATGAAATTGAAGTTAACTGTTTTCGTGTGCGCCATGCCACACAAGATGTTTGTTGTTGATCGGTGTAAAGCAAAAAGAAACGAGAGTAAATAATAAAAAAAACTTTCAATTGAAAGTTAAATTAATGCCAAGCTTAATGCAACAATAAATTTAAAGGAAAATATATTGGAAAACTTCATATCACAGCATGAGACTTTTTTCTCAAAAAAATTTTGTTGACATCAAAAAAAAACTTTTTAAATGAATTGACACTAAATTCTGCCATATCCACATTCTTCTGCTACTTTTTCTCTTCTTTAATTTTTTCGATTTCTTTGAAGTTCTCACTGCGTGTAAAGAAATGCAGAGAAATTCTGAAGTGAATTGATATGCCGCTATTATCGTGCCAATCCGACAAGTATTGGAAAAGCAATTAAATTTGTTATAAAAGTCTCGATAATTGGCAATAATTTAATCGAATTTTTAAAAGGCATTATAGAATTTGTAACTTTTATTACGTAATGATCTTCTCGAGTATATTGTGCACTTTATTATAAATGAATTTCTTGAAATTTTATCCTAAAAATATTACTTCAATTTTTTATGGCGCTAAGTTCTTTGAAATTACTAATTCAAAGCAACCAATCAAGAAAGGAACTTTTTTTATTTGAAGCACCTCCTATAATAAATCTTAATAATAGCAATCAATTTATTTATGTTTGATTTGCAGCACGTGCAAGCTGAAATGCGTGAAGAATGTAAATGTCATGGCATGTCTGGATCTTGTTCTGTAAGTAGACGAATTGAATATATCTTTCTAATTCACTATGAGACTTTTGTTTTTTTATATTTCAATAATAATGATAAATATTTTTACAGGTAAAAACTTGTTGGATGCGCTTACCAAATTTTCGAGTCATAGGAGATTCATTGAAGGATCGTTTTGATGCAGCGACAAAAATTCAAGCTAATAATAATGTTAGAAATAATAACAATGAAAATCAAATTATGAGAAATAACAGAAGGGGTAACAAAAATGCTAATTCAAACAGTGCACGTGAAACAAATTCTGTACATGGACGGGGACACAATCAAAGAAAACAAAATAGGTAATAAATAATATAGTCTTGCTATAAATTCATAATATTAATAAAAAGTATTTTATTTTATTGCTTCAATTAGATATAGATTTTCACTTAAACCCTTCAATGCAGACCATAAACCACCAACAACAAAAGATCTTGTATACTTTGAACAATCTCCCGGATTTTGTGAAAAAAATCTTCGTTTGGGAATATTAGGAACACATGGACGACAATGTAATGATACTTCAATAGGCGTAGATGGCTGTGACATTCTGTGCTGTGGCCGAGGTTATAGAACACAAGAAGTTACAGTAATCGAGCGATGTGCGTGTACATTCCATTGGTGTTGCGAGGTAAAGTGTAAGAAATGTATAACAAAGAAAACCATTCATACATGTCTCTAGGCGACTTTATAATGTCTTTCTTAAAGAAGACAATTTTAAAGTAAAATAATGAAAAAAAGAGTTTTTATAATCTTTAAGAATATAAACAAATAACGCTTGTATTTTTACTGTAAATTAATTTTTATTGCTAGTATGTTTATTAATTTTTATGACAAAAAAATCAAAAAAATTCTAGACAGAATTTGACAGAAAAATTGTTGACATTTTTCAAATAATGTAAATATATTAAGCTTGTAGAAAGAATTATAAAAATTTAAATGAAAGATTGAAAGAAATTCAAAAAAAAGAAAAGTTTAGATTAAATTGTAAGGAAGCCAAAAAATCGAGTCGCTAAATTTATTGCCTTAACATAAGAATATTTTCCTTCTACTTATAAACTTTAATCTATCTCATTCTATTTTTAAATTAATACTTAATAAACTAATTACAGTATTAAGCAACAAACTAAGGCCCAGTTTATTTAAAATAATATATTGTGAAAAATGTTGTACATATCAGACGATATCAAACGATTTGTAATATTATACGTATAAGAATATTAGGAAAAATTCAAAATTGATGAAGTTTTGACAAGTTCTGAATTAAACGTTAAAACAAAATTAAAGATCAGAAAAAAGGTCAATCAATATAGGAAATTTTTAATTCTATTCTCCAAGTAAGTTGTGTTTCTTACTCCAAAAAAAGTTTAAGAACCACTGCCAAAATAAAGCTTGAAGTGATTTAGAATTTATCAAAATTTCATCGATTTATTAAGAATATTCCTAATTGACACTAAATATAAATATCTATCTATCTCAATCAATAAGTTTTTTCATCACCTTTTATTAAATATGAAGGAAAGAAAAAAATAACTTTATTGTCAACTAAAGACTGATATTATATAATTATTTTTAAACAAAATTAATGAAAATGAAAATCATTTGAAAATAATAATTTTAAACAATAAGTAAAGAGAATGAAATTGAAATTCTTTAGATTTTGAAAATAGAAAAAAAAACTATGGAAGCTTTTGACTCGAAAGCTGCAGTGACAAATTTTCCCAGTAATAATTGAAAATAATAAAATAGTATTTAAATAGGAATATTAAAAAAAATCGAAATTTTAAAAAGAATGAAGTAATTAGTGAGCCATAAATCACAATCAAGTATAGTAATGCACTAAAAGTTATATGAATTTGTAAAAACTTATGACAATCATTAGTGTATGAGGAATATAATAAAAAATGATGTAATTTATTAACGCTTTATTTAATGACAATTGTAATTAATATTGTAAATAGAAAATATTTTATTATTTGAAATAATAATAACGATAATACTTTTTATACATAAAAAAAAAATGCTAACATCATAATTTGAAATTGAAAAAGTTTCGTGGCAAATGACAAATGAAATCGTGTAAACGTACTTAAGAAAATAAAAAAAAAAAATAAAAAGGCCACAAAAATTGAAAAAATAAACTAAAATCAATGTGAAATTAAAAATCAAAAAAAGCAAATAAAAAGTTAACAAAAAGTATAATAATGAAAAACAGTCTATTAATTCCATTACATGTAGTGGCATTTCAGCATCTATCATTCCACTTTCTCTCAATCGATGTCCATCGACATTCCATCTCATCAATTCTCATATACACATATCTAGATATTTATCGATGTCAAATGCGCTTAATTTAAAATTGTGTAAGCACATTCATCGCATGAGTAAAGGCAATAAGCGTGTAAATATTTATAAATCACCATATCGAGCATGAGAAGAAGTCTATATAACGCTTCAACACTGATTAAATCTGATTGTTATTACTGCTGTCGCCTTTGATCATTTTTTTTTCTTTCTTTCCCTATCGTCTTTCCTCTTTCTTGTCTTTTGCTTTGATGAGAAGCGCATGCAGTTCAAGAAAGAAATGCGCAAATAATTTTCACAGTACACTGAACAGAATTAACTTAACTTTACCTTTCTTTTACAATATTTGTGCTTGCTTTGCACGCTCTACTCATATAACTAAAATGCATGCATGAAATGCGCAATGGTCTTTTAATGCGTTAAGTAACAAACAATTTCAAAGTTATAAGGGAATTCGTAATTATTTTTTTAAGGACACAAGATACAATCCATTGAAAAAATAAAACGTGACAAGTGCAATTTCAATGAAGGTTACTAAAAATTCCATTAAGTCAATATGATTGAGACATAAATTGTATAAATCAAATTATCAATTATATTTAACATAGCAATAAAAATGAAAAAATAAAATTAAATGTAGATATTGATTAAGTGTTGATATTCCTCCTCTTTATTTTCTTTTGCTCTCTTTCCTCCAAATCAACACAAATTAATCTAAATGTGGAGAATTCACAGTTAATATCTCGGCTTCGCTTCATCAAATTCGTTAATAAAAGCGTCATAAAGTTCTCATTAACATATTTTAACGTCTTATTTTTTTTTTGCTTAACATTCCATCCACTCATTAGTATGTTTTAATCATGATTTGAATTGAAAAGAGAGAAAACAAAACTTTATAAAAATTTATTTGTTGATTTTTAACGTTTGTAAAAAAGAAGAGATAATTAATTAAAGATCAGGTCGAGATTCATTTGAATTATGTTCCTAATAGTTTAATAAAAAGTTGTTCTAAACCTAGACTGGTAATTGAGTAAAGGAATTTACAAAATATGTGCATCGTAAATTCTTTAAAGGTAATGGATGGTGCTGAAAAAAAATCTAATTCTGAATATAAGTACCATGTCTTTAGAACCGCGACACAGAAAACCAACAATTTAGTCAAACTTAGTCAAACTTGGTTTGAGAAGAACTGCTCTAGTTGTTCTTATATAATTGACTGTAATACTTGATATTATGGACAACATTTTATTGAGAATAGTTTGAAAAACACTTCTTTAGTCTTACCTCACCCCCAAAATGGATCGTAATAAGTGAACGACCCCGTATCTTTTAAAAAAGAATAAGAGTAAAATATTATCGGTTTCAAGACCACACGATGAGAATTATTCACATGAGAAGTTGAGAGTGACAAAAATAGAGAAAGATTAGCTATAAGGCAATCAAGTCTGGCTTTAATCCTAAAGAAAAATGAGAATAAAACTAAAGTGTAGTCAATTCGAAGCCTGTTTGTCTCATTTTGTGTCTTACCTTATAAAAAATTACAGAAGTCCTCATGTTATTGATCGAGGGACTTAAGCGCATTTTTGTGCTAGTGATCAGTATTTGACTATCTAATTATTTTGCGTTTATTTACAGATCATTAGAAGATTAGAAGATCATTAATTTTAGTGTAATTAACAAATAATTAAATGTCCATATAGACAGTCTTTATCATTTAACTGTTTTTTGAATTTCAAATTTTTACTGGCCAAAAAAATCGAATTACTGAACGCACCCTGATTACAAATTTAACACGGTAGAAAATAGTTCAAATTTCTGAACACGTGTTTTTCATATGAAATAAAAAAATCATAAATTAAAGTATAAATACACTGTTTTAAGACTTTTAACTGTTCGGCCCGCCAATAACTCGATAGAACTGAGCTAATAAAACAAACCCGAGCTCTCTACGATGTCTGGTTAAAAAGTTTTTCTTGCCCCAAACAGCCGAACAGCCGAACAAAGTGTATTATTAAGCTACCTTTTAGAAAAAAGTTTCAAAAATGCGCTAAAAAAATCAACCTTTAATAGCGGAATGCTTGTGGTAAATGAGGTGAGTCATCGAAAGAAATCATTTTATCATCCCAAAAGAAAATAATTTTTGTAAATGACATACGAAGTAAAGCCACACAGAAGAAAGATTGAAGCCAATGCACATTTTTTGATGATGGATGGTTAAGCAATGAAATCCTTTCACTTATTGGATCAAAATCAGATGTCGTTTTTTTAGAGAGAAACGACAAAAAATCAGATTTGATCAATCACTGAAGATGTTTATGTCATTGCAAATTTTTAAATTTGACATTGAGAGATACGATTAAAATCTGTTGAGGTCATCAACAATAAGAATATTAATTTTAACTGAAGCTCATTCAAAGCTAATGAATGTGAGATTCGAAACCACAAATTATATTGAATTAATATTTTTTAAAAGTCAAATAATTAATCTACCAGAATATTAAATGAGCTTCTGTTGACTGAACATGTCCATTTGATGTCAAAAAGCATTTTTATTGATCACAAATGATGAAAAGCCGAATGAAATGTTTAAGCGAAGACAAAGTGACAAATTAAGTAAAATAAATAGTGATGAGTGAATCGTTAATCGTAATGACAGACTAAGGGTCAAAACAAATAACAAGAGACAGAGTCAATGAAGCTTTAATATCATTTTAATTTAAAACTCTTTCACTTATTGACTTTTTTTTAAACTTCTTTAAATAAGGCTTTTATAAATTTATCAATTAAAAATGTTTATTCAACTAATTAATTCCTTCATTCATCGGCTAATTTTATAGTTGTTCCAACGTTGCTAATGATCATTTTTTGAAAGATGCAATAAATTAATTTCGTGCCAATTTAAAATTAAAAAAATCGTAATTTTTTTACGATTTTCACTTCTGCCAAAATGTATGGATGCATCTCATTAAGTTCAAACTATATTTCGAAGAAAAAATAAATATTTTAAAAAACAATTTACTACATTTTAAACGTCTCATTTATTGAATTTTAATTTTTTGAACATTTTAATTTTTTTTTCCAATCGTTTCAAAGATTCAGTGACTTTCAATGGTTAGGCCAACAAATGGAGTGGGGCAAGAATATTTTTATTTGACTTCAATTGAGAGAGCTTGAATTAATATCTTACATCGATGACATTTGTTGAACCCAATCTGTAAATTCCGAGACTCCTGGAAATATTTAAGAATATTAAGTTGTAAAATCTTGAATCATCAACAATATTCAGAAAACACGAAATTAAAATTCTTACTTGTATAAACATCTGGCTGGTTAGTACCGCATATCATTAATCCGTAACTTACGACACCAGCAAGTTTATTTTTGCATACTAATGGTCCACCGCTGTCACCATTACACGCTCCTGTTTTTCATTTGAAATTAATCAATTTATTTATTTGTTTAATGTCATATTTACGAACCTTCAAGTCCCTTTGATTTTGTACATAGTTCAGTAGGAGTTGTGCTGTACATTTGATTGCATTCTTCATTTGTGATTGTATAAAATTTAGCTTCCTGAAGTTCATTAGGAATTCTTCTTCCTATTACCATTCTAGAAGTGTATCCCCAACCAGTACTACCGAAAAATTTTTAAATTATAAAGTTTAAACGTTAATTCATAATTTCCTTTGTATTTACAGTAAACATTCCTCTCCGCCTTCAATATGTTCTGTTCCCATTTCAATTGGTGTTATATTGTCACCCATACTGAATGACTCCTTCAAACGACAAACAGCAATATCGCTAGTGTTTAATTCTACATAATCAGGATGAATTTCACAGCTATCAATCATAATTCTTTGTCCTTTATCTTCTTCGCGTAGATCATTAGTTCCAGCAAAAACTGCCATACGACTTGTATTGAAACCTTTGATACTGTTAGGAACAATAATTTTAAAAGTTATTAAATTATAACACAAATTTTGCATTACCAATGAGCAGCTGTGACAATATGGTTTTCATTAAGTACACTTCCTCCACAGAAATGAGAAAAGTTTCCTCCTCCACCACCACCGCCAAGAATTTGCATCATTCCACCCAAAAATCCAGGATTACTGTTTCCTTCTTTCTTTTGCATTTGAAGAGATATTTGGTATGGAACGCGATTTTCTGATTTTGCACCTCCAACGACTCTTCCATTTCCAGAATTGTCAGCATCTTTTTTGGAACTAAAAAGTCCCATAAAGTCGCACTTTACATGGAGTAAAAGTAACGATATTAAAAACAATTTCAACATTTTATTTTCACTTGTTCCTACTCAGTTAGAAGACTTTACTTCAAATGACTTGTCAACAGCTAGAAATCATTGCATTTTATACTACAATTTTAAATGCAAATTTTTTTATTTTCTTTTATTTTATCAAAATCACAACAATGTGTATTATCTACAATTGCTTTCTTTGGTTGACTTCCTCGCAATTGTTAGAAATTAAATGTGTACAAAACAATCAAACTCATAAGGTGAAGTTAAGCTTAATGAAGCTAACACATTTTGATATCAAAGTAATTTGTTTTTTTATTTCTATAGCTGGTAAACTTCTATTTACTCGGGAATTAACAGGAACGGAACTTTAAATGATTTTTAAGAATGTAACAATTGTTGAGATAGGTAAGTGCCATTAGGAATGCGTTTTAGCATTTTCGATACATAATAATCCTTACCAGCCGTACAATTATAAAATCAAGTTTTTAAAAAAGTTATCATCTCACGACACTAAACATTTATTGTTCTTTTTCCGACATCTTGCACAGCAACTAAAAGTTATTAACATTCCGTTCATTAGCATTTGAATTTTGCAGTCAAATTAAAATTTTATGAATATGGCGCAAAGTTAAATGCAAGTTGAGAATCATAAATAAAAACTTAAGATGCATTTTATTTGTCGACAATCACTGCTCATTCGTGTTTCATTCCTTTTCTTGACATATTAAGCTCGCATCCCACAGTTAAATAATTTAATTAGGAAGTCTCGGTTATTTTTTAAGTTTTCTTTCTTTAATGTTCTTGCACAAAAAAGAAAATATTGGATTTTTTTTTCAATAAAGCAATAAAAAACTTATTCTTGTTGTTGTTCAGAATCGGCAGCTGTCATAAATATTTGAAGCAGTTTTATTACATAACTCTTGTGGCGTGGCGGCTCATGCTAAGGTAATGATCAAATTCACACTTCTAGTCTTTTTGTTAAAAATAATTTTTGTTTTTTTTTTGTAAAAACTTGGACCATTCATAAAACTTAGAAACTTTATTGATTTCATTCCCATGATACAAAGCATGAGTAAGTTAGTCAAAATGATGAAGTGGGTAGTGAAGAAAAAATTCCACTAAGGTGTAAAATGTCATTCATAACTTAGCTATTATGTTGTATGATTATGAGAATTTTTAATAAAAAGAAATAAAGACCTTGAAAATCTTTCAAAAGTAATAATAAAATAATAATAAAAGTTTTTAAAAAAGAGATGAAAATCAAGAGGTCGCAAGGCAATAAAAGTGAGAACTTGTAAAATTCACTGAAAACACGTGTAAACATACATTTGAAACGATACAATCATATTATTGTACGTGATATGACTAAAAGCATTTTTTTTATTGTTTTCATCTTTTGAATGGAATAAAGGCAAGAAAGAATCTTAGCACAAAAAAAATATAGTAAAGACAAAAAAAAACGTGGTAAAATAGTTTGAAAAACTTTATATGGTTCATTGAGTTTTAAACGTTGTTGCTGCGTTTATGGTAAAAATTTTATATGCAGAAAGTTTACGTACGTACGTGAGCTGATTGTTGCGATTTATACAAAAATGCTGGACTTTTTTCATTGCGCAAGTAATAATTCCTGGATTTTAAAATCTAACGCAATTGAATTTTATCCCAAACCTATTTTTTAATTCCTATAGCAAATTTATTGGCTGTATTTTGAGGTCACAAATAAAATTCAACGCTGCTAGTTTTAATATTAACATAAAGCACTTTAAAGCAGAAAAGTGAAGACAAAGAAAGAGAAACAAGGAGAAAAGGATCACGATGATGCAGAAGATAAGTCGTAGGTTGCTAATTGACCACTATTTCCATTCTGAATATTCATAATAATGTCATAAATGCCGTTGCTAAATGTAAAAAATTATGCTTTTAAAAAAACATTTTGCTGTCATAAATAATTCTTTCTTGTTGCCTTCCTTCTTCTCGCTCTCTATCTGTTAAATCGCATGATATAATGGTATGAAATGCATATACAAATGTATGTTAAATTGTTAAGTTAAGAATAAAAAAATGTAAGAAATATCAAATATAAATTTTATAAAATAAATGTTTCACGAGTAAACAATTTATATCTCAATAAATGCTGATATGTTAATCTTCTCGTTCTTGTTCCAGCAATTTCACTCTTGTGGTGTATTGTATTGTAGATATAAGCAAAGAAATTAAAGTAAGGCACACATGTTGAGACATTTCGATAAAAAACAATTTAGTGTAATTTATATCCAATGTTGATAACCTTCCATTGAATATTTAAATAAAATATTTTAAATACCGATAGCCTTGCAATGTTTTCATCTTTTAAGCATAACAATTTCATTTTCATTACTTACCTTTTTCTGAAAAAAAAAATACAAACCTTTATGATTTTTTTTTTGCTTGCGTGAGATACAAAACAAAAAATCCTTTAACATGAACTTCAATTACATAATTTCGGGGTGGGCAGATGTGGATGGACCGAATGAACAAAAAATACTGATTGCAATCATCATTTTGCAAAATGTGTACACACAAAGGGCGATATAAATGTCTCAATTTAAAGCTTCATTAATGCCAAAGAAAATGAATTACATACATATATGTTTTTAAAGCTTGCTTTTGTGATTATTTTGATTGAAAAAAATGAGTAGGATAGTAAGCTTATAGAAGGCAAAAGCGCATTTTGGAAACAAGATTTAGATATTTAAAATTTGATTTTATTTTAAATTTTCAGAAATGGAGTTTAGAATGCTTGTTTTTTTGATATAAATCATTCACATACGATAAAGTATCAACATCAAACTATACTGAAAAGAAATCGACCTGCAATCGAATTGAATTATCGAAACATCCATAAATAAAAATTTTTCGTGTCGGTGCGAAAGGAAGAACCTAATAACCCTTTATTTAGATACATTTAATAGTCACGAAACATCTTAATATATTGTGTTTTGTTGCTTCTCTTTTTTTATTTTCTTTAAGACCTCCAAAGTAATTTTTTTTGTTCTTTTCCAGTTTGCAAATAAAAGCAGTTTATTCTGCCACATTCGATGTTTTCGATGGTATACCACCGTGTTGCTTTTTGAAGTATATAATCATTGCCACCTTTCTCACACATCGTCTGTTTGGTATCTTAAGGGCATGTTTTTATTTCTTTATATAAGCAAATTTCATGTTTTATGTGCACACAAATTGTGTAGAATGTTCAGGTTATGCAGTTGATGAAGTCATTTTCTTTTCGAAAAAAAAAATAATCTTTTGGTTTTTCAGACCGTGGAGATTCATAGTTGCTTTACTGATATAAATTAGTAATATTTTATCAATATAGTATGAATCATAATGTCTTCCTTCAGAAATCGATCTCGTCATCAATAAATGCAACATAATTTCTTGTATGAATCATGTTCATTGTCATGGTTCCGCATTCCTACTCGTATTAAGTGAGTAAAATTCTCATTCGAATCATTCTTGTCATCTTAAACTGACTGGGTTTATTAAAAGGTATGAAAATTACAAATCATCAAAATATGTGTATTATATGGAGTCGTTGGGAAGCTAAAAGGAGGGAAAAGTGAGTATTGATGAACTATTTATTAAATACGAAAGCGCAGTTTTACCACACGTAATTTTTCAATAACTTAATAGTTTCAAGTAGCTCAGTCAGATAATTAATGATTTTTCTTCGAGCTTCTTGGGCAGTCAGACATTCAATATGTGAATTGAAGAATTGAATCTCTTTATGGAAAATGTGCTAAAATAAGTGACGAGGCTAATGGATTCTATGGAATCGTGAGAGATGAGAATTAATGGAATTCTTTTTGTGCGTGTGTATTTGTGTGTATGATTAAACATTATTAATTAAACATTTAAAAGCTTTTTCATATTAAAATTGAACAAATTGATCGACACAATATTGAAAGGTCTCCGTCATATCATCTCAATCTTCATTTTTTTCCATATAATATTCAATATTGATGATCACGTATGTGAAATGGATAGGTAGATAGATGGATTGGATGGATTCAAAACAAAAAAATAAAATTAACAGTTTTCCATTACCAGCTTATGAAAATTATCACTTTTTAAAAATTATAGTGATGGCAATAAGAAGCATGATTTTTATAAATTAACAATAATTGTATGGACATAAGGAAAACCGAGTGTTTGCCAAAGCACCTTTCACACACTCTTGTTGATTCTCATCCATTCAAATCATTAAGGAGAAAAATTAAAACATTTTTTTGCTTTGTCATTGTGAATTTTATTGAAATGAATCAGGCCAATAACAGAAATAGAAGAAGATGAAGATGGAAAAAAAAAATTAAGTTAATCAGAATTCCATATACATTTTACGAATGATTCGACGGCCTTCACGCGATTGAAATTTATTCTTCATAACATACAACAGTAATAATATTAAACATATTAAATGAAAGAAAAAAAGAAGAGTAAGAATTGAACAATTTTCATTGAGATGAAACGAAATCTCTACTAACGAACAATGAGCCGTAGACACATATCAAATATTAAGACGAAAAATAAAATTAGTTAATTGAGAGAGATATACTATTTGTAAGTTTATACTGATGAAGATGGTCAGCAATCAAATAATTATATATGTCTAATGCTATTGGCATTTCATATACTTTTATAGTTTTTTTCACTCTTTCATAAATCGTTTAATAGATAGATGGATACATATATTTAATTTAATAAGATTGCATCAATTTATTCTTCTTTTAAATTTATATATTTATTATATAATTTACAGTACACAGAATCAATATTTGAAGATATTTCTATAAAATCTACAGTTTTATTCATAAAAAATTTTGAAAATGAAACATGTTTAAAACAGTTAAAAAAGATTTTTGATCAACGTTATTAATGATTTAGATTACTTTTTGAGTACTGCCATTTCATCAGGTTCATAGTATTTGCTTATAAAATTTTCAAGATTAAAATCTTCCGAGCTTTCAATTTTGATCTGTTCCTTTCGATCAATCCAATCAATTAACCTTTTTAGAAATAAGTTATCTCCAGTTCGATCCTTATCTGCTTTCAAGATTTCATCGATAATTTGATTGAAGTGAAGTTTTGCTTGTAGATTTTTTTTTTGGAACGTTAAAGGACTTGGTAAAATTTGGTAATGATAATTTTAAAACTTACCACCAGCATGAGCATATAAAGTTTCTATTCCCAGCAATTTCAGATCGTCTTTTCTCGTTACAAAGCAATCATAAGCTTCAGCTAGGATGCAATTAATTTTGTAGACATTCCGTTGCTTTACATAAAATTCCATTAGCATAATTAAAATATTTCCTTTAAGATCCAATAGAGATTTGTCAGATGCATATTTTTGAGCGATGTACAGAAGATTCTCACTCATTTCAAAATCCTCTAAACTGTCATAAAATATTATTAAAAAGTAAATTTTCAATGATTTAATCTTACCCTTCAAAGCATTTTATCATTTTGATAAGAGATTCGCAGAAATTCTTCGTGCATTCATATTTTTCGCTTAATACTAAAGCATGTTCAAAATGTTTTTCAGCCTCATCAAATAAACCCTGATCGAAGAGGCAATCACCATATTCAGTTTCGACATCAATTTCCAATTTAACATTATCATCAGAAATAATATTTCTTAAGACTGTCAATGAGCGACTTGCATAAATGAAAGCTGTTTTGGGATCATTTTGACCAATACGAATCTGCCTTGATAATTTTATCAAACAATCGGAAAGTTCTTGTGTGATCTTGAAGCAAAACATTTTATCTTCAAATGTCCAATCATCATTAGCTAATATATTTTTGTATGCCAATTCAAAATGCAATAAAGCTGCTTGATGCCAATGCAAACGATGACTCAAAAATAATCCATGAATATAACTCAAAATTGTGTATGATTTTGTTTCCTCTAGCTGTCTGTTGGCGCCAAATTGATTACCCTTAATTAACAACAGTTCAATAAGCCAGTCAAAAGATTCGTCTTCGTTTGAAAATTTCTTAACTAATTCAATAATGATCATTAACTCTTCTTCTCCGTTTTTGTTTTCAAGATTTACTAGTGACTTGAAAATTTCTTCTAATAAATTTAAATTTTTGTCATCTGTGAAACATTTATTGTGATTTTTATCAATTTTTAAGATTTCTCGAAAAATTGACAAAGCTTTATAATGTTTTGCTTCGTCTAAATCAATTGTCATGGCATCAACTAATGGTAATTTAAAACGACGGATTTCTTGAATACTTAAGTACGGAACTTTCTTTCGAAGCATGGTTTTGACAAAAGGTATTTGCTTACGAGATGCATTAGTAAGTTTTAAAGGAACATCCATAGTATCAAAAAATTCAAAATGTTTTAAAATTTGGAGAAAAAAAAACTATTAAATCAATTTATAATGAAAATGTTTGCTTTGGCCAGAAAATTGTGACAACTTACAATATGAAAATTCTTAAAAATGCTATCTGAAATCGCATGAGATAAAGACAAGTTTTAACTTATGATAAAATATCGGTTATCAGCATTCTTGCGAGTGATAGCAATAATAATCACATTAATCAATATTATTTGATTGAGCAATCAAACGTTTTATAGAATTCTTTCGAGACATCAGCAGTAAAAGAATTTTTATTCATGCGAATTGATTGCAAAGAAGAAACCAAAAAAGAAAATATTTCCAATCATTATTTTTTTTTTCTGCAAGCTTTGGAGCATTAAAAAGGTTTGTCATGCTTAAGTTAATGTAAGACAACGTAAAGATTTGCTTAGTAAAGAATATAAACTACAAAATTATCAAATGATGCCCAAAACGGATGGATGGTGTTTGTTCGTTTATAATTATCCAACGTGTGTGTTCCTCACGCCTCAATATCGTTCATTATATATTTTTGTATAAAAATGTGGAAAAATTGCCTGAAGATTTTTTTTCCTCTTTTTTTTCTCTTGACTTTTAAGTTCGACATAAACATCATCAATATCAGGTTTTTAAAAGATGCAATTTAGTTGTTTTTCTCTTTTTTTTCTTACCTTTATTTAAGAATGCATTGCAATATTGTGCGGTCCAAAAGAGGAGGGAATCGTTTTACACTTTAAATTACTTAATTTAGGTTTCGAAATTTTGTAATGAAACTAAAACGACGTTATTTGATGTTGCTTAAAATTTAAAAACACAGTTTTATTCACAATTACGTTTTCATCATTATTATTTAAATTTAAAAATTTGAACAGATTTGTCACAAATAATAAGAAACGTATGATAGAGTAAAATTACGAGTTGAATATAATTGCTAGGTCTTATTTAAGTGTTACTTATAAAAAATATAAAATTAATTTAATTACAATAGTTATATTTATCATGACTCACGAATAAACAAGGAATAATAACTTGAAATTAAAAAATTCGAATTGTATAGCTTTTAAATTAATTTGGATACGTCTCAAACATGTTTGACATGTTGGTTAAATTTATTGTTAAAACAAAAAGACTTTTGAGAAATGACAAAAAGCTTCAAAATATCAAAATCTATGATGAGTTTTATTTTACTGAATTTTCTTCAAGAAGTTACCAATTATTCTCAAAATAAAAAATCCGGCGAGAATATTTACAACTCGACAACTAATTTCAACACTAACGGCAAGTGTAAATTTCACGCTTTTCGATACAAGTGTTGCAGACGACATCACAACACCAAATAAACTTACATTGACAGTTGTATTTTACAAATAATGTAGTTCGTTGAAAGCCAAAATCGCAGCATAAAATTTCACAACTATCTTCACCTTTTGAGGTTATATTACATTCTCTATTGTGGATTCCTGAGAAGCAAAAAAAAGAATTCTTTGAATGATAAGGATTTATTCACTAATGATGTCCATTTTTATAGAACTTTCTAACATTTCATTTCCTTAAATGCTGGACATCATAATGAAGAGACTCTAAATTAACATTCAATAAAATACCTAAAGATCCAACCTTAGGATTCGGTTTGCAAAAATCTGGAGATTCCTCTGTGTATACGAGATCTTGTTTGGTTGGTGGTTTAATAGATAAACCTTCTGTCATGAAACTTGTGCCATCATTGCGTGCAATCACTTTCGATGCACCATCAAAACGATCACGAAGTCGATGTGCAACTTCTGAGAATGATGGTAATTTCATCCAACACGTCTTCATTGTACAACTTCCACTCAATCCATGACACTAATTTTCATCATTGAATTATTATGTTACAAATATTGCGCATGACAGTTTAATAATTCATCAAGTTAAAGATGTGGAAGAAATGAAATTTAATTTAAATAAATAAATAATGAAATCATTAAAATTGTTATATGTGATTATCTTGACTACTGACATGACTGGATTAGATATACTTACTTTACAATCGAGACGCATACTCTTCTTTACAGCCTGCGAATATAGAAATTATAATTGTTTTAAAAATTTGATATGAGAATCACGCATTAAATAATTTAAGAATATAAAATGCATATGAACACGTATTCAAAAATAGACGAGAAGATAAACATCTTTGGTCTTTAAAATTTCTGTTTCTTCATGTATTCGTGTGTTGCTATGTGATATTGCAAATTTAAAGGTGGTGTGTTTTGGGAAAACTAATATTAAATTCACATTGAAATATAATCAATCATAAGCGTGCATTTTAAATTATACAAAAAGGGAAAGATTAAAGGATAATAAACTCACCATTCGTCCAGCATCATTATTATGAATTCTGACTAACGTTTTAATATCACTACGACGTCGATAACGTGCATCGAGAAAATCTTTTGATTTTCTGTTGCCGAAATTAACATTATCATCACAACCACTCCACTCCCAATTTTCTCCCATTCCTGGTAATCCATCAGTTGGCGATGGAGATCTCCTCTTATTATTAGGATTTCTTGATTGCTTATTGCCATTCTTTTTTGGCTTCTTATTACGGTTTCTATAATTATTGTTGTTATTGCTTTTATTATTGTTATTTATGTTGCTCAGATCATCAATGCCTGTCATCTGATTATTATTTAATAAAACATTATGCCGTACAAGATTTTTATCGCACGAACATTCAACTAATTCCCCCATTGAACAGGATTTCGCAATTGTATACGAAATACCCGCAGCTGTAATGGCATTTACGAATGCAGTTTCTCGGGTATCTGAATAGAATAGCATGGACAGTAAAATTATTATAATTTTAAGGATTCGTCTTGATTTTGGCATAATGATAACTCACCTTTTAACAATATTTTTTTCATACTTCTTCTTTGTGTTGTGCAATTCCATTTGCGATGTCGAAATTGGTTCTCACATTCCCGAAAACCCAACGTAATTCCATTTGATATTTTTTTCAATATTGACGTTTTATTTCGACTATCTTGTTTGCATATTTCAAGTATTTTGTTTGGTAATTTTTGTGTTTTCTTACAAACTTGCATTGGGTCTAATAGAATATTACTACCCTCAGCCCTAGATCAATTAGATGAAAGAGAAAAAAAAAATAATTCAATGTGAATACTGAGAATATATATTTAAAAAAAATATTTGACAAAAATTGAACCTCGACAGCAATTAACATTATTTCAATAAGTTGCTTCTTTACGATGCTGGGTTATAAGTCCAGAAACTATAAGTCCAGAGATTATTAGTCCAGAAAATCAAAGTGACTAAAGGTTTATAAGTCCAGATACAAATTGCACTTGGACTTAAAAACCTCACGTGCAGTTTATAAGTCCAGGTCCAAATACAGCTGGAATTGTAAACTGCACGAGAGGTTTTTAAGTCCAGGTACATTTTATATCTGGACTTATAAACCTTACGTGTGGTTTATAATTCCAGAAAATTTATAAATTTTACTTATAATCTCAAAGTGCGATTATAAGTCTAGATACATTTTTCTGGACTTATAATCTTTGAAAATTATTAGAAACTTATTTAACTTATTTTAAATTTTTTTCTTTAAGGCAATTCTACACATGAATTTTTGAAAACTTCACACAAAGAATTCACATTTAATAATTTTTTTCCTCTAAAGTACCTTATATATCCTTTTAAACTGCTGTGTTTTATTATACCCCTTGATAATAACTTATTAAGATTTTTCATATCGGGTAGAAACCCAATGCGGATTATATTCACACCGTACCATCAAAAGTCTTATGGATAGACCAAGATTTGCTCAGCTGAGCTTCGCTAAGCATATGTTTGAAGGTTTAAAGCTTAACGAATATTCTTTTAAAGTTTTTTTAAAAAAAAATTTCATCCAAAGTTTAATTTTATAAAAATCACAGTCAACTTTTTTATTTGAAAAATTCGTAAGAAAGGAAAGTTTTTTGCTTTTTCTGAAGCAACGGCTGTTCCTACCTTGCCTAAAAACAATACAGCTCTTCTATAGAGCAGCACGAATCAAATGTAAAAAACTAGAAGTCTCTACAATGTCTCGTTATTGAGATTTCTTGCTTGCTTACAGAAAGCGTATTTTGCGATTTTCTCAGCAATGCCGCAACCAATTTGAAATCCGTTTCTTGAAAATTATGTAAAATTTCAGGCACAAACTTTTCATCTCTGAACATTTTAAGCTATCTTGTTCCATTTCCTCACAAAATTTGAAAAACTGATTTTTCAATCTGAACAAAACCAATAGATTCACACGTAAAAACGGTGTGAACATACTTACATTTTTAACGAATCAAATTCTCAAATTATATGGATCAAAAAATTCACAAAAAATAAAGAAAAGTAAAAATGAGATGTTCATTACGAGGATACAGAAATGTAAGATTCGTCCTGCTCCTGATCTATCTTATTACTTTCTCATATAAAGTAAAAAAGGAGCGTTGATCGAAACCCAACTGGTGCTAGAGTAAAATTGAGAATGTATGAAATCGAAAAAACTTCAGTCATCTTCGATTTTCTGATTGATTTCTTTTAAATCGCTAATTCAAAATGCTTCTAAAAGTGCTATAAACATAAGCTGCTACATTTAAGATTCAGTAAATATTTAGTGATAAAGATTTTTTATGATGTTCAACTTTAAGGCACTAGGTTCAATAACAGAGACTTAATAAAGAAAAAAAAATTGAATAAGTTTCAAATAATTTTCAAAGATTATAAGTCCAGAAAAATGTATCTGGACTTATAATCGCACTGTGAAATTGAGTGCAAGTGAATAAGTAAAATTTATAAATTTTCTGGAATTATAAACCACACGTAAGGTTTATAAGTCCAGATATAAAATGTACCTGGACTTAAAAACCTCTCGTGCAGTTTATAATTCCAGCTGTATTTGTATCTGGACTTATAAACTGCAAGTGAGGTTTTTAAGTCCAAGTGCAATTTGTATCTGGACTTATAAACCTTTAGTCACTTTTATTTTCTGGACTTATAATTTTCTGTGCACGATTTTTGTATCTGGACTTATAATCTCTGGACTTATAACCCAACATCCTTCTTTACTTATTTAAATTAAAGTTTAAATGATCGCCATTGTAAGTGGCACAAACTTCTAGAGAAATCATGACGTCATTACTTTTTAAAACATATTTTTAACTTTAATTTATTTTTCAATTTACCAACTATAGTTATAACAAAAAAAAATTTAAGAATAAACTACTTAAATATGACATAAGAAATAATTCTAGGAAATTTTTATAACGGAAATCTTGCCGTAACACGAAAACTGATAACCATTGAAGTGTTTAAACTGAATGTCAATAAAATGTGTGCACTTGTTGCCTTACATAAGACAGAACCAAAAGAAGAAGATAATTTTATAGTATTTTTATTAGATATTACCGATGACATCGGAAAAGATGTTTAGATGATCGCGTAAATTTAACCCATAAATGATTTCATTTTAATTTATGTAAACAGAATTTTTCTTTCTTTTTTTTTTGTTTACACGATATCGAAACATGTAACAGTAGTCAGTAGATTTGTTTTTGAATACATGTGGTGATCGTTTTTTTATGAATCTATCCTATCGCTTTTCGTCTCGGAATTGGTAGATATATTATGGAGAAATAAAATAAAATAATAAAACGAAAATTTATAAGAAAGAATATGAGGTGAGAGACACACTGGAAATGATTTTAATTTTATTTCTTAACGTGTGGCATATACGATCTATATCTATATCTATATTATACACACACTGATTTATGTAAATTAGATGCTAATGATCTATACAAAATGAGAAAAAAGAAGGATGAAAATAACACTCAACTCCTTCCACTCATTGAATAATGAGTTAAAAATTAATTTAAAAATCATTAAAGATCGTTATCAAATATGTGTGCCCCATCCAATAAAAGTGAAACATCATGTGGAACATTATCTGATCGTGTAATTTGCTGAACTTGTTCACACTACACCGTCTGCTCTTACTTTTATTTATATATATACATTTTCATTTTATTTCTCATTTCATTTTGATCTCTTTTTTTTCTTCTTTCGATTCTTTCTTTATTCACATTTCGGCAGCAACATTTGATTTGAAATTAATTTGAAGTCATCCACATTGAGACATGATTCAATTTATCTGATCATTTTCTTATTCTCTTTGATCACACACATGGTAATATATGTTGGTTTACGGAATGAATTAGTGATATAGATAGTATGGAATAGAGATGGAAAAAATTGATGACCGAATTAAGACAAAAGTTAATTTAGGGGATTAGACTTTCGGAGCTTTACAAATATATTAATTACATTAAGCTGCTTATATTATTGTCATTATAGTCTCTTCTCCTCAGCATAGAAACCAAAGCCGAATCAAAATTAAAAAAAAAAAAGAACCTTGATTTTTAGAATTTAACTTTATGAGTCATAGGTGATTGGAACATTCTATAAGTACAATAATAACAGATATCCTGGTTGCACTGAATCAGAAATTCAATATGCCAGGAAAGTGTTTATTTGTGACATTCATTTTTCAAAGGGAGGATAGTGAAAAAAGTTCAGCTTTTTCTTTTCATATCAAAATTATTAACCTTTCTTTCAAAAAAGTTTAGCTGCACTTTTGCTTGCCAGGAAATTAAGGCCCTTTTCTTTTAGAAAGTTTTCATAAAAACTTATTTTTCGTATTGATCTCAAACAGATAAGAAATAGAACATCATCTTTGAACAGCTCCTAGTTAAAATCCAGACAAGAGTGTTAAAAATCAAAATAGCTCCAATTTATTCATTTAAATTTTTTAAAGGTTTATTGCCTTTTATCATAAAAATCAAATAATCAAATTACTATAATTAATTCTTATGTCTATCCAAATAAATGTATCATCACACAAAATACTAAACAGTAGAAGCAATAACAAAAGATTTAAATTGGGTATATCTTAGCGACTATATATACATTTTAATATATGAAAAGGAATAAAAATTCCATTCTGCGAAAGAATAAATAAAGCATCGCATTAGCTTCCAGAAATCCATATCGGGTTACCACAGATTGTTGTTTTATAGCATGACAAATTCATTTAAGTTTCTTCTTTTTTCCTCTCTTATCTTATGTTTTATGAATCTCATTCCATTTCTTTCTCACTCACTCTCTCTCTTTCTCATAAGCTCAACGAGTAAAAGATTTTTTTAATGCACAGTCGTGCTCTTTTGGTTTGAATGAAATTTGTTAACATTATTCAAGAACTTAATAATAAAATTTTGTATTTCTTATTCTACCTTAATTTCTATCTCACTCACGCGGACGCTCTCACTTATTTCATCTTCTTTCTTCTCTTCTTTCACTAATGCCTCTTAATGTTATTCGATCACATGCAGAAGAAGAAGTCAATTGCTTCGAATTGGGACTTAATCGACAAAATTAAGCAATCTCATTTTATAGCCTGTTTATGAAATTTAGTTTTCCTTCTTTCTTTATTGGCATTTACTGGTGATATTGATCTTACTATATATTCACAAAAAAGTTGTGTACATATATGTATTTAACTGAATATGAATTACGGAAGATGAAGAAGATGAGTGTTGCAAATTTATAATTATTTTGTGGTTTTTTAAATGAGGATGAAAAAATAATAAAATCATAAAGGTTTTGTTGTTTAGTATGCAAATTTCACAACAAGATTATTTCAATGGACTTAACAGTTAACTTTTTGCATTGCGCATACAAAATATTTACATCAGTATTCTTTTATTTTATTAAATATAATTGCAATCCTTTATGCCTCTTATGTCATTAATCAGCAACAAAATATTTAAAATATAAACAAGAACTGTGCTTCTATTTAGCACACAGTACAATCTAAATAAACAATCAAACGTAGTTTCAATTTGCAATGTATCAAATTTTGACTATAAAGCATCAACAACTGCAGCAGGGCAGCTATCAAGTGTTGTATGTCTGTTTAATATTGCAACACTTGAAGCTGTGTGTTCGCGAAAACAATTATCGAAATGGTAGGGCAAAGTAAAGTGGTTAATTTGAAAATGAAACGCTTTTTAAGGTGCACTAAGGATATCGCATTTCAAGCACTGTGATAACAAATTATTAAGTAATTAATTTGGGAATGATTGCATGATTAAGTTTCAAAAATGAAGAGATTTTCAACACTCTGGTGGAACTTAAATTTTGTAAAGGTAATTTATAGTCACATAAAATCAAATAGACGATTAAATAATTTTTATTGGATTATAAATGTGCAAAAAGAAATAAATTTAAATAGAAACTAATGAGTATAAATAGTTTATAAATCAAATGAAAAAAAAACTCCAACGATGACATGAAAATGCTCTAAAAAGGGGAAATAAAATATTTATTTAAAATTATTCACTCAAGCAGACACACATAATGATACATATACACAAAAAAATGTAAATAAATGTGATGATAAACACGCTCATCCATCATTGCAGACGATGATATTATACATATATATGACTCAAGTAAGTGTGTTTGAGATGAATGTTGAAAAATTAGACTTGAATTGTTGATGGACAGTTGAATGACGATAAGATACAGAAAGAAATATGTGTCAATGTCCATGAACTTAATTTTTCTTAAATGGAAATTGTAAAGTGAATGAATTAAATTATTGTTATGTCAATTGGCCGCAAGACAATTTTTTTAAATAAAAAATCGCCTTGTTTGTATGTGAGAAAGTTATGTAAACTTTCATTCTCATGTTCCTCGATGAAAATGAATTCCTTCTGTGATATGTATTATTCTTCTTATTGTGTCTCATACAATTGAAGATGATTCATTTGAATTTGAATGAGAATAGATAAAATAGTCACACTTGTATTAGTGACAGTGATGAGATGCATTCATGGATGAAACGTCACATGTTAAACTGTTGATGATGATAATTACAAAAATAAAAGTGATGTAATATCTTCACCTGCTATATGCTTATCTATTACAGAGTAAATACATCATATTCACATCAAATCGTTCTTATCTACTTTTTTTGTGTTCGTCTTTTTTCTCGATGTCACTTACAAAAAAAGACATTCAAGAAAAAGAAATCCCACTATTACGAATGAGCAAAGCTGGATAAATTCAGTGAAAAGAAATGAAAACATTAAGGCCTAAATAAATTTGCAAATTTTACTCTTTTCTTTTATTTCCACTCGCGTGGAATGCATGGGAACAAGTTTTTCTTAATTCTCAACCAAATATCTCTTTGTATATCCAACTGAATGAAAAAAATGTATTTTTAAATATCGATATGAAATCCGAATTTATTCAAATTTTTATTTTCAATAAAAAGGCTTAAAATCAATGAGCAATTCCATTAAAATTTAAATTTTTTATCGATAAATTTGTAAATACTGAAAAATATTAGGTTGATGCTACTCAAATCATATCTCTTGTTGCTGCTTACTGCTGAATTGGGATCTTATTTTTTTATGCAAATATAAGTGCATATAAAAATATTTTTTGGGCTGATAACTTTATTAAATGTTAAATTTTTAATTAAGTAGTTGTAATTTTGTTTAAAAATATAAAAAAAATTTATTAAAGGATGTTAATTGAATTTCAGGACTGCGAAAAAAATCCTTAAATTTTTATGATACAGTGGCGTAGCCAGAAACCATATGTACTAGTGAATTTTATTTTGTGAGGAAAATTGAGGCCGGTGATTTTTGTATTACATTCCAATAGCAGAATCTTTCATAAAGTTGACGATTTTGCTTCAAATTTCTATCAATCACCTTTCTTGCTAGGCCACTGCCCAGTTATTAAATGTTTGCATGATTTGACAAATTTGACATGCTGTGGTTGAGGACGTAATGTTTTGATGGCACAACTAGATTTTTTTTATCAATCTGAGGGTCATTTACTTTTAGTATCCAGTTTAAGGAATAAGAAAATCTAACATAGTTGAAGGATCAACACACAATGCTCATAGCTTTGTATTTAAATCCTCGATAGAGTAAGTAGGTCTTGCACTTTTTTGGAATTAGCAAGATTAAAATAGCACATGTGTTGAGATCACAACAACTACCACAAACGTAAATTTTTATTTTTCAGATCTCAAAAATTGAACAAAACTAATACTATTAAAAACAATTTTTAAATTTTTTTTAATAGTTTTGAATTAAAAATTCACAAAATAAAATGAATGCAAATTCCGGATAAAAAAACTTGCTTTACATAGTCAAAAAAATTCACTAACACAATCATAAATTTTTGTTCGACAGTCGATTACTTACCATCCACTTGTCATGGGCATGATCAAAATCATGAGGTATATGGCACAAACTATAAAACGCATAGTTAAACCTTCTTTACTATCGTTTTTAGAATCCCAGTTTATTTAATTCTGGGATTCACATTAGCACTTATGTTAAAATTTTGAAACAAATACAGCAAATAAATTTTAAATAGCTGCCAGTTCACACAAAGTATTATTTAGTCCATTTTTGCCCATTGAAAACTTTCAGGTTGTGAATATTTTGCTGCATATTTTTATATATATAAAATCACGTCATATTTCTATAAGAAATACTCAAAAGCTGACAAAAATTAAGGCACTAATTTTTTTTACTTAATAAAACTTTTGTAGCACTCGAGATTTTGCTATAATTATAATAATTATGTTTATTTCGAGAAAAGAATTTCTCAGCAAAAAATCCTTTCCGACCGTCTCGAAGCAAGCACAGTAATTCAATAATTAACATGGAGCACGTATTAGAAGCGAAGAATAAATAATATAAATAATAATATTCTCTTCCAGAGCATCGAATACAACGAGATCCACGGCTTCGTTTCACTTTTTTCCTTCTCTCCTAATGTATTTATAACACAACTGAACTTTTTCTTCTCTTAAAGCACTCTTTTAATATTTTAATTCTTAATGGTTCTTTTTTTTTCCTCTTTCACGTTTTTATATTCTCTTTAAACTTTATTTAAATAATATTTTAATGTCGCTCATTTAGAATAAAATTTTATTTTTTTTAACTTGAGTGAATGAAAATAAGTGAAAAAAATTGTACTCGCACATAATTGAGAGTCATTGTAATAATCACTGTTATTATCTACAACACTTTATGGACAATAGATGTTGTTTTTCGCGTAAATATTAGTAAAGTCGATTTTTGCAAACTTTTTGCCTCTTATGTAGTATGTAACACACTCAAGGGAGAGCAACGATCGTTACGTGTATGTGCAAGTATATATAAGAATTCATATTAATATACGACGAGTTTCTTTATGCTCAACGAATATTTGCTTAAGATGAATTTAATATATTTTCGCTTATTTTGATATTCCTTCTTTAAATTTTTTTTTTTGAACACGGTATAAAGAAGTTTGCCAAATAAATCTTTTGATTTTTTTCCTTCATTCTTTCATCTTCTCAGAGTTTAAAGGCTTTTTTTAATTCTTTTTATGAAGAAAAAAGATAAAAAAGTGAATATATGTCTATGTGTGTATATATAATTTATATTTTCATAGAGAGAATCTTTCCTGTGTGAGAGCGAGCGTCGGAGAAAATTGGAATTGTGGTGGCTTTAAAGATGCTATAAATATTGCTTCGTCTTCAGTGTTATAGATTTTTCATTCTTCTTTTCTTATTGTTGCATATTCTCTCTTATTGATTGTATGATGACATTAAATAAGGAATTAATTTTTAAAAAAAAAAGAAGGCAAAGATTTCATGTGGAAATTTATGACTTAATTAAATAATGTGACATCATTTTTAAAAGAATATAGCTTGAAAAAAATAAGAGTCTTTTAAGCATTTAGACATGTTAGCTTATCTTTGTTCTTCAATATATTTCCCTTCAACAATGCCTGATTGAATCTGCATTTGAAAAGGCTGTTCATAATTTTTTGCTTATTTAGTTTCCAGTTTTAACAGATAATATTTAACTACAGTTGACAACAGAAAATTATTAAAATTTGTACACTCAGATAATTGTGACTTAGACTGCATAATACACTTAGAGGGAATTATAAAAGCTGAATAAGCAGAAAATTAGCTAGCATACAAGATAAATCTTTAGAAAATAATCAAAATTAAGAAATGTGCGTTTTGAGCTTTATATATCTCATACTAATTGGCTTTAATTATACAAAAATTTGCACTCCTTAGTTTGTGATTACTTTCGTTTTTATACATAGGTTTCTAAACCACTTCTTGTACAAAGTTTAGCCAACAGTTTTTCTTGCCCATTTCTTGGCTGAATTTTGAGTGTAATAAATTTGTGACAAACTGGCGTTAACAAATTTCATTTAATATATTACTTACTTAATTACTGTAACCATGTTCCTATGTGGAACTTAGGTTTCAACAAAAGGCTTTCCATCTGACTCTGTTGCTGGCTCTGTCACCTAGTTTCTAGGTCTATATTGCGAAAAAAATAACTAAGACTATTGAATAGAGTTTAAGCATACTGAAGTGTTCAAAACTTTTTCGAGCATCTTTCACTCAATGACTTATCTAGTGTTAATTTGGTGTGTCTGTATACTATTTGTAACACATTTGTAGATTTCAGCGACACACTAATATAGTAAAGCATAGATTGAGTACCACTGATAAAATGCATAAAAGCTTATCACATTCTTTCCTTACTTGTTTTTTAAAGAACTTTTTTTTCGACATTTTTGATGGTTTTTTTTTCAGTTGACTCGAATACACTTGATGTTACTGCTTTTTGTCTTTTCATCCTAAAATTTGAAAAATTCTTTTGTTTTTTATTTTCTTTCAATCACTGCTTTGCTGTTTTTTTTTTATTTGAAAGATGCTTATAAAAAATGTTATGGTCAAATATTCAATAACTTTAAATCTTTTTTGTTGCTTTTGCTTCTGCCGTTTGAATTTATTTTATCGGGATTACGGTTGCAAAGAAATGTATAACAAAAAAATATATATCATGAGAAAAGAAATGAAAGAAATAAAAAAAAAATCATTCCAGATTCATTTCGCTTTAAACTCAATTGTAAGAGTTGTCGATTGAAGTTTAAAGCACATTGCAAATGCTGATGTAAATATGCAATACAATAAAAAACCGAAAGATCAGCCAAGTGCTCATTGGTAAAAATGTCCCCTTTGAAAAATTTATGGGGCACTTGAAGTCAGCATAAGCAATCACACAAAAAAAAATAATATAAGAGTATGTATTTATATTTTGAAATTGTCGTTTTTGTCGTTTTATGTTATTAGTGACTCTGAGAAAAGATCAAGCAAGTAAACAGAGAAAAGAAGTCAGAGAGAGAGAGAGAGGGAGAATGAAAGACGATCAATGGAATTAATGATTAAAGAGATTCATCTTATTAAATTTTATTTTCAAACCTTTAAATAAAGAAACTGAATAGCGATGATAAAAAGTTTGACTTGGACTAAGGGCATTTTTTGTCTCTAATTGATTTTTTTTTGAATTCTTTAAGAGTTTTGGTTTTTGTTTGCGATACATTAAAAACCACAAATAACTGAAGCATTTTTTATTGTACTTTGCTTGCTTTAATAAAATAAAGAAAGAGTTCGATTCAGATGTCAGTCGATTATCGAAAAGTGAAACCAAAAATATGTTTCATCATTTAATGTACATAAGTATGCTTCAAGTTCAGAAAACAATGTTTATATCTACGAATTCAGATTCTCTTTGAAATTGGTGACATCAAATTCTTGATTTATGTAAAAAAAAAATACAAAACATATGTAAAATTAGAACTTATTTAGAAAACTTGACCTCCTAGAAGAAACCAAGAAGTTGCACGTGGTTGCCACTTGTTGGTAATAAAATCATTTAATAAGAGACTTTGACAGATTTGTGGCAGAGTTTTTGAATTTAGTGTCGCTTCAAAGAGTTCTAGAGTAAATTAATTACTTGCCTTACCTTCCATAAGGAAAGAGTCGCATATCCTTTAACATGCTTATCGATCTCCTTTGCCTATACCTTAATTTTATTGAGATTGAAAATCCTGTTCCAAATAAATTTTTCTTATTCACAGTGGCATAAAAAGTAAGATTTCAGATGTACATATCAGTCACATACACAAATGTTCATCTTCTTGTTCCATAAGATTTAATTTAAACAATTTTCATCAATCGCTTTTCATCACCTCCTTTTCGACATACTGTGAGATAATTTCTTATTAATTGAGTGAATAAGTAGCTTACTTAATAGTTGTCTTATTTACATTATATTATAAAACGCTTATAATATCACATCTGTGTACTTTAGAAGAAATCAGTTCTATAAATTTCACTTTAAATAGTGGCGCCAAACTAATGATGTGTTTCAATTTACTTTTCACGAAAAAAATAATATTTTGGTCTCCGGAAATGAAAAATTTACTTCAACTCTTACCAGCAATTCTTTTTCTCTTCATATTGGTATGCATAATAAAATAAATATTTTAAATATAAATTATTTACTACATATACGCCGTATTAAAAGTATTTATGTTACAATTCATTTAATGATCATTCAGTGAGCCGTCCGTGTTCTTTTCTTAAAAAGTATGAACAAGAGCGAGATCGAATATCAAAAATAACATTTTTATTAGGTAAGGAAAAAAATTTAAATAAAATTGCTTTAACATCTCATTTGTTTTCCAATAGGTCTGATTTCTTCTTATAACCAAATATCTAATATTGCATATTAAATAAAGACGATAAAAAGAAGATCTGTGTTACTTATGCAAATGTGGGGATTACGTTAGACAAATTAATATTTTATCTTTTTAAAACGTCGTCGGAAGGCAGACTGAAATAGTATTTTAATGTGCCTTCTAGCTTCTACAGTAACTTTTAATGCTACAAAATGAATCGATGATGATGATGATGGTGATGATATACTAATTCTACAGTGGTGAACACACACGATTCATCGATACATACGTTTTCTTCATTTCTTTTCGTTATTTTATGATATAATTAGTATTGTTATTATTATTATTATTAATATTATAGATCAAAAAAATCGTTTTGATACAAAAATCAATAAATTTTCTGTTAAATCTTCATAATATTTTGCTAATTCCATTTCTGGTAGTTTCTAATGTATCTTAATTTTTAATTCATTCTATCGATAAAGAATATCGTATATTCTGGAAGAACAAAACTTTTTCAAATCCATAAAAATTAATTTTTTAACTCGCAGTTTTTTATACCTTTATGTGTATATACACACATTTTATAACTCTTCCTATATTTGGTGTTTCTTTTAACATCATAACAAATTGATTCAATGAAATGATCGAAGTGAAGAATAATTTTCTACTTTTTACTGCTGTTATCACCACGAATGAATGTGTATGAATAGACAGAAGATGAAAAAGAAGTTGAAAAGTTTTTTAGAATATTGAAGGAATGTGGCTGTCATTTCTAACATATTAAGTCCATTTATTTCATTCAATAAATCTTCATGTGAATAGAAATAAAAGTTGTTGAATGATTCAATAGAATTTAAAATTATACAAATATCATTCAAATATGACATCTTCATTGTGTATGTGATGAAGGCTTAATTAATCAATTTTGGTAGAAAATAACAACAGATTAACTTTTTTCTTAAAAAAAACAATAGGCGTTCAAGAGTAATCAAACCACAAGTTGACATTTGTTGTCATTATTATTTTTAAAATCGGTTTCACGGTATTCTAAAGTCAAAAGAATTGGTTTTTAACGAAGCCAAATTTTTCTCTGATTATTATTTGGCGTAAGATCGGAAATAATCCAAATAAAAGGCTGAATTTAGTTCAAAGGAAAATTAAGAGATAAAAAGAGAGACATTAATAATAAATAAAGAAGTTGTGCTTTTGCTGGTGATTTAATCAGTTAATGTGATCAAGGAGCAGTCAATAATTTTTCTAGGGTTCTCAGGTTTGAATATTTTTGCTTAAAAAAATTCATACTTTTGGAATTTCTCTTAAACAATTTTCCAGCAAATTAAAAAAAAAGTGTCAAATAAGGGATGATAATTTTATTCTTCTTAATGTAACTTAACTATTCAGTGTCAAGTAATTTAATTGTGCAATTAGAAAATTGCCAAGTCTTTCATGACAGACGACTAGCTAGGAGTATTACAACAAAACCATTGAACAACCCTCCTCGAAATTTAATGGATTTGCTTTTTTTTTCAAAGAATAAATTGAAACTTTCTTTTTTAAATTAAGAAATCCAAAAAACATTATTTTAAAAAAGAAACTATTCATTCAAAAGCACAAATAGGAAGATCCTGAAAAATGAAGCAATTGGAATTGGCAAAAAGTCCATAGATCCGTTCAAAATTAAGTTTTATTGACGTTACCTATGTTTCACAATAAATTAAATGCGAAAAATAAATAAAAATGAATTATTTTGTATCCTGGTAAAAGACCTACATCATTGAAGACGCTCTTTTTCTCCTTTGATGAGATATTTTTCTCTCATTCTCTTGTTCCTTTCATTCTTCATATTATTTCTCTTTTGTTAAATATATTAACACCCTGCTGATACCTATTTTTAATGAACATATATCTGCTGACAAATGTTTGGTATGTTCTTACTTACTTTTCTTTTGATTTCATACCCACAATGATAGCAAGAATGAAAAACATAAAATGAGAAGTTAGTGTTGAGTTGCATCACATTGTGAAAATAATTTATTTTCATTTTTACCCATTTAGTCACACTTATTCCATGAATTTTATTCATGACGCTATTGTCATTAAATTTTTGCTTTGATTTTAAATCAGAGACTTGTATTAATATTAAATTGGTATTGAGGTGGTCATTAATGAATCATGACTGAACATGATACCACTAATATTTTGGTAATTCGAACAGAATTTTCTTAAAGAATCAGTGTTGTCTAAGCCAGAATCTTTGACTCACACTATTAAATGATTAGTACAAAACAAGAGTAAGCGAAAAATTGTAAAAATTAAGTTTTCGTTTTTTTTTCAAAAACCTAGAATTTTAAATAATTAAAGATATCTTTTAAAATTTAAAGTCATGCAAAATTTGACTTGAAAGGTCAAAAAATATTTATACCTTTTATAAAAAGCGCTTAAAAGTAATTTATGTACTATACATACATTTCAGTTTGTGTTTTTAACCATTATACAGCAAAAGCCTCCAATTTGCGCACATTACATTTTATGACATATTCACACCTAGATGTAATTATTAGTCTTTTTCATTGACAACATAATTACCTTTTTTAATGGTGCAGCAGAATTGCTTCATTAATGGAGTTTTCTTCCACTCTTTAAAGCTGATCCATTAATGATCAGCAAGTAATGGGGATTTTTTAATAAGTGACTAATGTAAAGATGACAAAAACAAGTAAATGAGCAAAGCACAAAGAGATTTAAGAATTTAAAATATGAAGATATCGCAAATTACATTTATTTATTCTTTCAAAAAAAACCATGTGAATTTATTTTTTTTATCGGAATTTATATTTTCAACGTTTTCGTCATTATCGCCTATAAATGTTCTTTTATGAGTATATTTTTTGATGCTCAATTTCAAATGATTACACAAACACATATTCTCTTTTCATAAACTCCTCCTACGATCGGAGAAAATTAAAGAAAGAAAAAAAAAATTGGAGAGTATATTATTATATACACAGCAAAAGAAGCATAGCTACACAGCGAGATGATGACGATGTTATGATATAAAGATTTAAGCCAACTTTATTAGGATCTTATAAAATGATTCACACCCTCCCTTCTCAAATTTCTTTTTATTTTTTTTTTCTTGCTTTATGTTAAATCTTAAATTAAATTAATTTTTCTCCATCATTTCATTCTCATATTATTTCAGTCAATTTGCTTTTGTAAGAAATCTCACGTATTATTACCTCCGGCTTATTTAACATTAAATTAAATAAAAACTTCAAGTGTTAATTTACTTTGATGTTTGACGCAAAAAAGGTGTAAAAACAAACAGATTCATTACAATCACAGCAGCAGTTAAGATAGTAGGGAGTATGAATTCACAGAAGTAGAAAATGTTAAGTAGCACTTTGCATGTCATTGTAGCATGAGTGAAATGAAATTAAGTTGCTGTCAAGTACCACCTTAAACAACATCAAAGAATCATGATTATTCATAATTTTTTTTTTTATTTTTGCATGAAAAAAATCGATTTTTTTTTTGTTCATATGCAATTTAATATTGCACGAAGCATAATGTTCATATGATAGGCAAGAAGTGTGATGCATTATCTTATTTTTCTCGCTTTGTCCGATTGAAAATAGCTCTAAGCTGTAAAGGTATTTCTTTATTTTTTCTTAGCTCTCCTTCCTTCTTTTAGCACTCGGCAACCAACAACGATATTTCATTTAACTCAAATTTCAATGAAAAAACTGTAAAAATGGCTGAAAGAATATTTTTTAATTCGAGTCTTTTGTTATTAGATTTTAACTTATTGTTCAAATTATGACTTTTAACATAATTTCTTTGTGTTCAATAACTTTTTAAAATTGCTTTTATGGACCTCACAAGATGTGCCTTAAGTTTTTATATTCATTTTTTTAGCTTTCCTTTATAACACAACAAAAACGTTTCTTAACACATAAGCTATAATTTTTTATTGGCTGCCGCAAAAATGACTTTATGATTTCATAATATGGCTGGCAAAACATTTACACTCAACTCATAATACGTTATCTTTCTTTATGAACTTACATTGTAAATAATTGAAGATTTTTATAAGGCAAACATTTAACTTTTTACTCAAACTAAGTACTTATTGCAAATTTGCAGCTTTTGTGATTTTTTCACATGTAACACTTTTTAAGGAATTTGCTTTAATAATTTAATTTTAAATACATTCTGTTATTTGTTTATTTAATGCAATGAGTTGTGCTAATTCATATTTATTTTAAATTTTATGGATATTTCATACCTTGGCACCTTCAGGCTAGAATTTTTTGCATTATCTTCGCAATATTATTGGCTTTTTTATTCAACTTTTATTATTATTGAAAATGTGCAAGAATATAATGTCCGCAGCAAATTCTATTCAAATTGAGTGAAAGGTTTATGGTAAATTTTTAAATTAAGAACAGATTAAGCTGTGTTAGCATTAAGAATATTTTCAAAAGAAAGTATTAATAACTTTAAAAAATTAAGAGTTTATACACACTGATGACGAATATTGAATAATCTTTATTGATTTAAAAATTTACACGGAATAACTTTCTCTCCAGCAAGCATAATTGCATATTAAATGCTTTTAAAAGCTTTAATAAATTTTGCAAATTGACATTTAACTTGTTAAGTGATGACATTCAGAATGTAAGTAAAGCTTTTTAATTATCAACGTTAAACAGTGTGTTAATTAATATTATTTAAATAAGATTCTTGAATTCTTGATTTTACTTTAACAATAAGAATTGTTTTTAAACCACAGATAATCATTGCTTTTTAAGAATTTAATGATATTTTGAAATTGATAAATTATAGTTCCTTACAACAATAAATATTATAAAATCTCCCCTAATTGTTTTTCAAACTATTTCAAGCTAAAATATATTCAATTTGCTTCTCATGAAAGCATTATTTGACAATGAAAGAGATCAAAGGGTAAGCATTTACCCTCTCATTCAAAAACCACCACTCTATTATTCTCATCAAAACAAGTAAATAAAATCAGGTCGTATGTGTGTTATTGCAAGATTATTGTGAATTTGCAAGATGAATGTAGTAAGCCAATTTCTTTCTTTTTCTCCTTCTTTTAGATGCAATTAAATTAAGATAAACAAAGAAATTATTTTGGAGGAATAAAAGCTCTTCCTGTTTATAGCTATACATTTTAAAAAATAATTTTTTAATCACTTGGTGCAAGTTAGCCCAAATTACAGATAAAACAATTTTTTCAGATGTTATTTTTTTTAAAAATTCTCTGATTAAGTCAAATAAACTCAAAATAAATTTTTTAACTTCATCACATTGAACTGTGAAACGTCTCCATTAAATAAGCTTATGATCTGTGTCTTCAGAAAAAAATCATCAAAGTTTTTAAAAATATTGTAGACAATCGAAGTTTTTTCTGCAAAAAATAGATCAACTGGATTTTTGTGCTAACTTGCATTAGGGGTTTTTGTCTATGAAAAATAAAAGGAAAGTTTTCGTCATATCTAAATTTCATTTGATGTGTATATACATATGTTCTCTATATTATACGCTCTCAGGGATGAATTGAATAGGCTGAGATAGAGTACAATTATTATTATTCTTATTATTATTTTTGTTATTATTGTTCTTTATTGTTCCTGAGATATTGCTCGCATACACAATATATATGTACATTTTTTTTCTCTTTTACACATTGTTAGTGAAGTGATGTGCTGTGTGATCTTTCATTACAAAGCAGTCGCTTCGAGTCGCTTCTATTAACATGTTGTGAAAAATAATAATCAAAATATTTAGAAATAATTTTTTCCTCCTATGAATTAATTAAAATAAATTTTCCTAAGCGATTAAATTAATCAAGCAGCTTAATTTGAATTAGGAAGGAAAATTAACTAATTGATTAATGTAATGTGTTGATTTATTGAGTGCTAAGTTTATGACATAATCAATTAAAAGTCAAAATTAAAGCAAATTACGTATTTAACGCTATAAATCATGAAAGTGCACAAGACAGATTTATTTCAAATGACAAAACAAGGAATTTATGAAGTGAAAATTTAATGAAAATGGTTTCTTTTGGTTGGAAGAAGTTTATATTAATTCAATTTCTTTATGTTGTAGTTTTTAATTTTAAACAGTAAGTTGCATTTTGTTTGTTAAAATTAAAAATATTTTAGATTTTATCGATTTTATCAAATTTTGAAACATAAGTTTCAATGTTCTTGTAAAAACCAGAAAAGTGCTTTTATTGTGTGTAATCAGTAATTAAACAATTTCAAATTTTACTGTGACTATTAATCATCATATATTGTTAACAAGATATAAAAATTAAAATTATAAGTTGAATCATTAAGAAGTTAAGATTATCATATTAAAAAATTTTAAGAATTATTTTGTCTTCTTGAAAGATAATAAATTCATTCATAATAATGATACTTAACTTTTTGCCATGTCTTCATCATGAGATGTAGGAAAAACAAAAGCCATAAAAGGCCTTTAACATGCTTAAATTAACAATTTGTATTCAAAACACTCAGTAAAATTTTTTGGCTGCGTTTTCGACTGTTTTTTGATCTTCTTCAGCTAGATAAAAAATGACATCAGACCGACATTAAACGTGACTTAATTTGAAACTAAACGACATTTCATATTAATTTTATATAGTGGCGCCTCAGCAAAAATGGTCCAAAATATTTTTTTTGTCCTGATTTTTATTTATTGATAATTCTGCAGTTGCAAAAAGATTAACTTTTTTTTGTGTTCGATGAGGGTCTGATAGAGATGCAGACACATTAAAATATTCATCATTTTTGTTTACTGGAAAAAAGGTAGCAGACATTAGTAGCTACGATCTGATCTTAAAATTCCTAACAAATAAATTTTCATTTGAACTGTCTATTCTTCTGTGAGAACCAATTAATAATGGTCTCTGTAGATAAAAACCAATGATTTTTTAATTATTGCTTTTTTATTTCGAGAAATTAAAGAAGAAAAAAAATTGTGCATTAAAATACTTTTGCAATCTTAAATTTTTCAATGTTTTTTTTTATTTTGATTTAATGATAGAAAAGGCAAACAGAAGGAAAAGAAAAATACAAAAATTGTTTAAATAGCTGATTTCAATGACTGGTTTGGAAAACATACTACTCAACAAATTACCTTACCTCTCATTTCAAATTGCAATATAAATTCTTTAATACTTATTTTTAAAAGCATTTGTGTGCCATTTTTTTCCTTACCTTTTTTCACCGCTCTCTCGTCTTGCTTTTCAAACTCAGTAATTGCGAAATTCAATAAAAGGAAGGAATGAAAATAAAATATTTATAATTGTTTGTTTGAACGCGAAAACTGCTGATGTTAATTCCGTCTGAAAGAATTTTTTGAGACAAGATTTAAAGGTCGAAAACTTTTGCTTATTTAAGTTGTATGAGAATGCAACAAAATGTATAGATATAAAAAGTAAAAAAAAAAATCTTTGGTTATCGCTTATTCAGAAAATTCCTTGAATCATTACAAATTGGTGGGAAAAAGTTTAAATCACTTACTTAATTTTCTTCTTTATCTTCTCTTTGAAATTTTTTATATAAGAATGCGTATTTATAGCTTTGAAAAATAATTACCTTTCAATTCCTATAAAATATATAATTGCAGTAGATTTTTTTATTGATTTATTAAACAAAGATTTTCCCTGTTCCAGAGTAAATTCCTTCGCTGATGTTCGTTCAACATGCAAAACAGTTCCAAATCTCACAAAACAACAGTTGGAATTGTGTTATAAAGCAAACGATGTGACAATGGCTGCTATAGAGGGATTAGAATTTGCAATTAACGAATGCCAACATCAGGTAAATTGCTGTTAAAAATTTATGCGACCCAAATTAAAGAAATGGTTATGTTTTTGAAATATTTTGTCCGTCGAATTTTTATAGTTTCGATGGAATCGTTGGAATTGTTCATCTTTAAAAGGGAAAAGTCGGAATCCACATTCATCTAATTTATTTAATAAAGGTAAGTTTTCAATTTTAGTAGCAAAATAATTATTGCAATCATAAAGTCATTTAATATTACTTTCTACTTTAATTAATACATTAAATTAAGTAAATTGCATATAATTTAAAAATTATGTGCTTATTCACTAAAAATCGATTGTCAAGTAATTAAAATTTAAATATATAGGAGCAAGCTGTAGACATGCAATCAATTATAAATACATGCTCTTACTTTAAAAAAATGACAGCTCAACGTCAAGCATAAAATCAATTTTCTCGTGATTCATTAAGCACATGAGTGAATATATATATGAAAGCTCTATATGTAAGTTGTATAAATATACAATGAATTATTGACAATTTTCCTCCTTTCGTTATTAAATCACTTAAAGAATAATTAATGATGAATCGATAAAAATCAATTTAATTATCTTTGGGAGAATTCGTAAATATTATTATTACGGTATATATTAAAGCATACATATACTTTACATTGCATCATTAGTATAAGGCAAACATATTTTTTTTTATAAATTAAATCACTCACTTCTATAATACATTATTTCCTTTTACCGAATTAAATACATTTAACCATCTTTGTCTCCTTTCCTTTCTTGCTTGCTTCGATACACTGATTGACATTGTGGAATGCAAATGAAACGAAAATTTTCTGCAGCTTCTATATTGCAAGAGATCAATAATTTAAATACAATCTCGATTTCTGTAGTTTCAAAAAAAAAAATTGGCATAAAGGGAATGAGAGAATAATCGCAAAATGCATTCTGTTGACAGCCAATTACAATCGCATTATCTGATTTAAAGCGTTTTCACTTTGATTTATTTGCGATTGTTTTCAGAAAACTTTGACTTGTAAATTTTCATGAACTTCTCGTGATGTGGTTTAACAGCTTCTTTATACAAAATATTTTTATGTGTTTTGTAAAATGCATTAGTAATTGCGATTTTATTCTAAAACTCATAGCTTTTAACAAGTGACTATTTACTGGTTCTTTAACTTTACTTTAATAAATTCTTAAAGTTGTTTGGCGTCTGGTAACTTCATAGAAGTCTTTATTCATTCACTTCGTCTCGAACATCAGACCTCTTTCCTTTTCTACTCTCCAAAGTAATATCCACAAAAATCTTTCAATATTTTCATTTATATTCTTAGTTTTACAACTTTATTGAAACAAAATTCAAATTTATTGACTAACTCTTTCCAAAGACCAATTTCGAAAAATGGCAAATTGATTGATGAATTGCAGATTGAATATAAAACATGTTTTGTATACTTTGTCAATCAGTCACATGTAATGACGCTGGCATTGTGTCCATTTATATTTTGATGAGACGAGAGAGAAAAGTTGGAAGACAATTGACGATTTATTTGCGAATTTTTTCCTTGAATATTTTCTGTATTGAAATAAAGAGAAAATAAAGATTGGATGAAGGAGAAACGAAGGGATGGAAATGGAAATGAATTTACATGTCTTTCAATTTTATGTATATATTTTGATTGACTTTCAAAACAGAAAAGAACAAGAAATAAGAAAGAGAAATGGTTAATTCATCAATCTTGATCAATAGTGTTGCACTTACAATCGTTTTACATGTGATGTTCGATTGATGACTTTTTGACAATGTGATTGACAAAATGTGCACGAATAAATATGTTAAATTGCATATAATTTGTCATGTAGCTTACTTTTAACTTTATTTACAACTCAATTCATCTCAATTATTTAACTTTTTTTTAAAGGATACAGAGAAAGTGCATTCGGTCACGCTATTACTGCTGCTGGAGTTGTTTTAAGTGTTGCTCGAGCATGCAGTCAAGGACGTTTACTATCATGTGGCTGCGATCCAACTTCACATCGGAAAGGTCTTTCAAAGTCACTCCGTGAAAGTCTTGAAAAGGAAAAACGACGCTTTCTAGATAAAGTTATTGATAATCCATTTATTATTGATAAGAATATTGAAAGGAATTTCGGAATCAAAACCAATGAAGTTTTGTCGAAGAAAAAGATGAAGCAACAGATGTCTAATAGATGGAAGTGGGCTGGATGCTCACACAATATTGATTTTGGTGTTGAATTTTCTGAACTATTCCTAGATAGTCGAGAAAAAGCTGGTGACTTACAATCTCAAATTAATTTACATAACAACAAAGTTGGAAGATCTGTAATAATTTATTGACTTTTAAATCAAATTTTGACGAAGTTTTCATAATTTTATATAATTTCAGGTGGTTCAAAAAAATCTAGTTGGAAAATGTAAGTGCCTTTTATAATCTTAAAAAAAAATTTTAAATAAAATTTTATAATCATAAAGGTAAATGTCATGGTTTATCAGGAAGTTGCCAACTTAAGACTTGCTGGAAATCATCACCAGATATTCGAATAATAGGCAAATTACTTAAACAGCAATTTCGACGAGCGGTGTTAGTTGATCAGTCTAATTTTGGTAAAGGAATGATCGTTTATAACAGGAATAATAAAAAACGTAATTCAAAGTCTGTAAAATATAAATTAAAAACTGAAAATGAAATGCATAATGATCAAGCGATGACAACCAGAAGAAATAAGAGGAATAAAATGGAAAATTCCCTTTTCTACTTTCAAAAGTCACCAAATTTTTGTGAAAAAGATATGTCATCAGATATTCTCGGTACACATGGACGGAGATGTAATCTAACAAGTACAGGAAGTGATTCATGTTCATCGCTTTGTTGTGGCCGCGGTTACAATCTCGTTAAAGAGGTGACAAATCAAAGATGTAATTGCCGTTTTCATTGGTGCTGCTATGTTGAATGTCAAACATGTAAACAAATTGAATGGATAAGTGTTTGTAATTAAACTGAATGTGAAAAAAACTATCTTGACATCGGTAAAAAATGTTAAGATTAAGGATTCATTGGAACAAAATGGAATAATTTACTTTAATCTGTTGAAAATTCTAGTAAAATCAGTAATTGTAGCTTTAGTAATTTTGAGTTCCAAACCTGCATTGTAAAATGAAAAATGAGTCGCAAAACCACAAATCAACAGCTTTGGAGCTAAAATAATTTCACATTAAATTTTTTAAAATGGAATCCGTTTTGCTTCAAATTTACAACTAGTTTTTACATCAAGTGTTGAAAATTTAGAATTTAGAATAAAACCAGTGAACTTTTTAAATTGAATTCCTAGTTTAGTCTTAGTGTTCTTAATAAATATTATTTACTGAAATAAATCGTTATTGAGTGAGTTTTGTATTATTAAAATTGATTTGATGTCAAAAATGTATTTTCCTGGATTTATAAAAAAATATTTATTTTTTTCATTTATATTTTATGCTGTAAATAATTAATAAATATTGTGTTACTAAACTTCAATTAGTGTATAAGTAAATAATAAAATTCATAAATGTCATTACTTGACAACTACTTGCTTATTTATAAGTTAATTTCGATTATAAATAGTTTCAGTTGTGGTTGCATTAAAATTTCTAATAAATAGTCGAGAGCTATGCTACATTAAATCTTTATTTCTTCATCGCTTGAATAGAAAGGATTAATAACTCGAGATGGCAAAATTGAAAATTTTAGTGAAAATAATGCTCATAAATTTCCTAGCATCACCATTAGAGACATACAATTTTCAGTTAAATTCAGTTAACCCTTTTGATAAAATTATTGGATTAAGTGTTACGGAAATCGCAAAAAGTTATTATCTTAAAAATAGTTCTCACCTTAATATAGTGCACTCAATAAAACAAGAAAGCCATTTTAAATTAATTGATGTAATGAATACAGTGATATTCGAAAGTGACGAAACTACTTTTCAAATTGAAGATTCTGGAAAAGTACAAAAAGCTTTTGATACAAAAAGGTCTTCTAATATTCTATTCATTGATACAGTAGAATCTTTTAAAAAAATGTTGATAGTGTTGAATTCTGCATACTTTAAAGTAGGAAAAGTTATCACGATAATTTCTATTGAAGAATTAACACTTTGCGAAATGGAAATGATTTTTAATTTATTGTTCAAGCAACATTTAATTAGTGTTAATATACTGTCAACTGATATTAGTAGAACTGTTAACTTGTACACATACTTTCCTTTTAAAGACTATTCAAATTGTGAAGATACAACTCCAATTATAATAAGCACATTTGATGTTAATTCATTAAAATGGAGTAATAGCAATAATTTTTATAATAGAAAAACCAACAATTTAATGAGATGTCCAATTCGTATTGGAACTGCCGCCGTATCGTCAGAACCTGGAATAATGTTTAGAAAACTTGAAAATGGAAAAATAGAAATATATGGGGTTGAAAAGGATATATTTGATGAGTTTTCAATGAAAATAAATTTTACAACAAATTATATTCCATATTTTAATGGTGTTGGATCTGTTTATCCAAATGGAACAGGATTTGGAGTATTAGGAAATGTACTTAATAATGAAATTGATATTGGAATAGGATTCGTGTCACTTCAATATACTCGAACATTATTTCTAGGTGTAAGTCATTACTATCGCATTGATAATCTAATGTTAGTAGGTAAACCAAAAATTTATTAAATAATTTTAAAAAAATTCAAGAATGAACAAAGAAAGAAATTATATTTTAAGTTCCACCTGGTGAGGAATACGGAAGTTTGGAGAAACTCTTATTGCCGTTTGAATTAACAGTTTGGTTTGTTTTTTGCGTGGTGCTAATTAGTTCAATTGTTTTTTCAATAATATCATTTAAATTTCCAAAAATTTATGGATTCGTTATTGGCAGAAAAATTAGTCAACCCATTATGAACATAATGGCTGTTCATTTGGGAGTCTCACAAGCAAGGCTTCCTTCCCGAAATTTCTCAAGGTTCATATTATTGAATATGTTAATCTATTGCCTGATTTTACGATCAGCATATCAAGGAGCTTTCTTCAACACAATGGTATCAAATAAATCAAAACCATCAGCTGCTACAATGGAAGAAATGTTGCAGAAAAAATACACTTTTTATGCTTTTGAAACGCTGGCAGCACGAGTCCAAGGATTTAGTTTTTTTAAACAGTAAGCAAATTGTTTCGTTGATAATTTTAAGTCTATCACAAAAATTACCAATTCAAAATATAATCTATTTATTCCGATCAGTTTTTTCCTGACCTAAATTTAAAAAAAAAGTTTTAATTTTAAACCAATTTTAATTTTCCATAGCATTAGCAGATATCCAAATATTCAAATCGACAAATATCGAAGAATGACTTTAAAGTCAAATTTTAAAGGTGCAGTCTTCAGCTATGAGTCTCAAACGCTCTATCTTAATCAAGTTAATCGGAAAAACTTTACATATACATTATCTAAGCAGCATTTTATGACATCATCGCTGGTATTTTATTTTCGAAAGGATCATTATCTTGTTCCAAAAATAAACGAAGTTCTTGACTACATGATAGCTCATGGAATAATTGATTTTATCACATCAAAATATGCCGACAAAAGATTTTTGAAATCGAAGCCGGATGGAGAACGAAAAGTATTAAAGATTAATCGTCTTTATGGTGCAATTGAAATTTACTTCCTTTGTACATCCATTTCTTTTCTCATCTTTATAATGGAATTAGCAACAAAACTGAAGAGATTTTTCAGATGCAAAAAGATAAAAAAATAGACACATTTAAAGGAAAATAATGGAATAGATATTCTCTGAGCATGCTCAAAGTATTATTTGTATCTATGAATTTACAGAGGTAAAGTTCTTAGAAATGATAAAATCTTAATCTGACTTAATACAAATTCATGTAACTTAAGCTTAGTAAAAAATGTTAATTCAGAAATTTTATGAAATCCTTAAAAATTATTTGATGCAATATATAAGTAGCATGCGCGAGCCGATAAATCTAACAAGTGTCACATCTATAACTTACTATAACATTAAAAAAAACGTGCTCGGGAATGTAAATATTACATCCACAAATTTCCATAAAATTAACCGGTGGAAGGAATTTCATGCGCAATTTTAAGTAATTTTCAAGACATTTAAGCTTTGTTGCCATTTCATCAGTTTTACTAAATAAATTTGAAGCAGCAGCAACTCAAAACTGGAAAATTGAGCATTTAATTTAATTAAGTGAATCTATTTAGTGAGTTTCTATGGCTTTCAGAACGTTTTCCTGATGAGTAAAATTGTAAATTTAATTCACTTATGTTTTGTGCTCAGTTTGGTGAAGTTGGAAAAAAAGTGAAGACATCAAGATTTTCAAACTTAATTACATAATTTAATTAGGTGTGAAAAAAAGTTCAAACTTCAAATTTAAACTTTAAAACTACATCAAGTTGAAGATTAATAAGGTTTAAGATTAGTAAAGTTGTTGATTAGACATTTACCAGAAAATAGTACAATAAAGTTAATTCTTGATTTTTTGTGTTGCTAATTGAATTATGTTTAATTGAATTTGAAAGGAAACTTCATAGTAGTAAAGTATAAGTCAGGTTCTTGTGTTCGGATAATTATGATAAAGAATCTTTAAAGAATCAAATGACCAAACTCATCTCAAAATTTGGAAAAATTTCATAAAACAAAAATTTTAATTTTAGATAAGTAGAGAAATAAATTCACTGTTTTTGCTTTTGCATTTCTATACAGCATAATTAAATAACATTATACAGCACATTTAATCTAAAATCAATATATGTGAACATTGTCACGTGTGCCAAATCAATAAAATTTATTCACCCTTAATTAATAAAAGAAAGTGAAAATACAAAAAACATAGACATTTTTAAAGCTTCTTAACTGTCTGTAATTATTGCATGATTTGATTGAATAAACAATATTGAACAATGAGTTTATTGGCTTACAATTCATTACCAAGTCCGAATGATAGATTCGAACTGAAAGAAATTATCGGTACAGGTGTTTGTGCTAAAGTTTATATTGCAAGTGATAATGAATCAAATGGAAGAAATGTGGCAATTAAAATTCAACGTTACGAGAAGGATTTAATTCCTTACATTAATGAAGAATATCGTGTTTTGCGGGATTATTCGGCACATCCAAACATACCAGATTTTTATGGAGTCTATCGTAAGAAATCTACAGATTCTAAAGAACCTGACGAAATTTGGTTTGTTCTGGAATATTGTGAAGCTGGTCCAGTGATTGACATTATCAAGTCATTACAAGCTATTAATAAGCGTGTGAGTGAAGAGCACATTGCTTATATTTTGCGTGAAGTTGCTAAAGCAATATTGCATCTACATGAAAATAATGTCATCCATCGTGACATCCGAGGAAGTAACATTTTGATGACAAAAGAAGGTGAAATTAAGCTTTGCGATTATGGATTATCGCGTGACGTTAAAGCAACTAATGGAAAACGTTCGACATGCATTGGTTCCTGCAGGTGAGTCAAACTAAAATACATTGTTTTTTCATAATTTATTAATACATTGATCTATCAGTTGGATGGCACCAGAAGTCATTGCAAGTGCAAAAGGATATCCATATGATAATCGAGCAGATGTTTGGGCTTTAGGAATAACCGCAATTGAACTAGCTGATGGAAAAACTCCATTTGGTGATATGCATCCAACTCGAGCAATGTTTCAAATTTTAAGAAATCCACCACCGACTTTATATCGTCAATCTAACTGGACTCAAAATTTTAATGATTTCATTGCTGAGTAAATTTAAATGCTTTTACTTTCATTGAAAAAAAAATTATTGATAAATTAATTTTTAGATGCTTAGAAAAAAATCCTGACCATCGTCCATTTCTGATAGAAATAATGGAACATCCATTCTTTACTGATCTCCCTTCCAATGATTATCACGTGAGAAAATAAAATTAAGATCCCTTAAAACTATGCAACTTATATGACATACTTTTTTCCGAAGCTTTCGCAAGAGATTAAAATGCTTCACAGTGATGTTGAAAATATAAACTTTCCTTCACAAAGCGAATCAATTATTTGTAATGGCCTGTTAAGAACTCATGACAATAAAATTGAGAAGCTCTATGTTGAAGACTTGGCTGCATTAGAAAAGTTATCTGATGATACGATTTTTGAGGAAGTGAAAAACAGACTTAAAATTGGATCAACTTATACTTATATTGGTGATGTTTTGCTTTCTTTAAATCCTAATAAAGAATTTCCTATCTACGACCGAAAGGTAATAAAACATAGAAAAACCATGATACAGTTTTGAACCTTACAAAATAATTTCAGTTTCATAATCGCTATATGTTCAAATCACGTTCAGACAATGCACCTCACATATTTTCTGTTGCTGATAGTGCTTATCAGGACATGATGCATCACGAGGAGCAACAGTACATCATGTTTTCTGGAGAATCGTACTCTGGAAAGACCACAAACATGCGACTGTGCTTTGAACATCTTCTCATTATGGGAGAGGGAAATGCAGGTGTAGTTGGTCGTATTCAGAATGCATTAATTGCAATTAATGCTCTTACTCATGCTGGAACACCATTAAATAATGATTCAACAAGATGTGTTTTGCAAACTCAATTGACATTTGGAACCACTGGAAAACTCAGCGGTGGAATATTCTGGATTAATCTATTAGAAAAATCCCGAGTTTCGTCTACTGACATGCAAGTGCTTTTAAGTTTATGTGCGAGAAAAAATTAATTTTCTAATTTTCAGGTCACAACCAAATTTTCACATGTTCTATTATTTTTATGATGCAATGGATACTGAAGAACGTTTGACTGATTTTAATCTTGAAAGCGGTCGACAATATCGTTATTTACGTGTTCCTGATACATTTGTTAAGTCAAATTTAGATTTTGTTCGAGATGATCCTTTAGGAAATGCTTTAAAGTTTAAAGATTTTGAACAAGCTTTATTAGCCCTTGACATATCTCAAAATACTCTCGTTGCTATATATAAAATTTTTGCAGCAATTTTAATTCTTGGTGATGTTCGTTTCAAGGAGTGTGATAATGATAGAAAAGCAGCATTAGAAGATCCAACTTTATCAGAAAAAATAGCAAAATTATTAAGGCTTGACGAGAAAAAGTTTCAATGGGCACTAGTCAATTATTGTGTTTTTATTCAAGGAAATATTGAAAAACGTCGAATGACGCCAGGTGAGCAATTAAAATGTAAAAGTTAAAATCAAATTTGAGAAATTATTTTTCAATAATAGATGAAGCCCGTGATGCTCGAGATGTTCTTGCTGGGAACCTTTATTCTCGCTTGGTCGATTATATATCAAACCTAATCAATCAAAAACTTGCATACAATAGAGCAATTTTGTAAGTATAATTAATTCTATAAAAATGATTTAAATATTATTATTAAATTTTCAAAGTGGTGACACCAACTCAATAATTTTAATGGACCTGTTTGGCTTTGAATGCTTCAAAAGAAATCGTCTAGAGCAACTCTTCATCAACTCAATTAATGAGCAAATGCAATATCATTACAATCAACGAGTTTTTGTCTGGGAAATGGTTGAACAAGAAGAAGAACACATTCCGGTTACAAAGCTTAATTTTTATGACAACAAAGTTGCTGTCGATCAACTTATGAATACACCAAAGGGAATTTTCCACGTCCTTGATGAATCAAGTCGTGGTCAATATAATTATGAATTTATAACAGATACGCTAGGCAATAGAAAATCACCTTACATACAACGATATAGTGCACATGAGTTTTCTGTTGCGCATTACTCTGGAAAAATTGTTTACGACACGCGCGATTTTGTTGAAAAGAATCGAGACTTTCAGCCACTTGAAATGATTGAAACATTACGAAAGTCAGAAGATGGCATTGTTAAAATTTGCTTCACTAATCCATTGTCAAAAAGTGGAAATTTAACAATGGCTATGAATGAATCATGTTCTCAAAGTACTTCTAAGAACAAAAAGGGAATGAAATGGGCAGACGCTTTAGTCCAAGAAAAAAGTAAAAATCGGGTATGCAAAGTTGAAAAATCTTATCAAGTGCAGTTTTCCATCAACTTTTCTTTTTAGAAAATGAATACACTTTCAAGAGGACAGTATTCTCAAATCCATAAAATGCGAACAATGTCGTCTGTGTTTCGTGCTGCATCCTTAGATCTTCTCAAGAATTTATCAGTGATCTCGAACAGTGGTGGAATCTATTTTGTTCGATGTGTGAGATGTGATTTGGAATATCGCGAAAGTGGTTTTAATGAAGACATGGTTCGTCAGCAATTGAGAGCAATGGCTGTTTTAGATACTGCAAGAGCTAGACAAAAAGGATTTTCAGTTCGTGTTCCATTCCAGGAATTTTTGAGGCGGTATTATTTATTAGAATCCTTATCATAACATTTAAATAATTTCAATCTATTTTAGCTACAAATTTCTAGCATTTGAGTTTGATGAAAATGTGGAATTGACAAAAGACAACTGTCGTCTTTTATTAGTTCGATTAAAAATGGAAGGATGGATTATCGGGACTTCAAAAGTTTTCTTAAAATACTTTAATGAAGAATATTTATCACGTTTATATGAAACTCAAGTTAAGAAAATTATAAAAGTCCAATCGATGATGCGTGCATTTTTGGCAAAAAGAAATATTGCAAATAAAATAAGGAGCGTATTAAAGAAGCAAACTAGTATTGGTGCACCAGCAAAAGACATGAATGAAGAAGAAGCTGTGATTAAAATTCAAACAGCTTTTCGAGGATATAAAATTAGAAAAATTTATGGTCCACTGATTAATCAAAAAACTGGAAAAATTGACATAGCAACAGCTAAATTTATTGAACCTTTTGCTACTCGTTGGAAGAATAAATCTATATTCCAAATTTTGCTGCAATATAGATCAGTCCGTCATATGGATCTTGTAAATTTCTCTCAGGTACAATATTTGCCGTTTAATGATTCTCTAAAATGCAATTCTATTCAATTTTAGCAAGTTCATATTTATAATCAACGACTCATGACAGGCTTAACGTGTACTGAGAAATGTATTTTGTTGGAAAAAATTGACTCCAAAGAAGTAAACAAGGAACAACTTGGGTAACTTTTGTAAAATTTAAGCCCAAATAATTTTACTATTAACTTAAAATTCTAGTCCAATACGCAGAGCTGTTTGGAAAATTCCGTTCCGTTTAGACGAAATACCGTACTTTGATACGAAATTCTTATGCGATACATCCCAAATTACCAACTTTACCGCTTATGATGAAGAGTCTGAGGCATGGGATGCTCCATTACGGAGACGAACAAATGTTTCTACACATATCACATATCCACAAAATAATTTGTATCATGCTGGCAATAATAGACGCGAGTCTGTTTATTCTGATATAAATGAAGATGATGGAATGATTGTTGATGAGCCATTTAATCGAGATCCAACAATTCCTTTAAAGGTTTGTGATTGAGAAAATCAGAAATAAAATTTTGACAATTTTAAAAATTTATTTATAGAAAGTAAGGCCAAGAAAAATTGAATATAATCCATCACCACGTCCGAGTATTCAAGTGGAAGAGACTGTAAATGAAGAACCTCGTCCATACTGTGCCTCACCAACTCCCTATTCGAAACCAAGTGTTGGAAATTTATTACAAAGATTTTCTCCTGATGGCAGAGATCAAAAAAATTGTGCACCAAAAAAACGTGCTCCAAAACCACCTTCATCACAATCTGTTGATGACACACCAACATGGCTAAAGAAAGGTCCTGCACCACGAATCCCATCACCTTCTAATCGAAAATCAGATCCAATAAGAGAAATGGAATCAATTGGAAAGACATCTTATGAAGAAGTATAATTTTTGAATTAATATTTTTTTTTTTAAATGATATGATAAAAATTTATTTTTTGATCTTTAAGGATGAAAGTGATAACCCACCATTTAATTTTCAAGCAATGTTAAGAAAAACACCATATAATCGTAACTCTATGAAAAGATCAACAGAATCGAAGTTTTCACTACCACATGAAGATTCAATTAATAATAATTCAGGTAAAAGTATTTGATCTTATTGAAGCATGAATTGTGTATTTAAAGAGAACTGATTTTTAAGACAACTAGAAATTTCTTGAAATTTCCTCAAATTCATCTTTCCAGAACCGTTTGTAGAAACAAGACCAAGCTATTCATCTGTGGTTTATCATAGCAAATCTAACCGTCCACGATCATGTAATGAAAATATGAATGCTCCTCGTCCACAAGAAAGAAAATCATCATTATCAACTGGCAAAAATGGAGAGCCAGATGAAAATGAAAATTTAGATTTTATTCAAGAGGAAATCGCGCCTGGTAACATTCAAAAATCTATAATTGTTATATTTATTAGTAAATAACGTGATTTATTTGCATTTTATTTTCAGGAATCGTTGTGGAAGGCTATGTGGCAGATCTATAAAAAAAATAAAGAGATTTAACTATTCATGATATTTTGAAAACATAAAACATAATTGACATAATTTAAAATCATCAGCATTAGTGGTATTTAAAAATCATCGATTAACATTTCTGAAATTTCGCTTCAAAAATCTCAGAATTGCGCAGAATAAAAATCAAATTCGGCTTTGTTGGCTAGAAAAGCTAAAGAAATTTAAATTTATTCTTGAAAAAATTCAACTTGGTTTTAATTTACATTTGCATGAAAATTTTCTTTTTTTAAATTACTCAAATTATTCAATATAATTATTAATTAGCAAACATTAATCAAATTATCAAAAAATTTAATTTATTAATTTAATCAAATTATATTCACTACAAATATCAAATATTACATGTATTGCAATTATGAAATTAATAAAATATAAAATAAATGTTGAATAAAAAATTAATAAAATATAAAAATTGACATTTTATTGAACAAAAAAATATTTGAAGTTTCTAAATTTCTAATATAAATGCTCTCTCGAAACACGTCAATGCAAGAATTTTCAGGTAAAGTTTAAAAAATTTTACAAAAAAAAGTTTCTTCGCAAAATTAAAACAGTATCCATATTGTGTATTACCCTGTTTTTCAATTCCAATATTTCGTAAATATTTGAAAAAGTCTTTAAAATTCCAAGTATAATCATACAGTTATTTGACCATCCCATAAAAATAATTTTAACGGATTTTACAAATATCTACAGCCTGTTGACATAAATCAAATTAATAAAATCAAAAGAATTTACCTGAATTATCATTACGTGACTTTTTTCACAAATACAGAAATTTTCCATCGATCTCCTTGAAGTTACAATACAAACGCAATAAAAAAGTGAATACTGCCATGTGTTTTGTGTATGTACATTAATTATTACCTGTAAAAATAAGTTTAGAAAATAATAAAAATTGAGAAATGAGAAATTTAAGAGAGAATTATAATCGATTGAGATTCATCAAATAAAATAACGACATTTTCATTTAAGCATTACAGTCTATTTTGAGATTCTAAAACTAAAGGTTCTCTAAAATGAATACAACAAATTACAACGATCAGTTACAAACCATCTATCGAAACATAATGTTTCATCAGCAAAACATGGCCTATGCAAATATAATGGCCGCATTTTCAACAGGCACGCCAACAACAGTTCCAGCACCAATAATAAAAGTTGAACCAGGTCTATCGGATGTATCAACAACTTCAACAGCGTCTCCAGCTACATCATTAATAGCATCATCACCTCCAAATTTGAATAGAACACAGTCACCGTGCTCATTTTCTTTGGACACGGAAATTCCACGAGATGAGATTGAAGGTGATATCGAAGTGATTATGGTGAGAAATTTACAAGATAATTTGAAGAAGCTTGACACGACGCTTAATGGATTGCGAGGAAAAAAGTTTGGATATCGTGAATTATTGGACATTTCAATTAGACGTCCTACATATACTGCAAGCAATTCTACCACAAAGCGTCTTCGAACTTCATCATTTGGATCAACTATTGGTTCCCCACATTCAGTCAAAACCTTAAATCATGTAGATGAGGATAGAGATGTGAAGAAAGCAAAGCTTAACAGTACTGCAAATAGTAATGTATCGATGCGTGATGAACACAATGAAAGTTTCGAAAGCGATGATGGCCGATTAATGATTGATTGGAATGAAAATGATTCAGATGCTAAAAATGAAACTCAAGCGATTGAACAAATACCAATTAAGAAGGAAATGGATATGGAAGTCGATGAAAAACATGAAAATGATGAAGATGATTATAAGCCGTCGACATTGAGATTTGAACGGTTAAAGTGTATTCAAAAGAAAAAGCCACGATTTAATATTGAAAATCTTGATCTCACATATCATTCGAATATGGCAAGAAACTTCCCAGGAACTGAAAATCGCACTGAAGAACAACAACAGAGACGTGATAAGAATACATTGGCAGCAAGAATATCGAGAAACAAGAACAAAGCATATGAGAAAATGTTGGAGCAACAATCAATGGATGCAACTGTTGAAAATCTCAACTTGAAGCGTCAAATTGCATGTTTGAGAGTTTATGCGAATTCTTTGATGAAGTTATCAGGATTTGCAGATACAGACTTTAGTAAAATGTGGGAAGCTAATATAAAAGAAATGGTTTTTGATAGCGAAGCATAAATTTTTATTAATTTTTTATATTTTTATCAGCAGTATAAGGAATACAAATTTTTAAAAGCTTTAACTATTTTAGATTTAAGGTTGCATCAATACAATCATGTCAAAAAAAACTTGTAAATAAAATGTTTATGGTAAACTTACGATTCTATTTTTGTTTCTACGCTTATGTAAAATTTCAGCTACAAATATTATTGCCGAAATAATAAGACCAACTCCCAACAAAATAAATGCTCCACTTAAATGCAATGGTGTCAATTTTGTTGGACCAGGAGCATCTCTGTGCCTCGATCTTTCTACAGCAAGTTGAATTTTGTTATTTGTGTTTTTTAGAACAACCTGAATATGATTATTATAAAAATAAATTCAATTTTTTTAAGAAATACATATTTACGTCCAGTTCCACATATTTTTGAACTCCGCTTTCAAAGATTTGCAAAATTAAATCGTCTAGTTCGCTCATTAGTGGCCATGTTTTTGTTGACATTGCAACACACATTTCATAGTATATGTCATTTTTTAATGTCTGATAATTATTAACTGTCTGTTCTGTAATATATTCACCGACTGCATAGTGCCCATAGGGCAACCGTTCAATGCTAAAACTCAAATCTTGGTTTATTGCACGTCGTTCTAAACTTTCTTTAGAGAGTGTCCGAAATTTTGAAAGCAGCTGTAGGATCATTGGCTACATATTTTTCAAATCATATTATTTTAATCTCCTATATTAATAAAAAAGAATATATTTTTGTCTACCTGAGTTGCTAGCAAAATTGAGAAAATCCATGCATCATGAGTAGAACCCCATTCCATACCACTAGCTGCTAGTTCCTCGACAGTATCGATTGCTTTTTTGTACCTTGAAATTATTTAAATTACTGTTTGAATAAAAACTATTAAATTTTCATTTCAATCAATTACTGTGGAATTGTAAGAACGCTTGATAAGCTTGATGAATATGAATTACCGAGGAGGAGACCCAAGATTAATACTGTAGTAAAAAATATAAGCATTCCAGACTTGATAGATCTAAAATATATAATTTGCGCATTCTAATTAGGTTTTAAGATTTAAAAAATATAAAAAAGTATTACTTAAATTTGACTGACTGCAGAACATAAATTCCCAAAATGTTTAATCCAATTTTCGAAAAACTGACAATGACATGATCTTTATTGGCGTCGTTTATTTTTATATAACCAATTCGCAATAATTTGTCAGATACCAGCAAGATGAAAAATGACACAATAACAGCAATCCATAGTGAAAATTGAAAAGGAAGCAAGGGAGTTCCAATTGGATCACGGAGTCTTGGAAAACAAAAAAAAATTGTTAGAAATGTAAAACAAAATTGCATTATTTTTAAACTAAGGATATTACTTAGGCTTTGGAGTGATAACAGTGACACCAGTTCGAGATATGAACTTTGATAGTGACAAGAATATACTTTCGTGGTACCAAGAGTATAAAGCACCAACGCCAACTTCTGCTCGTCTTTCGACAACTGCACCAATTATTCCATTACCAGTACGATTGTCAAAAATTTCACCCCATTCACCTGCTTCATCTAAATTATTTTTAAGCATAAATAAAGTAAATTTAGATTTTTAATAAAGAACATTACCTAGTGAAATTAATAATGTGCAGTTAATCCTTTTACAAAATTGAATAAAAACCCAGGTTTCAGTTCCATCGACCAATAAAGGTGTCTTTTTTGAAATTTCGTAAGAATTTGGTTCAATGTCAGTTTCGTTCTGAAAAAAATAATTCTAAATTTTGAAATTAATTGATATTTAGTTCCTCATCACTACTCACAACTTCTTTCCATATTGTATAAGGCATATAGTTAAATATGGCTAACCCAATTTCACGTTTATGCAAATTCTTTACTTTTATAGGAAATAAATTTGTTGTGCTTAAATGATCTTTAAAATTCTGAAAACAATTTAAATCAAGTGATGTTATTTCCCACAATTCTGAACATAAAGCATTAGGTCCAACGAATTTTGTTGTCATAAAATTGAAAATCTGACTGTTTTCATTGTAATTCATGAATAAAATATTCGGCAGATCTACAAATTAAAAGACAATTAATCTAGTTCCAAAGAAGTCTGTAAAACGTAATCTTACCATTAATTGCTGGATTGCGTAATACTTCATCATCAATCTTAGATTTTGACTGTGATACATCCGAGTATACAATAACATGCTTGTTAGAATAAACCTGAGTTGACATATCATGTAATTCATAAAAATTTTCCAAGAAAATTTCAAATACTTCATTAGCAATTATGAATGCTTGACAGCCCATGTCAATTCCATGTTGATAATTTTTTATCGTACCTGACCTTTGATCATAATGAAATATAAATGAGTGAATGTCGAAGAGAAATGGCTTGAATTTGGTATCCCTTGATACGATAATGCAAACCAAGTATAATGTTGAAAAATATTGAGTCACTAAAGATGATAAAATATAGATAAACAAACATGGAATAGGAACTTTTTACTTTTTCTTACCAATGTAATGAAAAATGTCATTTATAGCTACTTCAAAGTGATGTGTTTCTTCAATTGAAATGTTCATCTTGAATAGTCTACAAATGATTGAATTTTCCTTAAACATGACATTTCTTTTTATACAGAAAAACTGTTCATGTATGTTTAAAAATTCATGAAAATGAAAATTGTGTATGTTTTTTAATTAAATGCTTTGCTTAAAGAAATGTAAATTAAAAAGCAAAAAAAAAAAATCAATAAAACATTTTTCTTGCTGTTTAAACATTTATTTTAAAGAGTCAATACTAAAATCACCCCGGGACAACAGCACATACTATTAGAAAAATTTTGGTTCTTAGATACTGAGAATGAATTTTCCAAGTACACCAGAAGAAAATTTGAAAGTGTCAACGTTTGTGAAATTGACGCAGTCAAACTAAAATGTTTGTGAGCGAACATGAAGCAAATCATAATTCTTAAAATGAATTTCGTGAACAAAGTGATGTATTTGAGAAATTTAATCTCGGCAACACCCCCCCCCCCCCCCCCCCTTCCTATCCCATATCCCATCTTGCTAAAATTATATTTAGGAGAGAACCATACAAATTGAAAAAATCTGGTTTTGCCTAGAAAAGTGTCAAGAAGTTTCATTGAATTCCTTGATAGGTCATATACCAAAATGTTTGAGAACCACTGTATTTTAAATTTTTTACTGAAATCCTGTCATAGTAACCAATATTTAAGTAACCCGTTTGTTTATTCAAAAATGCTATTTTGTTTACTTTAAAACAAACATCCACTAAAACTAGACATCTTCAATTTTGTACTACGAAAAATAAATATAATTTAAAAATTAAACCATGATTGAATTTGATGAAGATAATTATAGTACAGATTCAAGTGAAAGGGAACAAGGTAAATAACTTGAAAAATTTTCATAAGAAGCTTCCTTAAAATGTAGCTTAAAACTTCTCAGATGCAAAAAAAGCGATTATCGAAGTTGAAGAAGAAGAGGAAACCGTTCCAGTTCCTGAATACACAGAAGCAGAATTAGCAAAATTGATGCTTTATGTTCAACATATGACAACATCTTATGAACTAAATGACAATGACATTGATGAGTCATTCAAGGATAATGTAAAGAAATGGTTTCTTGATGTCATGGAAATTCAAGTTTTTGTTTATTTTGACAACGGATATCTAAGTGCCGGTCCTTCTGTTCCTGCAAGTCCAATATCACAATTAACATATTTTATACGTGAAGAATTAGGTCACGTGTTTACAATTGAGGGATTCCATGATGAAGTCACCTTTGGAACTATCAATGAAAATATTGACGAAACAGTTCTTATGCTGTTTCAATGCGTTTATATTCCAAGAATTTTAAATGACACACGATGGGATGAACAAATCAAACAAACTTTATTCAATGAAATGCATTCATTTATGGCTCTTTTAACGGATATTAATTCGAAAATTGGATCTATGGTCATTCTTTATGTTCCTGATGAAGGACATAATTTGAGTATCAAAGAAGCTGTTCTTAACAAACCTTTGATCAAGCGATACGAAAATGTATTGAGCTATTGGATATCTCAAATTCAACTTTGCATGAATGATATGAAGTGTTTAAATCAGGCTTCACTTCCCTGTCCATCTGATGAATATGATTTTTGGGTTTATAAATGTAAGAAATAATTTTAAAGGAAAAAAAATCTTTAAATCATTAAAATCTCTTTCTAGTCGAAGTTTTTAGTGGAATCAATGAGCAATTAAAGCATCCCAATGTTCAGCACATAACGGAAGTTCTTACAAAATCGCAATCACTATTCATCAAGGAATTTTTATTACTAAGTGAAAAACTACAAATAGAAATCCAACAAGCAAGCTCAAATTCGTCATTTTTGAAGTTGTTAATTGCACCATGTCAAGAACTTGAAGAATCTGAATGGCCTAAAGATGTTCCGCCAAAACTTCCAAAAATAATATACCTTATTCGAGTGATCTCAATACATTCTGACTATTATGATAACAAAGAAAATACAGAACGACTCTTCATGTATCTTAGTAATGAGATCATCAGCTACTGCATCTCAAAGATTGACATTAAAAAAATCCTTAATGGTCAACCTAGATTTGGTATACAAATTTGTGACATGTCAATCGATTGCTGTTTGGCTTACAAGGAAGTTTTCAAACGAATTATTGAGCAATTTTCGATGGAAGATTTTCGTCGTTCATGGATGCTTGATGAAATCAGAGTATTCAGTCGCATTAACAACTTCATTCAAAGACTTTACGACATAATAGAAATTTGTGAAAGCATAATTGTATTTGGCAGAATTGATGAAACAGGATCGATTGCGCCATTGAAATTTGGATGCCACAATGGTCAAGAGTTTTTAAAGATTTGCGAGGATATACAAATGAAGTTTGAAGCTGCTCTACATGTTATAAAAAGTTCCTCATTAAAAATTCTTGATGTCAATAATTCAAGCTGGTACGAGAATATTTCGTCATTTAAAACAATAATTAGAACATTAGAAGGATGTGTTGAAAGTTTGCTTGTTCATGCCTTTATCAATATTGATAACGTAGAAGAGGCATTAGATGTGTTGACGGCAATGTATAATTTCTCCAAACGTAAAAGTCTCCAGTCTGAGTTCACACGTAAAGTTGAAGAAATGTGGAACATGTTTGGTCATGAACTGATTGAGACTAATAGTATCATATCAAAATTAGAAAACAAGCACATATATTGCTTACCAAAATATTCTGGTAAAGCTTTGATGATTCATATAAAAATCAGAAGATTAAAAAGACTCAAGGATCTTCTAACTGCTGCACATTATCTTCCAAAAGTTTGGTCTATGGAAGAAATGTTAACAATGTATACATCAACAACTGACAACATCATGAAGAGAATCGAAGGATATCATACTTATTGGAATTCACAAATTAGCCAACAGCCAAACGTCTATTTGACTCGCTTTTTAATTAATCGTAGTCCAACACATGGAGGGCTTTTGGAATGTAATATTGACCGCAAAATTCTTCCAGTAATGCAAGAAATAAAATATTTTGATTTTTTGGAAATGCCAAATTCAGCCGTTCTCGTTCAAATCAATACTAAACAGACAAGATATGTTAATTTATACAATAAAGTCGTAAGTGTCGTTCTTCTACACAACAGAATTCTTTGTGCTTTGTCCGATAAAGAGAGATTGCTTTTTAAAGAACACATCATGCAAATGGATAGAAAGATATCACCTGGAATGTTTCGACTTACTTATTTGGATGAAATGACAGATAATTTCATAAATGAATGTCTTATGCATTTGGAAGAACTTCAAGATTTTGTAAACATCTACAAAATCATCAATAAAGCAATTGTAAAACTATTTGAAGACATTTCAAACAGTTTCTTGCAGTCAATAAGCGTAAAGACAATTGGATCATTATCGAAATTTGTAAGAAAACTAAAAGAATCGAGAAATCAATCTGTCAGATCAATAGGAGCTTCATACAAAAAAGTCATTGACTATATAATCTGCATTTATGATGGCTTTGAAAGTCACTTGAATACATCAGAAATGGCAGAACGTTGGGCAAACTACATAAAGAAAATTGACGGACTTGCTGAGTATGGTATTATCAGTGCAAGTCGCAATACATTAATTGGAATATATGAACTGTTAAATGGACGGAACAACATGAAACCTGATCCAATTATTGCAATTGAAATCAAATTGGACACGAGAAAAATTGAATTTGAGCCAGAATTACAACAAGTCGTTAATACAATCAAGCATATTTACCATGACCTTACAAAAAGCATTAAAATATTTCCCAGACTTGTTGAAAAGTTTGAGCTGCCAAATAGAAATGACTCACAAGATTTTTACGAAATAGTCAATGATGACATTGAATCTCGTGAAGCTTACTTCCAAATTAATTCTGTACTCGAGCAATTTTTGGAAAAAGTCAATGACTATATTGAAACTTGGCTATTGTTTCGTATAGTTTGGGAAATTGATATTGATAAGTTCATGCAAAAATATGAAGAACGTGGATTGGATCTTTTTGAATTTGAGAACAGTATGATGAAATATTATGATGTATCAAACCAAGTTCTTATGCAAGATACAAGCGTGGTTATCTCATTTGTAACATTCGATTGCACAAAATTAAAGAAAAGCGTTCTTGAGCACATTGAGTCATGGAAAAAGGGTTACAAACAAACTCTTTGCATGACTATGATAAAGAAATTGGAAATGTTTAATGAGAAGTTGACATCTAGAGTAAAGTTGTTAAGTGAACAACCAACTAATGGAGCTGAATTAGATGCGTTAGTGAAGCTCCATGATCAGTCGACAATGGAGTATAGAGAACGTGAAGAAGAAATGGATGAAATTAGGAAGTATCACAAGTATTTGGGTGAGTAAAAACAATAATAAATTTCCAACCAAAAAAAAATTAATTTTTATAAACATTTCCAGAAAAATACAAAATTCATGCGCCATCAACTCTTATCACGAATTTTGAAAACATGCCAAAGAACTGGAATTGGTATTGCCGACGTCTACGAGAAATTGATGACGAATTGTATAACTTTAAGGAGCAGTTTAAAATGAGTGTGTAAACTGCAATAAATGTCTTGTTTGTTGCTCTATTCTTATTATGTGTGTGTGTGTGTGTGTCTTGGATTAGCTTCAAATAGCGACCTCTTTTGAGAAATAAATGATTGTCGAACTTAAAATTAGTTGTCATTAAAAATGATACATCTTTATGATATTTGTAGTAATTTTATAGAATTGGTGCATCATAAAATAATAAATTTTATTTTACCTTTTCCCAATGATCTTGAAACCAATATATTCGCGTGCAAACAATTTATATATTTTTTAAATTGCAAACACAAATACATTAAAAATATCCACAGAAGTGCATGAAAGCAAAAAGACCAAAGACCTGTCAGTGAATTGAAATTTTTATATTGAAATTGAAACATATGCTTACCATATGAAAAAAGAAAATTGATTAACTTTTATGTTCATATTATTCACCTTTTTAGATCTCTGATTGTAAATAAATTACATTTTCTGTAATTAATTTTCTTATTACTCTACATATTTCTCTTTCAAATGAATGAATACATGTACTCAAAGAAGATCAATTGCAACAAGGTTTGTAATAAAATTAATTAATTGCATCAAGATGATTTTAAACATGAATTTAATTGATGTAATAACAAGCATTCGAACAACAAAAATTTCAATAGTTTTCGAATTCTTAAAATAAGTTTTAAATTGAGGATTATAAAGATTTTATCGATTTTAGAGATTTTAACATGGAGGTTGTGTAAATATTATGTATCAATAAGAAGCTTATAATAAAATTCGTAAAATAAATAAGTTTAATTATTTAAATTCTTGAAGTACATTTTTTAAATTTAAATACAACCCTTTTGACCAAAAATGGTCATCACTAGTAGTCAACCACAAATGGAGAAACATCTGAGATCAAGTCACAATTTAAACAACATGTATTTAAATTACATTATTAAAAATTATTGAAAACCACCCAACAAAATATTAAAGAGACAACAGAAAGGTAAAAGGATAAATTTATTCGGGCAAGACCGTTTTTCGATTAAGTGTCAGATTTTGCTATTATTTCGTTTATATCTCTTAAACGACAAACCTAACAATAAAACTTGATATATTGTTTTATAGAACTTTTTGATGCCTATCTTTTGGTATATAAATTTTTTAAGAAAGTTTTATACTTAAGGTTGTAGAGTCTTAAAAGTGACAAAATCTGACACTGAATTTTTGGGAAGGGTATTTGAAATTTTACTAAAACTAGTCTATCTCGCTTAGTTTTACACCGATTTCGATAGTTTTTTCAGCAATAGATAGTTTAAAACTACAGTTATCATTAAAAAGTAATAAAATCAAAATGGCGACTTAATAAGTTAATTTAATTAATGTTTTTAACCTTATTTTCCTATATTTTACTTTGAATTTTTAACTTACTCAACTTTTTTCTTGACACAAATATAGTTTTAGACCTTGGCTTTATGATAGAAGCCAAAAAATTTTGAAAAAAGTAGTATAATTAACTTTTTTTGGTCATTTTTTAAAATTGCCTTTAAATAGCAATTGAATAGATATTCTTTTAATCTTATGATGTAAAATGATAATTATACATCAAATATGCTTAGTTCTAGCAAAATATATCACAATATAATGTTATAGAACAAGAAATAAGCAAAAACTTTAAAAACTTTAACCAAAAATTTATAACCGTTTTTGAAAATTTAAATTTTGTGGTTGATTAAAGAGTTGTAAAATAAACTTTTACTTAAATTAACTAAATTAGAAGGCTTTATTGCAGTAAACTCTTGCAGGAAAGTTGTAATTTATCATTAATTAATGCTTTTTGAGGGACAATAATGAAATTTCATTAAATTAATATGTAAAATCAATTTTGGTTAATTTAACTAATTTTGTGTGTTAATTTGAAAATGTGTGTATGATAAATGAAAGAAAATAAGATTCTCAACAACTTTTATGAACATATCAGCTCCTTTTACAGCTTCCTTCTTGGAGAAAAATCACTTTGAATGTTTGATTTAGAAATTAAACTAACTTATGAAGTCGCCATTTTGAAAGTTTTTGGTTAAAAATGTAGTTTTTGTATTTGGCTATAAACCACTGAAAGAATTATGAAGATTGAACAACTAAACTCTAAGTAAATCAACTTTCAATATTTGTTCACTTTTTTCGCGGTCTTGCCCATTCATAAAACAAAAAGGTTAAAAAAAATCCATTCCGAAAAATTCAATTCCAAAAAAATCTGCTTCCTCTTTTTACACGAACACATTGCTGACGGCTTGATAGGGAACTACGAGTTAAGTAGATTTTTCTCGTATGCCTGAATATTCAATCATTTGTAGAAGAATGATTGAAATGCAGCAGCAATATCCAGAGAGAGAGAGGGATACCATTCCAATAGAAATTGAAGCTTATCCAACACGTAAAATTTATCGAGAAATTGGGAAATGTATTCGTGACAAAAGGACCTCTATGCTTTCCTAATTTAGATCTCGTTTTCTTTCTGACTGAGGTAAGAAACTTATTTAAAAATCTTTGGGCATTCTTACTATATTCACTTGTCAAATAATATTTTGTCTTGATGCTTGTTATAATTTAAATACTATATTAATTCTTGAAGATTTGAATTTTACTTTACAGACTTACATAGCTTTGAAAAGAGTTGAAAATTAGCATCTGAGCAATTCCACAAATGAGTGGAATTTTAATAATTTAATTATGAATTTTAAATTTGGCTTTTTTCAATATGATCGAAAAAATGTCAGGCAAATCTATAACTTTTTTAATTTAATTTAAATTTATCCAATTCCATCAATTGCTGCACTTTGGCTAGACTTGCTCCTTTTTGCTACACTTTTGCTACACCTTGATGCACATTACTACAATTTTAAGGGTCCTAAAATCTTGGAGCAAATGGGAATATCAAAGTTTTATTGAACCTTATTGTTTCTCTACAGAGTACAGACTACATTCAACAAGGCGCTAAACTTTTCTTTGTTCATTAAATGTTTAAAAGAATACAAAAAAAAATTTTACTGAGAATAATTCTTTTCCAACTTTTTCTAGATGAAACCTTTTATCGATTCCTTTTTAGTTCCGACAATCTCACATGATCCAAATCACAAGTGTGAAAGAGAAAGAAAATTTTTGTTTATAACTCGCTCATGTGTTAAACATCATGCTTCTTATCGTTTCACGTGTTCATGCTATTCTCTTTCTCTCCTCTACCGGTATGTTTTGTTATGCATTTCTTCTCATTTGTATTTTGAGAAACGCATCACAATATTCTCTCAATGTCGAGTGATCGTTCAAAGGAGTCAGACGTGTTATGTTTCGCGATCGTCATTATTTTCAAAGGGAAGAAAATTTGTGTGTAACAGATTTGAAAAGAAGAATAAAAATAGAATTTGTGCAAAAATAAATCAAATTAAAAAAAGAAGAATTCAAGTTTTAAAACAAGTGCAGTTTCAAAATTTCGATATTTTTATAATTATTCAAAATAAAAGGTGTGAAATAATACCAAAGGGAGAAGCATTTTGGGCAAATATTTGTATTCTAATGTAGATTGGAATGAAAATAATGATGGGAAATTAGAAAAGTGAAATTTTAAGAGTTCATTGAATGATAAGGAAGTGATATGATAAATAATAGAAAGAAAAAATGACGTATAAAATGAATAAAATAAGTTTGTGTCTAATAACCCTAACTTTGTGCATTCTGATATTCCTCACATCCGCTCAAAATTTACGTTCGAATCGTAAAAAATCACGAAGTAATTTGCAAAAAGATTCAATTCTAAATTATGAAACAAACAACGATAAAAATGATGGATATTCAATAGAAAAAGAAAAACAAAGAAGACCGGACGCGTTGAAAAAAAGGCGAAAGGGAAGTCATCAAAGAAATGACTATGGTTAGTAGTTAATATTCTCATAATCTAATTTAAAGGATGATAATCACAAAAAATCCAATAATTTTACAATTTTGCTGAATTGCTTGCTATCCAATCATAAAATCAAATAAATTATGTTTAATAGCCGTTTAAAAGCACTTTGCCGGTGCGTTGAAAGAGAACTTTAGAATAACAATGCGCGATTGACGATCAAAAAAAAATTCTTTGGTAATAAGTTGAAAAATTATAAAGAAAATACAGACGATGAGAATATAATAACAATCATAAAATGATGCAGAATATGATCGAAAAGGAAGAGGAACGAAAAATAATATTATGGGTTAAAAACTACAAGAAACCACAGGTGATGATTATTCTCGTCCATGAAGATTTTGTTGCAAAATTTTTATCGTTCACTTGCCTCGTGAGCTAATGAAAATCAAGTGCATTGAGATAAAACTTTCGTCTTTATGAGACTTGACAAATTATCATAAAAATTCAATCGAAATAAAATTCAAAAGGAACGATTAGTAGAACTTGTTCACTATATTTTTAACTTGACACAGTTGTACAGATATTTTGTAACGTCTAAAAGAATGAGTTTTTAAGGATTTATTATAAAGTCGCTTATTATAAAATCGAATTTCATGTAAATATGGTTATTGAGTTGACTTGATTCTTAAACATTCGGGTATCGAATGGATGTGGATTACAAAATAGCATTTTTGTGTATTACAAGATCAGAATGGTTTCTAAAGATGTACAAAACGATAGCTATCGTGTTCTAAATCAAATCTGTTCCTTATATATCAAAGCATCATATTCATATTCATATTCATATCAAGTGTGCCTTGAATATCATAGGTTGAATTTAAAGTTTCAAAACCACTATTTTAAAATATAAAAATTCCTCAAAAAGCCAGTTCTAATTAATGTAAGGATATAAGGATGGGCTGAAAGATGTAAACTTTACATTAGCTTTAACCTCACAAAAGGCATTAGTTTGAGTATTGTGTTCATGCCTTGTTTAAAACAAAAGCTATAAGAAACTTATGTTAAAACAATTAGTTACGTGCTAATTCAATCGTGTAAAATAAATCATTGTGTCTTCTTATTCTCGTGATGCTATTTTCTAACCAAACACATTTTTCTTCTTTCAGTTTTGTCACACTTCATTAGCATATGCGATGAAATCTTTCTTTCATTTATTCATTCCACTTCGAATTTTTTTTTATTGTTTTAGTGAGTGACTATTGCATAAAATATGAAATTCCTTTAAAAACATTTTGAGCATAAAATGAGCGATAATGATAAAAAAAAAATCTACATTAAAATAAAGTTATATAGGCATTTAAAATTTTAACACAATAGCAAAATAGAAAGAGAAGAAAATGAGGAGAATTGAAAAGAAACCAAAACAAAAAACAGATTGTATGTTGAACACAACAAATTAGATACCTGGAATCAGATCTTCTTCATTGGCATTACTGTTAAAGAAGAAACATGTGTGAGGAAGAGAATCGACATTAAAAGTATGCTACAAGAAAAAAAATGGCAATGCATAACTAGAAAATCGGCTATCTACCTGCATAGTATCTTAATGCTACTTATGTCGCATTTGTTTTTAAGGCATCAAAGCTGGAATTTTCGTGAAGTAGCGTAAAAAATTGATTCAGATCTTCTCTTGTTATCTTTGTAGAATTTATCACCAATAGACATTGTATAGAAATAACAATAAGGAGCTGCCGCAATTCCTCGACTCTATTCTGTTTCTCTGTTTAAAATAATATAGGCAAAGAAGTAGAAGGAAATGATGTTCTGCCTCTAGGCTCATTTTTGCGTTTTATATTCATTTCTTGATGCATTTCAAAAGTGTTAATGTTGAAGTAAAATTGTAATTTTTATGACTGCACGAAGATGAAATTTCATCGTCATTATATTCACAGACATGCGCCACTATAATTTACATGATAAAATGAAGTGAAAGATTACTTCGATGCGATCTAGTTAAACTTCACTAACATACAACATAATCATGACTCTTGGATGATTCATCATTCGCATTTTCTTATGGCAATGAAGATAAACAAAGATATTTCTCTTCTTCCTTCTCCTCCTCCTCCTCTCCCATTCGCTCTCATTTCATACATTTTTGTTTATTTTATTCAAATACAATTTGTAATGTTTATATGTTTGCATATTCGTTGCACTATGTACATACACATATCTATCTAGATTCATTATTGACATAGACATGATAATTTCAAAGAAAATTTATAACAAATCTTGGAAATTCTAATTGAAGAAAAAGTTGCCTTTTTGTTGTAGCTGTGAAGATTCATTTTTCTTTAATTTACACTTTTACATTCTAAATAATTTAAAACCAACTCACTTAGCACATTTAATTTAATTCACTGGATATGTATTAATTGAATTCAATTTATGTACTTTCTTCTTATGCTGCTTTTTGAATGTTTAAAAAAATTTAAAATTTTTAAAAACAGAGTAAAAGCATAAATCCAAAAGTCTGTCTATAACCTACCGACTAGTGTAACAAATATCGCATCTTTATAATTGGCTTAAAAAGTTGATAGAGTTATATCTTTAGTAAATTATAAAAACACTATTTTTCGCAAGATAAGTTCTCAGCATTCCCATGACTTGTCACGTTTAACTGCATCGATATACACGTAAGTTCCCTTATATGACGATGAAATAACAACTTTTGAATAAGAAGAATGCAATATACAAAGATGCCAATAAATGTGGTCAAAGCATACCATATGAAACATATATCGTATGTATATTGAAACGACTTATCTCTAGCCGGTAATCTTCTTGAATTTTATATTAAAATTTATTTTCATATTAAAAAGCTAAAACGAAACTACCTATTCAACTGGAAAAAGTTTCTTATATGTAAATGGCTAATTAAAGATATCTTGAAAGAGAACCTTTGAAGCATGATTCATATTCTTATTTTCTATATATTTGCTGCTCTTTAACTTGGAGCCCTATCACGGGCATTTTATTCTATCTAGTTCATTCATAAAAAAGAATTTACTAGACATACTAAAACTAGAAATATTTTTCCTCACATACTTTCTTCTAGTGCTCTAAACAAATTAAATGATTGAAACAATAAGCAAATTAGAGAATTTTGTTTCATGTCAAACTATTTTTGTGTCTGTTGTTTTCTGTGAAAATTGTATTTTCTCTCTCATTATTTTCTCGCGACGTACAGAAAATAAGTAGTTCAGCAAAGTAGCTTTTGGGCATATTTTTTGAATTAATTTAACTTGTAAGTTTAAAATATTTTAATTTTTAAACACTTTGTTCTTGGAAAGGAACAAAAAGTGTCTCATTATGGAGTAATACTTTTGAGTGGATTTTAAAAAGTACTTCAATAATATTTAGGAGTTCTCAAATTTCTCTCAAAGTTTCATAATTTTCATTTATAACTTTAAAAAAAAGCAATCCTTCATGCTTAGAATTCTAGGAAGAAATAAAAAAAAAACAACACGGAGCTGTTGAAAATACAAAACATAATAACATAAATTTCATCATGATACATTAGATATCTCGCTTCCTTTTATGTTGAACATCATCTTGATTTTACACAAATTTTAACTTGATTGTTTCCAAATCTTTAACAAAAGAACCAAAAAAATTAAATGTTTATATCAATTTAAGTGGTTAAAGCATAACAAAACAAAATAGAATAGAAAGGATTAACAGAAAATATTCGAGATACCTTCCTTCATTTTAATGACGATCGAAAGCAATAAAGAAATGAAATTTATGGATGATTTTGTTCCCTGTTAAGCCTCAAAGATCTTGAGTGAATGATGAAGACAAAGGGATAAAGAAAAAACATAAATATCATTATATGTTAACACTAATGTAGCATTGATATAAGTTGATAATATCAACATGACAACTTGTGTGTCCTAGTATATTCTGCGATTGATGATTGGATTTTATTTAAATAATATTTCAAATAATCGAAGGAGTTTTGTCATCATATTATTAATAAGCAACGTGTTGAACAAATAAAATTCTTAATCTCTCCGTTTATAAGTTACAAATTATGTACACACTTTCATCAAAGCAGCATGTTTACAAATTCTTTCACAAAATAAAAAAGACAAGAACATAAGTCGCTGCTTGAAATACACAAAAAAACCATGTCAAATTCACTCCACAACAAAATTCCCTCCGAATAACAAAAAAACATTCAAGTTCACGATTTTCTTATGAGTTGTATTAAAAAAAAAAGGCGAAACAGAAGGAAAATATCGGATCATTTATTATAATAAATGGCGTCATTAATTACGTTAGAAAAGAAGAAAAAATAATCAAATGCATTAATACAAATTGTTTTACTTATTTTCAGATTTGCGACAGTTACCAGACAGTACACATCCGTTTCAACGCTTTGTTGAATCTTCGCCGAATGGTGGATTATTTCCAAAACCATTTAATGTCGCAATAAAAGCTAAAATTACAGCAAATGCAACATGTGGTAGTAAAATTGAAGAATTTTGTCGATTAGCTGATATTTATTCACCAAGGTAACTATTACTGGATATATTAGAGGATATTGATTAATGATTAAATGTCTTTCCAGACAACAATCAATGTGTGAATTTTGCGATTCTTCAGATCCTGATTTAAGTCATCCGATAACGCATGCAATTGATGGTTCACATTCATTTTGGCAAAGCCCATCATTAGCTGTGGACAATGAATATGAATTTGTTACAATCGACATTGATTTGGGGCAGGTGAGAATTTTCATTTTTTTTATTTAAATGTACATCGGCGATCAGCAAGTTTTGTATCTTAAAATATTGTCCTCATATGATTTTATCCAATTTAAATAATTCAAGTAGGAATTCCACTTATTTCATGAACAAAAAAACAACTCATTAGATTTGAAAAGGGAAATCGTTGAAACATCTCCATAAAAATCTGCAATTTATTCATTGTCTGAAGGATTTACAATCATTTTATTAAAAGAATTCCAGTTTAATTTAAGAAGTGCTCTCAAATGCTCAGTATGTCACTTGAGGTCTTTTAAAATGTCGATCAATTTTTCAGTAAAGAAAGGATTTGAAAATAAAGAAAGATCTTTTGATTATAATAAAACCTTTAACGAAAGAAAGAACTAAAAGACATTTTAATTGGAATAAATAATGGCTCATTTTATCTTTTGTTCCACACATTTCTCTGAATTGGAATTCTATTTCCTTGAACAATTAACTATAAAATCTGATGAAAACATTTCACAATTCAAATAAGCTCAGGTTTGGAATGCATCTTTTATAAATTTTGAAAGGTTTGATAATACATTTTGAAGCCAGAGTTCCGATATTCTGTTTTGAAGAAATTAATTAAACCAGACATCTTAAATTCTCTTCAAAACATTGGAGCTATTATTGGCTAATCTGGACCGAGTTTTCAATTGAACCATAAGCCCTAAAAGTTTTATTTTGTCTCTTATAAGAAAACCACAAGCCAAAACAGAAATTTTAAAATTTAGTTGAGTTGTTAAAACTCGAAATTTTTATTTGTCAAATTGAGAAACTTAAAAATTTGTGTACACAATTTCAACACATTCGCTCTTTTTTTACTCTTAAAAATAAAAATTTTCGTTTTACAGAAATTTGCACATGGTAAACATTTAACGCTAGCATTTGATGCAAGTATTTCGAATGCATTTGTAAATATAGAATGAAAGAAGAAGTGCAAGAGTTCTATTTAAAATTGTCGTGTATCAAAAAATAAACTCGAAGTCTAATTTTTTTTGTGTAAATAGAATTTTTATGACTCTTTTATTCTGTTTGAGGAAATTTTCATTTATGTCGTTCTATTTCCGTGAACTAAATCTCAGAAATTCCACAACGTATGACTTTATGATTATGCATTGATGCATAAAAATATATGTGATGCACAAGTTCATGCCTATTTTTGTAGAATTGCTTTCTCAACATCTATTTTCCTTTCTCGCGCTCATATTCAAAAGTATGCGGCGGAAGTTTAATGGTTTCATTAAGCAACATAAAGTACATTTACATAACACTTTTGACTTGCCATGTTTTGCAATTCCATTTCAAAAAGCAAGTTCATTTATAAGTTCAATGAAAATATGAGAAAAGAACCTCACAATAATCATCAATCTTAATCTTTAAACCACATACAATTTGCTTTATTCTCCATCTCTTTTATTGTTCATTATTATTTAAATAAACATAAAGTTCAGTTGAGTTTTTCTTGCTTTCGTTTTGCAAAAAAAAAAATTATGCAATTTTAATCTACCATAAAATTATATTGATTGCGAAGTCTTGTTAAATTTTACCTATTTCTTATGATTCCATGTAAACCTGTCAAATTTCGTTACCACGAATATTTGGTTTTTAAAATTTAAATATATTTTTATAAGGCTTATAATTTTTTATTTTCAAACTTGAGATATCTAAAAACATTATTCTTGGTTATTTTGCTGATTAATAATCCAAGCTATGACTTAAGAGTAAAATTTAATAAATAGTTTATAATCTATATAATCTTTAAACTAGTTAAAGCAGAATAGCAATTAATTCACATATTAATCGTACAAGCGCATCAAATCAGATATTTTTTTTTATTCTTTATACTGTTCAATGAAAATAATTACTTCTTGTTTGGAGACAAAATTAATGGTTATTGATTAGAAAAATGATCATATGCAAATTATATGTAGCATACCCTCGAAACATATTATATAAATATGCATTTTCAAAAGAAAATTTGCATTAAATAAGTGTGACTGAAGTACGACGGCATGAAGTGTCCAATCACTTTGAAACTTTGCCAGAATTAAGTCCATATTACGTCCAATTGCGTCCAACAAAAAAATAATTGTGTCCTACTTCCTGTGGCTGGATATAGCAGGTTCCGTTTTTGGGAATTATGCCGTCGTACTTCAGGTTTTAAAACGGCATCATTTCCAAATATTAACTTTATTAGACATATTATACATCAAAATTGATCTCTTAATTACGTCCAATTGCGTCCTGCAAAAATTTTTGGAATCGGATATAACCAGCAAGAGTTATGGACTGTCAAAGTTTTGGACAGTACTACTTGTGGACCAATATTTTTTTGCCCAAATCCTATCATGCTATATATCAAAACACGTCTACTTTTCCTCAGCAGCTTAAATCTGATGGAATTATTTAAGTCCAATTCATTTTTAACCTATGGCAGTTCCAGTTTCATCTCGTACTTGAATATCACCAAGTGTTCAAAAGTTGACTAGCGGCATGTTGTATATCAAAAAATATCTTTTTTTGTCAGTGTTTCTAATCTGACGGAATTATCTTAGTCCAACCTGTAGTTTTGGACATATGGCAGTTCCAGTGTATTTTAACCTGTACCTGTACGTATCGAAAGTTTTACTTTTACCTGTTTAATATATATTTTGACAGAGATTGTTATTACTTTATAATCTCAATTACAATCTTATAATTTTTTTATATTTTCTGGAGTTTTCTAAAAAATTTCCGATATTTCTAGTCCTATTTTGTGATTTAATAACTCAGAAAGTAAAATAGTTATCAAAATAAAGTAAAAAGTATAAAAATTGCTAACATAGTGGAAAGTTTTTCAAATGGTTTTTGCAAGATAATTTTCTTATCGAAACTCGGAAAATCACTTTGAATGTAGAGAAAAATTAATATTTTATTCTCCCTTTTATTAATTGCAATTTTCCCAATAATTTTCCCAATACGGAAAATTTTCTAATGATTGATATCTATAGATATCACAGTAAGCTAAAATTTGCCATTATTTTCATAATTTTTCGTCAACTGGTTTTTCCGCAAAATTGATTTGAACCAAAACTGAAAAAAATACTGATTTTCACATTTTCTTGTTTTTTTCGGAAAACTATGATAACATTTGAAAATCTAAAGATGTAGTTTTGTAGCACATAACCTTAGCCATAATTTCCAAATTTGTTGATGGAGTAAAAACAATCTCTGTCAAAATATATATTTGACAGGTAAAAGTAAAACTTTCGATACGTACAGGTACAGGTTAAAATACACTGGAACTGCCATATGTCCAAAACTACAGGTTGGACTAAGATAATTCCGTCAGATTAGAAACACTGACAAAAAAAGATATTTTTTGATATACAACATGCCGCTAGTCAACTTTTGAACACTTGGTGATATTCAAGTACGAGATGAAACCGGAACTGCCATAGGTTAAAAATGAATTGGACTTAAATAATTCCATCAGATTTAAGCTGCTGAGGAAAAGTAGACGTGTTTTGATATATAGCATGATAGGATTTGGGCAAAAAAATATTGGTCCACAAGTAGTACTGTCCAAAACTTTGACAGTCCATAACTCTTGCTGGTTATATCCGATTCCAAAAATTTTTGCAGGACGCAATTGGACGTAATTAAGAGATCAATTTTGATGTATAATATGTCTAATAAAGTTAATATTTGGAAATGATGCCGTTTTAAAACCTGAAGTACGACGGCATAATTCCCAAAAATGGAACCTGCTATATCCAGCCACAGGAAGTAGGACAAAATTATTTTTTTGTTGGACGCAATTGGACGTAATATGGACTTAATTCTGGCAAAGTTTCAAAGTGATTGGACACTTCATGCCGTCGTACTTCAGTCACACTTAAATAAACTCAAGTTAAACGCTGATTATATTAAACTTAATCAACAATTTCTTTTGATTAGAGTAATGTACAAGTAATGCACAAAATTCGAAACGAAAGAAGCTATTCACTTAGCAAACAAATGACTCTAATGAATCACCAAAAAAATTAATTTAAGAAAATTTTTCTTTCACGGGAGGTCTATACTGTAAATATTATTTATTGATTTTTGACATAACTTTCCTCTCTTCAGCAACGATATCAATTTAAAATCAACAAGAATGGTTGATGAAATGAAGAAGAAGACATAAAAAAGTTAATTGAATTAAGGGCGAGTATATTGATGAATATATTTATTCATATATTCTTGTCCTCTGGCTATGATACAGCGATGCATGTAATAGAATAAGAAGTTAAATTATTAATAATACAATGATTACAAAGTCAATGGTATTTGTTGACGATAAAAAATTTTCTTTGGGTCATTGATGGGCTTCAATTTCAGTTGAAACTAAATTTTTCTTCAAATATTTGTTTTCTAATCTTTTGTTTAATTTCCTAATATAATGTTAACTGTTTGAGCCAGAATGTTGTGTTTAGCACATCTTCAAAGAAAAAAAGATATTTTATTGGAAAACTTAAGAAAACTTAATTTTAGATTAAACTATATGGCAGCAATAATTTGGACAAAAAAACAGCTGTATGAAAAAAACTACACCGTCATGCCTTTTATATTGATTCAACAATGGCAAATCCCAGCTTGTATTAGAAAGTAGATGAAAACTAACAGAACTAGATATTTAAAAGCTTTACTAAATGTGTATAATTAAAATAAGTGGAAACGGGCTCTACCTTCTGTCATATGCGTATCAAATTATTAAATGGATAGACTGTATAGTATTGAAATCAGTAACGTTTTCTTTTTATTAAATTCTAAGGCTTAAATTGGTTTCGATTGAATTATGTTGCATAGTCATATATCTTACAACTTCCGAAGTTTTGAATACTTTTATTACCAATCTAAAGAATTTGATTTTAATGAGTCTTTGAACCAACACAAGTTTTCTTGTAGTAAAGATTGACTTAATTTTAATTACTTTACATCCATGCTTTTATTTGATCTTTAATCCCTGTTGTAACTTGCACATCAATCTCAGTCATAACTATAAAAACAGATAATTGATTTTTGATGCATTGATTCTGTATGGAATGTAATATATCATTCTTGTTCCTTAAATTACTAATTAGCTACTCAATAATCAACATATATTAACAGTATACGTGTGTAATAAAAGGTATATGAATAAAACAGTTAGCAATTGCAATTGCTTATCAGAGAAAATAAGAAGAAGTTAAAGTGGAATAAACAAGAAGTAAAATCAAATGCACAAGAATATTAAATTGGTCCGAAAAAGGAACCGATATATCTTGTGTGTCTGGATAAATGTCGTTTTATGGTCTCCTCTTGTTTTGGATCGTGGAAACAATGTTACGTGTTCTAATAAATTGCTTAATTGGACTTAATATTTTTAGGATCCTTCTTGTTCATTTCAGTAAATTGCGATAATAAAAAGTGAACAACCTTTGATGAATCTTCTTGTTTTGCAGGTTTAAATGAAAGCAGAAATCTTCTTTTCGTGATATGTTTTAAGTTGTTTATTTCAATTGTCGTTTGAATGTTGAGATGAAATAACATAAAAGTTTATAGTTTTTTTTTTCTGAGAAAAGAAAGATTCAATAGAATGTGTACATAGTTTCCGTGAATTTTGCGTTGCTTAGTCATGTCTACATTCTTCACATAGCCATTTCTATCCAATTATTTTTTATGTTAAACTTAAAAAAATGCACCAATTACCGAAAAAAATAATAAAACATTTTTTTCTCCATATAAAGTCAAAACAAGAGCAATGGCAGTGGCAAGTAACGAGCAGATTCCAAACTAAAGATCAATTATTCCCATATAAAGAATTTCTGACTGATTTTGTAGTCTTTGCTTTGTTCTGTTTTTGAATTCTTTTGAGAACATATATTTGTGCTTTGTTATTTTATCTACTGGCTACCTAGCAGTAGCATTCAGTAATAAATTTTGTACATCGCTGTCTGTATTTATCTATCTCTTTTTCTCTCTTCATTTTTCTTTGCTTTCGATTCTTTTTAAGGACATCGAAGATAAGAGTGAAGACAAAGTTAAGAAAAATTAAAATTTTTCGCTCTTCTGTTCTTTTTGTTCAGAATAAAAAAAAAATCATATTAATTTGAAATATTCATAATTAAAAGTTTTCATATCCTTTTTTGGAAGTGTACCAGAATAAATTTAAACATGATTGCATTTTTGATGCTGTAATTTATTTGTCTTTTAAAAAAGCCCCTAATAAGTGACCACTTCTTCAAAAGGAAGGTTAAAACAGGTCAAAAAACACTAGATCTATCTCAAACTCAGATGTATCTTACATTGTCAAACATAATCATTCTCAGCAATGTTAATATACATTACGCATCGTTTAATCATGTCAAATTTATTTCATTTTGTTCATATTTCAAATACATAGAGACACCGCATCTATTTGTAAATATTTATCTTACAATAATTGAAGTTTATTTTTGGGTAAAGATGTGAGTTTGATGATGTTTGAGAAATTCTTGTACAGGAAAATGTGAAAGAATAAATGAAAATTAATTTGTTAAAACACTTAATATATTATAATAGCTTAATATTAAAATTTTGGTATCAGATGATGTTTGAATCGAAATTTTTTTTCACTTTTTAAATATTTTGCTGCCGCACTTTCATCCTCTGAGGAAAAGAACATAAAAGAAGACAGGTTATTTATAACAAATATTTACATACAAAAATGTAAAGAATAATTGTTTGGACCCTTATACACTCAGTGCAATGTTAAATTTGAAGTTTGTTTATAAACAAATTGAGAGCTGAAGAAGAAGTCTATGAAAGAAATAAGCCACTTACTGTTTTCACTTATAAGCTTGTTTAATTAACCCACCAGTTAGTCAATATCATATGGAATTTGTTAAATAATTTATAATAAATTCTTAAAATAACTTCTCCATTAATAAAATTTAATTTAACAATTTATTTGTTTAAAATAAGTTGAATTAATGATGGAATGGTTTTAAAAAAGTAAGAAATCAGAAATAATGCGCTTTAAGTTTACAAACCCCAATTCAACTTGAGTTCTCAAAAATTAAATAAAAACGAGTTTTATGCAAAATGTAAAGAAAGGTTAGAGGAAAATTCAATTACTGTAATAATTCCAAACAGTTCTTCTCACAGCTTCTTGAGAACGCATTATTGACACGAAGAATTTGTTGCTGCTAGCAATATTCCTTGTCTTATTGTTGTTTGATGTAAAAGAAGAACAAAAAAAAATAAATTGGTCGGCGTTTATAAGAAAATTATTAAAAGGCGGGAATATCATTCACCTCAGTCTTCATTCTTCTTATTTGACATATAAAAAACAACACTTTTCTCTTATCAAATTTAAATTTAGTTTGTTGCAGACTCTTTTTAATTCTTTCCCTTTCGTTCTGTTATTAATGTATAGTTTTTTTTTTTTATATTTTGTTGTGGCGTTGAAATCGAAAGCAAAATCTTTAGCCCAGTATGAAATGAATTTTAAAAATCACCCAATTTGGTTTTTAAATGCCGAGATTATTTTTCTTAATGGGAAATCTCAATTTGTATGTAAATTTTTATATGCATTTTTTATGTGCTCTTTGGTTAAACGCCACAATTTGTATAGAATGCGGAGAGAGAATCTCTTGTTGTTATGTTTTGTTTATTAAAGAATCAACGGGTTAATGTTATAAAATTAATGGTCTTTTAGAGTTAAAAATGGGTTTTAGTTCTGAATGAATCATACTTTTCTTCTTGTGATAAATATTTTTTTATTTTTTTATCAGTATTTGTTGTTTTAATTTCAAGATGAATAAAACCTTAAATATGTTTTAAACTTATTAAACGTTTTTTGATTATTATTAAAATATTTTTTTAAAATTTTAATATCATTCAAACTTTTAAAAAAATAGAGGTGATCCATTAAGCGCCAAATCCCTCAAGAGATTTCCCAAATATAAACTTCAAACACAGCATTCAATTAAGCCCAATTCAAATGATTTTAATAAGCTGCTATAAAATCGAGACTTGCTGCAGCCATATATGCAATATTACTTTATCTCCAGTTTTCTATAATTTTTATTTTAATCTTATAATTATTTTTATTTTTCCCATTACAGATTTTTGAAATTTACTCATTTAAAATAAAATCAGCTGAATCACCACTTCCAAAGGCGTGGATTCTAGAAAAATCAATAGATGGAAAAATTTATGAGCCTTGGCAGTATTTTGCAATTAACAATGAAGAATGCATGACACGTTACGGTCTACCTGGTCGTAATAGCAATTATACATTGCAGAATAATCTTGAAATCACATGTACAAGTCAATATTCAGAATCAGTTCGACTTAAATATGGAGAAGCGAAATTTGTCGTTATGGCGCAGAGAAATTTTGATACTGTCACACCTGAACTTCAAAACTTTTCTTTGGCTCAATATATTCGAGTGAAATTTCAAGGACTAATTAAAAACTTAACAGAAATTGAAAGCGATCGTATACCAAAATGGTTACCAGAGGAGGATGATTTGAAAAAACGGAGCTACTATTCAGTTCAATCAATAATGATAGTAGGTCGATGTTACTGTTTTGGACATGCTGCAAAATGCCGGGAAAATCAAGATGAAGTTAATGATGATGCAAACAAATTGCCACAATGTGAATGTATGCATAATACTTGCGGTAAAAATTGTGATAAGTGTTGTCCATTATTCAATCAACGAGAGTTTCGTGCAGGAACACCACAGAAGGAAAATAAATGTGAGAAATGTCAATGCCATGGACATGCAAGTTCATGCGAATATAATGCTGATATTGATGAGAGAAATTTAAGTCAGAATGTAAAAGGAAAGATGATCGGTGGTGGTGTTTGCGTTAATTGCACAAAATTTACTACCGGAATAAATTGCGAAAAATGCTTGACTGGCTATTATCGTCCATATGATCGAGAACCAGATCATGATATTCCGTGCGTACCTTGTGACTGTAGTGTAAAAGGATCAATCGGAACTTGTAATCCATTTGGAGGCGAATGTATTTGCAAGGCTGGTTTTAGTGGACCAAAATGTAATAATTGTGCGATTGGGTACGGGGGAAGCAATTGTGAAAAATGTTCATGCGATGTACGAGGCACAATTCCTAGTGAAGAATGTGAAGAAACTTGCCATTGTAAAGCACACGTCATAGGAGATAAATGTGATACATGTATGAAAGGATATTTTGGATTAACATATGAAAATCCTGATGGCTGTCTAAAATGTTATTGCTCTGGCATTGATACAACATGTGAAAGTTATCATGTCGAAAGAAATTTTATTGAAACCCTCGAGGGATGGATGGTTACTGATTTATCAAAAACACAAATTGCATATCCAGTCCGAGATAATGATACTGGATTCTATGTATTTGGAATGTATGAGTTGGCAGATGTTGAAGCTGTCTATTGGTCAGCTCCACATGTTTATCTTGGTAATCGATTAGAAAATTATGGCTCACATTTTGTCTTTCAAATTGACTATGTTATTGTTCGAGGTGATACTAGTGGAAAGCCAACAAATGGACCTAATTTCATAATGATTGGAAAAAATGGAATGAAAATAGCTTATGGTGATGGATTTTTCTCAAATTCCAATGCAAGTGTTATTGTTCCATTAAAAGAAAAAAATTGGTATCACGTTCCAAAAAATGTAAAAGATATAATAACTAGACTAAGAAGAACTGACTATCGAGGTGATCCAGTCACAAGGACTCAATTTATTTCTGTCATTACTGATGTTGAGAGTATATTGATTCGTGGAACTTATCATACTGATCAAGCTGAAGCTATTTTAAAACGCGCAACTTTATATTCTGGTGATTTAATGACATCAAATGAAGTTGTTGAAACAAAAGAAGCCACTGACATTAGTATTGTTGAAAAATGCAACTGTCCTCTTGGCTATGATGGATTGTCGTGTGAAAAATGTATGTTTGGTCACATTTCAATTTTTGAAAACACCACAACTCATGAAAGAGTCCAAAAATGCCTTCCTTGTAATTGCAATGGACATTCGGAAACATGTGATATGGTGAATATGAAGTGTGGTGAATGTCTGCATCATACAGCTGGAGAAAGGTTTGTGTCTCTGCTACTTTTTTACTTCAGCACTTCAACTTAATTTTATTATTTCCGTTACAGCTGTGAGAGATGTGAGGTGGGATTTTATGGCGATGCAACAAGAGGAACTGTAAATGATTGTAAAAAATGTAAATGTCCTTTAAGTGAAGAATCAAATAACTTTAGTGATATGTGCCAAATGAATGGGAATAGTGATACATATATATGTTTAAATTGTCCAATCGGTCATATTGGTGATCATTGTGAAAAATGTCAAGATGGATATTATGGTGATCCAATGAAAATGGGCTCTAAATGTCAAGCATGTGAATGTAATGGAGATCCATGTGATCCTATTACTGGAAAGTGTATAAAATGTGAGAGAAATACAGAAGGTTGGCGTTGTGAAAAATGCAAAAAAGGATTTTATGGAAATCCAGAAATTGGATGTGATATTTGTGAATGTTCTGACCATGGTTCAGTGAATAATATTTGTGATTCAGTCACTGGAAAATGTACATGCCAACCAAATTTCACTGGAAAATTATGCAATCAATGTGATGTTGGATACACCAATGTGTCTCTTAAATGCACGCCATGTGATTGTAATCTAAATGGCTCAAAAAATCAAAATTGTGACACGAATAGTGGTCAATGTGAATGCAAAATTAATGTCCATGGTCAAAAATGTGATGAATGTGACGAATATTTCTTTGGATTAAATTTCGATGGATGTGAAGGTAAGATTTTAAAATCTTTTACGTTTTTTAACTTATTTATTAATGTTCTCATCGAAAGTGCATCAATGTAGACCCTAATAACATTTAATTAAGGTTGAGAACTTTTTCTTCTACCTTTAAAAAGCATAAATTAAAATTAAAATTTTTACTGCAAAAAAATTCAACATAAGAATAACTTTTCCACTTTATTCATACAAAAGTTATCGCTTAAGAACAAATAAATTTTCAACACTTCAATTATCTTGAATTTTAATCTTTCAACTTGTTAAGATGCATTCGACTTCTTCCTCCTTTTTTTTAAAAATAAAATGTACAGCTTATTGAACATATTTTATTTTATGTTTACAAAAAACATTATTTTCTCATTTCAAGAAAGCATTTTTTAATTCTGATAAGGGATTAATCATGTTTCAAGTAAAAGAATTTTTCCATTAAGCATGCATTTTTGTTGGCAACTTTCAGATGATTGCATTTATAGTTTAACTTTATAACATTTCAATAAACATTCCATACAATTGCTTTTGTTGAGCCGAGAAAAATAAAGAAAGTAATATCTTCTAAATGGTTACCAAATTGAATCTTTCTGCAGCTCGGGCAAGGATTCTTCATATAAATTCTCAAATTTTCATTGTTTTGGTAATAAAACTCCGTTGGCACTGATATTTCAAGAATTCTCTCATTATTGTGCTTCCTAGTTTTTCTTTGAGCTCGTCTAGTTTTTACTTCAGTTTATTTCAAAAGAAAAATAAATGGTATTCATAGCAGCGTCCTATGCTAGTAAAAATTACTAAGTTTATCAACCAAAACGATAAAATATTTACTATACTTAAGGGGATTATTGATATTTTTTGTAACAAAAACGATGAACATGATCTGAATGAAACAAAATATTACTGCATGGTGGTCTTACTACAATAGAAAACAAACCTTAATGAAAGCAAATAATATATTTTTAAAATAAGAAAAGGAGAAAAGATAATAAAAAAATAGAAACAAAAGACTTGGTATAAAATTTAGCTAATGCTCTTTTTTATTTCGCGCATTTTCAATATAAAGCAGTAGCTCCTCATTATGATTTTGAGAAACGAGCCAAGCACTGCTTTTAAAAATTAAATTGCACTTAGTGCAGCTGCAATTTTGCTTAACGATTTTTAGCGCATTTTTGAAACATGTTTTTAAAAGGTAGCTTAATAATGCACTTTGTTCGGCTGCTCGTTCGGGTGAAGAAAAACTTTTTAACCAGACATCGTAGAGAGCTCGGATTTGCTTTATTAGCTCAGTTCTATCGAGTTATTGGCTGATCAAATATTTTTGAAACATAAAACAATGGCTTTGTGCTAAAATTGATGATTTTTTAATTTCAGTATTGTGCAACCTGTTCAAATTATTTGACACCCTCTATAATTTCAACATTACCTCTATAATTTCAAAAATTTATTGACCGTTAGAATATTTGAATTCCAAAAAAAGCGTTAAATCCTTTCTAAATGGAAATTCATAGTAATTATTTGTTAATTACATTAAAACTAATGATCTGCAAATGTTTTATTTTTGATGTTCAAATAAACACGTCTTTATGTTTTTGTTCGTGTATTTCAACTGATTTATTTATTTTCTCAGATTCCTGAGATCATTATTTTACATCTCCCTTCTCTTATCAATTCCCATATTTTTGCACTAGTTTTGGAATTCTTGATGATCGTCGGAACGTTTGTTGGTACGAATTACTTTCCGTTGAGATTACAGTTGTTTGGTGAGATATGGAAGATGCGGTATTAGCATCAGAATTCAGAGGAGGTTCATGCAGTGAGTTATCAGCGAAGAAGTTATCAAGATTGATTCTATATTGACTAGACTCATCGCATTTCTTTTGATCAATTTGATTGGATACTGTTGACCTTTCAGTTCTGATAAATTTAGAGTTTCATCTAATAACCCTATTACTATCCATACGAATTTCATATGATATAGGCTCTGAACCTTTCTTTACGATTGATCCTCTGGACCATGTTTTATTGTGCAATTGTACCCACACTTTTTGATTAACATCGAACTCATCACGTTCATACGCATTTCGATTGTAATATATTTTCGTTTTATTTTGCTTCTTTTTGAATTTTTCACCTAAATTGTGATTTAACTTAGGCTTTAGCAAGCTATCTTTCATAATGATTTTAGTCCTCATTCATCTATTGTTAAGCAAATGACTAGGAGACAAGTCAATATCAACTAACGGAATATTATTATAATTGTATATTGCTATTAAAACTTTATTGAAACTTTCGCATTTCCTCATCATATTTTTAAACCGTATGACGAAGCATCAGTTTCTAAAATTATTGGCATATTTTCATCAAATGTTTTACATGACGTGACATTTTTTTATTACTTTATTACTTATGAATTACGTATATTTACTGTTAAAGAAGGTACATTGGGAATGAAATTCCTGATATAATTGACTACTCCTAAAAACTTCTGCACATCTTCTAGATTTTTAGGATTCGGAATATTGATAATTGCTGAAATCCTTTCTGGATCAACATTTATTTTATTCTCAGAAAAGATATGGCCAAAGAATTTTACTGAACTTTGTGCGAATTGTAATTTTTTCTTATTGAACTTTACACCTGACTTTAATGCCCTGATCATTAATCTTCCTAAATTCTCGTCATGTTCTTTAAGCGTTTTACCAGGAACAATGATATCGTCAATATAAAATTTGACTCCAGGTAAATCGCCAAAATTATCTGTCATGTACTTTTGGAAAATTTCTGATGCAATATTTATCCCAAAAGACATTCGATTGAATTGCCACAAACCAAAAGGAGAAATTTTCCTAGACCTCTAAAAGCTTTTTCATAATAATCTGTAAACTTATTCTTTTGCTTTTCTGAACACAACAATTGGTTCAAGTGCAATGAATCTATACGAGATATGAGTTTTAGATTTACACAGGACTCTAAGCCTAATAAAGGTACCATTTTTATATCAATGCTTATAAATATCCATGATACACATCATTATTTATTTTAATTGGAAGAACTGTCTTCCCAATAGGGTGATTAATTTCACCAAAATAGCCTTGTAACTTTAAATTACTCTTTTCGATCTTAAATTTCTTTCCTAGGCTTTTAAACATATCTATACTAATAGTATTAACCTGCGATCCAGTATCCAACTTAAAATTGATCATTTCATCATGCACGAGTAACTTTTTACACCAAACATTGCTTTCTGCATGTTCCTTAAGTTCATCACAATTGGCTATAACATTAGACTTACCGTTTTCGCGTTCTTCAACTGCACAGACCTTCTCCTTCCTCTTTTTGCCAAATAAATTCTCAACGCTGTTGCTTTTAACTTGAGCTTTTTCACTTTTATTCGACATTTGTTTGTTGAGAATACGATGGTGCACTGCTGATAGTTGATTTACATTGATACTGTCTGATGCTATTTGGGCTAATTAGTGCTGATTGTAATAATATATTTTGATTTTGCTGATCAAAGTATGCAATGACTTTTCTTGAGATAAAATGAGCTTTTCTCGCAAATTGTTGTTGTGCAGACCGAAAATAATTTGATCACGAATGGCTTCTTCTTTGAATTGATTAAATTCACAGCTATCAGCTTGGGTTTGAACGCCCCTAATGAACTGATCGACTCATTCACATTCCTTTTGAATACAGCCACGTAGTTTCATTCTTTCAATAAGAAAGTTTGATGACAGTGAAAAATAATTCTTGAGAGCCTCAAACACTTTTTCATAATTCTGCTTCTCTGGATCCGTTAATGGTAGATTCTTGATGATGTACACTGCCTTATATCCCATCAAAAGTGTTAATAAGTTAAGTTTGATCTTGTCGAATTTTTCATCAAGTTCGTTAACAATTAGATACGAGTTGAATTCTGTTGAAAATCGTTCCCATACAATTTTTGACGAAGAAGCTTCAAAATTGAATTCCTCTAAACTTTTAAACGACTGCGCCATGTTTTATTTTTGATTTTCAAAGAATCACGTCTTTATGTTTTTGTTCGTGTATTTCAACTGATTTATTTATTTTCTCAGATTACTGAGATCATTATTTTACATTAAATGAACGCAAAATAATTAGATAATCAAATACTGATCGCTAACACAAAAATGCGCTTAAGTCCTTCGATCAATAACACGAGGACTTATGTAATTTTTAATAAAGAGATTCAATTAAAATTTCACAACTGCACGAGTATCCCAAACATGTAGATAATTACCACTGTCCCAAAAATATTAAATAATTGAAAAATTCTCCTGCTTTTATATAATATTATTTTATGAATGCTTAAACGTTTGTGCTTACCTCCAGCTCTTATCAACTTCCGTATTCCGATTATTTAATTAAAAAATTCTTTTTTGTCCTCTCTTGCATGACATCACATGCATTCTTATATATCCAAAATATTATAAATTCTTACTATTCCAAAAAGAAAAGTAAGAAACGAGGAAATAAAAGAAAAAGCCAACATTGATGATGATAATGATGGTGATGATGATGAAAACGACGACAAAATAATTTAAATATTTGCCAAAGACAAATTTTTGAGCAGCTAGTCATATTTATTTTCTTTGTGTTATTATTTTCTCGTTATGAAAGTTGAGATGCTTTATGTTCTTATTTTCTTTTCTTTTGAAAGCATCAGAAACTTACGCATTCCTTACGATAAACAAAAAGAAAGCATTGACATGTGCGCATTTTAAATTCTTTCATGATTTCTTGTGTGTGTCTTGTGTTTAATTGAATGATTATAATTCTGCAACATCACTTTGAATCTAAATTACTTTTATGCTCATGTTATAAATTCTTCTTGTGTATAAATATTTTTATAATATTGGCATAATAATTAGATGACCAATATTTACTATAAATATGTTATTATTAATATTAAGAACATTTACATTGATGTACATTGATTACGCATGCAGAATAACATGAAAGGAAGAATTTTTCAACATGCCTGAG